TCTCTCTTATCGCAAGTCCCGAACCTCCGAATCAATCAGAAACATTTATTCAATTCTTTAAGATCTTCAATCTCTTCAATCCACTCTCTAATCAATTATTTCTTTTATTAAATATAACTTATCAATATAAAAATTACATCATTAGAAAGCTCTCAATTCATAGAATTCTAAAATCCCTTTCGATTTCATTTCATCAATTCTCTACTCTTGATTTGTTGATTGATTTAAATTCTAGCATTTTGATGTTCGCGTACAGGGCATCCGTACTTTTTCTCGACTAATCAGCTTCCAGTTATGAATCGTGTTTTAAATCCTGTATATTAGGGATTCATTTAGAGAAATAGCGATACTAGTAATACTAGAATCAAAAGCCAGAGAGTAAGAGTGAGAAAAGAAAAGAAAAGAATTCAGAGTAGTTAAAACTAGAAAGCAAAGCAAAATTGAACATAATATAATATCCATTAGATTATAAAAAGTAAAAAAGATCTAATAAGTAATAAACACCTCTTTCCCTTTCAATTCCTGCCCTACCAATTCCAGGCCTTCCGTCCAAACCCCAAAGTATAGAAATTATCCAACCTCCTTCCTAAAAAAAAAGAAAATCTAGCGACCAAACTTAATAGGAAAAACCCCACGTGCATGATCAATACCCGGAATCCCAATCACCTTCTCGGGTACAGCACTACTGCTACTGCTAGAACTCTTCACCTCCTTTATCTCCTTCATCTCCTTCACCCCATTAACAATCCCTTTCGCCTCGAAAATTTTTACCTCTCCATCTTTAATCCCCTGTCCCCGTTCCTGTTCCTTTCCCTTCCCCTTTCCATCCCCCTTCTTCTCAGTCGTCGAGTAATCTATTAATTCCCTCGAACTATTCATTTTCGCCTCTTCGATCCCGCGGGGTTTCATCTCTTTTCCATCAACCACCGTATGTGTTCCCTCCACCACCTTAATACTCTGCACCTCCTCCCCCTCCCCCCTCGCCACCTCCACCCCATCAAAAACCAAATAATCCCACAACTCATTACTAAACCTCCCTTTCAAATCCCCCAATCCACACCCCTGCTCCTTCCCAATCTCCCCCAGTACACTCCTAAACTCCCCCACTTCCTCCTTATACCCCACCTCTCTCAAATACTCCCTGGCACCCCTCCCTCTAATCTTCACCCCCTCCCACTCCTTCGCCCAATGAGGCCTCACATTCAAATCCTCCTCTTCCCCACCAACCCTCATCCTCCCCCTATACCCCGCCCACAAATCCACCACCTCCTGACAAAACGGCACCCACTCCTCATCGCGCACCGCATCCGGCACGCTCAGAATCTCAATACTCGCCGTCCCCCAGCGATTTCCTCTCTGCGGCGCCATAATCAAATTCGAATCCCCCATAATCCGGAGCTCGAGCGTGAGCCGCATCGGCGTCTCCGAATCGCGATAGCAGAGATTGATAATGTCCCACCACGCCCGGCGGACGATGGTGTAATCGGGAGTGGCGTTGGGGAGACAGGGAATGGGGATTTGGAATTCGAGGTCCCGGACGCGCATATTTTGGATCTGGGAGGGATGTTAGTTTGGGGGGAGAAAGAGGTAGAGGAAAGAGGTAGAGGAAAGAGGCAGAGGAAAGAGGCAGAGGAAAGAGGCAGAGGAAAGAGGTAGAGGAAAGAGGTAGAGGAAAGAGGCAGAGGAAAGAGGCAGAGGAAAGAGGCAGAGGAAAGAGGCAGAGGAAAGAGGCAGAGGAAAGAAGGAAGAAACTTACGCCGCGACGGAAATGGAGACCGTTAGGAAGTGCGGTTTTGTATTCGACTGTTTTCTTTTGTTCGAATTCGTTGAATTCAAAGGGGGGGAGTGCGACCACTATTATTGCGGGTTAGAAATATACTTTTTTCTCTTCTTTTTTGCTCGAGACATTCATCTCCTTTCCCTCCTTTCTTTCTTAACTCTCAACTCCTCTCTTATCACTCAAACTTAAAGATCAAACCACAAAAACACAAAACAAAAAAAGTAAAAACTCACTCCCAAAAGTACTCAAAATACAAGCCTGCCACCTCCCAGGCAACAAACCAAACACCTCACTCCTCGTCAACACACTGCCCACCCAGCCCTGAACCCACTGCACAAACGTATCAAACGGGCTCGGATACTCGACTGCACCCTCCGCATCCACCGTTTCATTCCACGTATTAACCCACGCCTGCTGACTGCGCGTAAACCAGAACCATTCGCTGTAATAGTCATTATTGGCTTTATCTTCAAACTCCTCTAGCGCGTCGGCGTATTGGGCGGGAGTCCAGGATTTGCGCAGCGCGATGGGGATATCGGTAGGAGAGAGAGGGGGAATGGCAAGTGCAATGTCGGGTTTGGTGGGACGCAGAATGGCGTACGTCATGGGGGAGAGGAGGAGTGTGATGTGGGTTACGATACCGAGGAGTCCGAAACAACCGGCGGCGGCGCGGAGGTGAGCGGGTTTTGTTATGGTGCGGTGGATACCGTTTGCGTCGATGTATTCGATGGCGCGAACGTAGTCGGATACTGTTTGATGACGACGACCCGCACCGTGACAAATGGGTCCGTTGACGCCGCCTGCTGTGACTCTGTTTGTGTTAGTATATATTGACTTTCGCGAGTGCAGTTGCAGGCGAGGAGTTGTATGTGAATACAGAAACAGGAACGCAAACATACTCAACAAGAATCACGTCTACCGGCAACGCCCATTTCCCATGACCCACCGCCCACCTCCTAAACTGTTCATTCGTCACCGCCGCTCCAACTCGACAAAACATTTTCCCCTCTTCATCCCCCGTCAAACTCAACCCCTCAATTTTCGGCGCCAACTCAATCGTCTTCAACTCATTGACATCCACCACTCCATCTCCATTCAAATCCACATCTCCCTTCTCCTCCGTAATACTCATGACATCTGGGATTTTCTCCACACTCTCCAAATTCAACATACTGACCAGAATCTGTTTATCCTGCGAGAAAGTATTACTCCACGAATGTCTATACCCACTACATCTAACTCTATAGCCCTCGACCTTCGCCCACTTGACCAGATTCGACAGACCCAGCACCGTCGTAGGGACAAAAGTATACAGCGGCGTATTCTTCACACTATTCCCCCAATTATGAAACGGGGCATTTTTATGGACTTCCATAATCCGCGCGCCTCTCTCATCCTCGCAGATCCTTGGCGATAGTCCACTCTCCAGCATCGAAGCATCCCACTTCTCCGTCAAAGAAGCCACAGGATTACTCTTGAGCAACGCACCCAAGTGGCCATGCCTCCCCCAAAACTCTCCCACATGATCCTCAACCTTCTGAATCATCTCGATATGTCCGCCCACCTCCTCCACAATCTCCCTCTCAATCTCCTCTTTTGCTTCCTGGATCTTCTTCATCACTTTACTCTGCACCAATTTCATCTTCTTCTCATGAGCCTTCTCCCTCACCGTCTCCTTAACCATCTCCTTGAAATGATGTTTCACCGCCGGAGACGGCGGAATATAAAACTCCCCTTTGACTTTCCCCATCCCCATAATCTCCTCCTCCTTCACATCCTTTTCATCATCCATAAACACTCGAATCTGCGCTTGCAAACCCGGTTCTAGTTCCTCAAATGCATGTTTAAATGTGTGCGTATTCTCCAGCACTCTCAGCAAACCTCGCAAGTGTGTTTTGGGCTCCACATTCCGATTTCTAATATCCCAGAGTTGTTTGCGAAATAAATTGAGTTTGGTGTGTGGGAAATCATCAGCGAGTTTTCCAATGTGGTCGATAATTTCTTGGAGTATGTATTCTGTGGTGAGATTCTCTAGAGGAGGGACGGGGAGACTTTCAAAATAATGAGAGACCATTGTAACTCGTTATAGTGAGAGTGAGTGTGACCTCGATCTTCTATATACTATATACTTAGTATGGTATGCAGGGGGCGGATGCGAGATATGCGAGATGGGCAATTGTGAATAGCCGGTGGGGTAGTTGTTGGATTGCAGATTTAAGCGCCAGGTGTATATGAAGAAAGTTTCTCAATGTAGAACAAGAAAAAAGGTTGGTTCTACAAGAATGAAGAAAGCAATGAAGGAAAACATTCTCGGAAACAAAAACACAGGGAAAATCAATGCGTATAAATAATCTTCAAGTAATCCCTCCCTCGTCTGTCAAAAGTTGTTACGCCGTTATCGAAAATGTCCCTACTAACCCCTCCCCCCCAAACTCACATCAGATCAGGTCAGAACCGAGCAAATAGGTCAGCTATCTTCGGGCCTTACCCACCTCCCCTACATAGACGCGGGAATGCCTCACGTCAGCTACCAATCACGATCCCTATCACCATCTCAGATAATTGTCCCGTGCATCATCGTCGTACAGCTTTTCCAGTTTGGTCAACTTCAATTGGTCAATCATCCAGTTCAGCTGTTTGTCTTGAACAGCCTTGTCGGAGACCATCACCAAATGTAGACACCGTTTCTACACCATTTCTTCAACAATACCGCTGAGCCTCAGCTCATGCTCGGTTTTCAATATTTGGGGTCGTAATCGGGCTTTTCATGGCTTGGAGTTATAATCGTAAAGTAACCCCCAATGTCAATCTTTACGTGTTTTGCGCTGAATAACTGATTATTTCACCCGTAACAATAATTTGCTAGTCTCATCAAAAAGATTCCGAAACTTTCTGAGAAGATAGTAGCTGACATGAGCCACCACTATGGTACAAAACTTACCAATTGTGTAAATTGGTGATAGCCAACGGTGATTGAAACTTCCCCATAAGCTTCGAGTTCGAGTTCAACAAGAAAAAAGACTGTTGGTAGAAATCATCCAGTGGCTCGATCAAGACTCACCAATTGTACGAATGGTCGAAGTGATGGGTGCCAAATTCTCAATAGCTGTCCAAGATATTGAATGAGAAAATCTTTCTTTGGATACGACTATAAACATCAGCCCAACAAATGCATGCCTCAAAATTAAACACGTTTGTACGAAATGCCAAAAGACAACTTCGAAATGCGACCTATACCCAAAATCATAACAAGAGTGGTCTTGTAACCCTCGATACCCTGGGAATAATCAAAACGCCTATACCCTCTTCCAAAAATTCCAATCCAGTCTATGATGACCCGTAATGACCAACTCCTTTCTTACCAATTTGTTCAGACCCAAAGTTTCCATCAAACGACTCAACGAATATCCAATTGAAAAGGTTTAAATCGTCCTCCAATGGTGGCGCATCTTGGACATTTTCTACGTGCTCCTTGCTCCGCCATGAGCACCTCGACACACGGTTGGCATATACCACATATGCATTCTGTACATGCGTAAGATTCTTTCAGGAAAGAAACGTTCTGACAAGCAGCACAGTAAATTTGTATATTTATTGTAGAGAAGCTTGGCGATGAATCCGAGAGCCCCTGTGATCCAATATTGAAATGATCACCACTTCCACCACTTTCAACTGATGGAAAAGGTTCTGGAGCTTCAGCATGATAAGATGGTGGAGTGAGTGCTTGTTGTAGTGGCGAAGCCTGATATCCTTGAAATTGTGATGCGGAAAATGGAGGCAATGAAGCACGATTTACTGAAACCGGGGATGGAGGAATCTGCATTTCCATTAGTATGCAAGGAAGACCTTTGTATTTGCACATGGGACAAACCGGTGTTCTATCATCGTCTGCATCTTCTGTAGCTGATGTTGCAGCATCAATCAAATCTTCCCATCGCTTCCCATAAAAGGCACTTGAAGGTTCGGCAGATTGAGCCTTACGATCATGACTTAAGCGTCGCAGATGAGTATGTTCCCCACGAGACTTTTGCCTCCTATGTTGTGGCTCTCGAGCACGCTTTGACACTGATTGTTTTCGAGGACGACCTGTGCTTGGATTTCTTTGAAGTGGAGGAAGAGTAGACGATCGTCCTGGGGGCGATAGTATAGAAGGAAGAAGGTCTCTGCGACGGTGAACATTGTAATGTGAAAATGGATCGCTAGTTGGTTCGAGTTTGTTGGAATGAATAGGAGGAAGCTCTATCGAGGCTCGCATTGCTTGTTTATGAGCTTCGTGATCTGACATCCAATCCTAATTGAATCCAGTTAACATTTTGCATCCTGTGTAATTGGAAAGTCGAGCGAGAAAATGAACCTACCACTTCGGATTCCCATTCATTATCCAATTTATGATTGTGTAGCTGTGCTAGAGTTGCTGCAGCGCTCGCGGCTGGAAGCATTGAACTATCGTCCACGATTCTGGGAGTATTCGGGGTACTCGAATGATTCGAATGTTCGCCATAATAGTTCTGTCTTTCGTGTGTGAAACCTGTATACAGCATATCAGTCAAGATGCAAGCCACGATTGGCAATTGAATTTCTACAGACTATTTGAAGTTGGAGCCGAGTTGGCAGTTGTTGGTGGTTGTGGTTGTGATTGTGGTTGCGGACGCTCAGAGGGCGGGGTATTGATCATGAGTTGAAAGCTTTCTTCGGTCGCAGGAAGCTTTGAGATGTAATGTTCTGGATGAGCTCTTCTAATGTGCTCTTGCATGGATCGATATCGTTTTTCCTGTCCATCTCACTCGCTTGTTACCACGGATTGAACCGTACAAAAGGAAAATAAGTTCCAAAGGGGTACAGCAGATACAGCAGAGTAGAGGCACTCACGCCGAGGCAACGTTTGCGACAACTGGAGCCATCTTGATTTCTCAATGGACAAACCACTTCATTATTCGCATCTGAAACGGAAAAGGACGATGTCAACGAAGAACGAGGAGGCATCGTCAATGTAGACTCGATCATTACCAGATCAAAATCGATAATGGGTGTTAATGGGTTAATGGGTAGGTAGGAAGATAGGTAGGTAGGTCGGTAGATAAGATAGGTAGATAGATAGGTACAGACAGAATCGTCGCACTGTTGTTTCGTATCTGGAGGGGAGGGGGAAAGCGGGAATCTCTAAAAATGTATAATCTTGATAGCAAAAATTTGCATAATTATTTAATCAAAATGGTATGTGAGGGTTAATTTCTTTTTTTTTTCTGGTTGTGGTGCTGGTTCTGTCTCTTGATGTGATTCTTTCAAGGGAACAAAGATATAAGAAAGATTGAAGCTCAAAGCTATGTTTTTTTGGCAAATGATTTCTTACAATTGATGTTTGAGAAAGAATGTGTGAGAGTGAGAGTGAGAGTGAGAGTAAAGTGAGTAGTAAGTGAGTAGTAAGTGAGTAGTAAGTGAGTAGTAAGTGAGTAGTAAGTAGTAAGTAGTAAGTAGTATGTATGTAAGTAGTGGTAATAGTAGTAATAGTAGTAATAGTGGTAGTGTGAGTGTAGCACTGAAGGAATCTTTTGACTGAGGGGTCTTTTTTTCCCTTGGGTCCCTTGGGTGGATTCGAAGGAAGGAAGAGCAGCAGTTGGAACTCGAAACTTAAAACTTAGATAACTATTAGAAGGGAGCTCTTTGCCCTTTACTCTTTGCTCTTTGCTCTTTTTTACTAGTGGGGGTCAGAGTCAAGAAAAGAGCTTCGGACAAGAGCTTTTTTCCTCTTTTTTTTTTCTTTCCCTCTTTTCTATCCATGCTTGTATACTGGGTATCTCTGGAACTTTACATGTCTTTACTAGACGCTCAAGAGCCAATGAAAAGGGATGGATCTGGAGCTTTGGAGCAGCATCAGTGGAGAGCTTCGAAGGTCTAACATGGAGAGATGGAGATATACTCGGACTAGATAGGTAATACTAGCTAAGTACTCGGAAGTATTGCTATGAACCGAGCTTACTTTGCTTGTCTCCAGTCCTCCCTTTCAAGCAAATCCTTTAGTCTTCGATCTTGTTTTAGTTAGTATTCGATCCTGTTTGAGTACTGCACTACTTGCTATGGCTTTGCTACTATTGCTATAGCTACCTATACATACAATACCTTGTCATCTTGATTTCAAGAGCCAGAGAAATCGAACAAACACAACATCCCAAGGAAATATGGCAGGCAAACCATGCAAACCAGCTCTCTCATTCATCAATCTCACCAACCCTCCCTCCCACGTTAAATTAGTCATGGTCTCAAAGTGAAATAACATCTCATGCCAGTGCCACCCACTCACTCACTCCACTACTCTCTCTCTCTCTCTCTCTCTCTCTCTCTCTCTATGTATATCAGCGGCAAAAGCAGGCAAAAGGCCAAATATCGGACCTTGAAAAGCTACCCTTTCCATAGCTAGTCAGGTCACATACCTCATACATACGCAGGTGCCTCGTGAGTCGTTGGGCACGATATTCATGCGACCAATGCCATCCATTGAATAATAATAATAATTGGACTATCGGTGGAGAGGAGCTTTCCAAAAGAAGTACCGCATCTCGCCTTCCTCCAATCAGACTCCCGTGGCATACTCGTGGATGGAGCATTTCTGGTCTCTCCAACCCAATCCCTAGGAAGCAATTGACAAGTAAGAAGTCGAGGATCCCAAGTGACAAAGTGACTTGATCTGCTGATCTGCCGAAAAAAAGATTTTGTTGGATTAGTCCTTCCGAATGGAGAGCTGGGAAGGGGAAGCCACACAGGATGATTATGTTACTTTGATGGCATCACGAATCACGATAATGGAATCCCAATTGGAAAAATTCGATAAGAGCTCTTTTTCTTTGGATTTTCTTTTATCTTTTATCTTTTATCTCTTATCAACTGTTGCATTGTCCTATACCCTTTTGGAAGCTCTCAAAGCAACACTCGGAAACTGGAGAACCCTGGGTACAGGACATAGCATAGCACTACCTAAGCTTACCCAATCTTGACTCGAAGGTGCATTGAGCATGCGAGTACAACCCCAACAAGCTTAATCTGCTTCACAAGCTCCTTTCTAGAAAGACAATTCGCCGACGGTAACACCAAAGGATTTGAAAATGATTTGTTCCACTCTACGAGTAAATTGATGCTTTGATGATTCTTTCACATGTGAAGACTTGGTGGCTGCTTGCATATCTTTGTAACAAAGTATTTGTGTTTGTGCCATTTCGTACGAGTATTGCAGTCTTATTGTATTGATTGGCCGCCGCTTGCTTTGAAGGGATGATCAAGTTAAAGGCCTAACTAATAAGACTTGGTGCAAAGGAGATTTCTGCCAATACTTTTCAAACATGAACCAACGCCGTTTTGATTAATTAGCAGGAGATTCATGAGTCAATTGTGAAGCTAGGTCTTCACAATTCGACGATAATAATTAAGGAGCAGAGTCTATTCAGAAACTTAAGCTCTCCAAGGTCCTTGTGATTAGTAGTGCAGTGAGTTGGAGGAGATTGGAATGTACGAGTTTTGAGCTCTTGTGTAGCTTATGGCTAGGTAGTTCGATTCAACAGTTCACTTGCATATTGGATCCATGAATCGTCGAAACCGTTGCATTGATTTTTCATCCTGCTAGTAAAGTTGGGGTAAAGTTCGAGAAGGTCTATTCGAAGCTTTCTTAACGGCCAGTCCGAGAAGATCTGTTCGAGATTTCGAGTTATATTGTTAGTTAATGGTAATTTGTGAATCCGAGATGAATTGCCATTGGGATATCCTTGATGCTTTTTCTTCGTCGTGTTGTAGTGTTCACAGAATGTGTCGCATGTTGTACTTAGAGAGTACTAGGTATGTCTATAGCAAATTGATGAGGTGGTAAAGTGTTAGATGCCCTGAAAAGTATATTCAAGCAGAGATCGATATAACTTGGAGAACGATACCTCTTCTGAATATTTACCATTCAACTTCTTTATATGACAACAGCAGTAAATGACGCTCCGCTGGCCCCCTGGGAGCCACTGCCGTGGAGGCCGACTAATTAGATAGAGAATATTCCACACTGCACAGTAAAAATCTTCGAGCGCAGCGAGCTATGAAGCCTATCAAATCTATAAATACCTACATATCATAATTGAACCACTTGCCGATTTGCACGAATACCCTTCCACTCTCTAGAATTGAACTTTATCAAAACTCGTTCTCGTACATACTCCCCCTCCATTCCCATCTCCACATTCCTTCGCATCATATAAGATCTGACATTGACATTCTATTCTCATGAATGGGAGTGATGATTCATAATATGGTTGGTCGTAGAGAAATAGCGCAAACACCAAAACATTCCATCAAGTTAATACTAACTTCACATTCATTCGCGTTGATGATTTTCTTAATTATCCTGTCGATCATCTAAGTGAGGCTTGCAGTGTTTTTTGGCTGAGGCTATGACTTTCTAACCTGTCAAGACTTGGATCTTCACAATGAGGCTGGTACATTGTAGACCTAGGTAGGTATCTAATGATAGCAGCTCGAAAGTCTGGATTGATATGGAAAGTTTATGAGATACTCGTTGGAATTCGGAACCTACTTCGTACATATACATATACATACCTATACCTATACATATACTAGTCTCCTAGTGTGCGTATACATACGTATTCACGAAAACATTCAAACTTCAAAGCTCGCGTATCGTTCCTTCAATCGATCTTTCATCTCTCTCCCCACCAATCAAATCCACTACACGGCAATCCAATTATTGAAACAAGGAAAGAGGAACCACTTTTACCACTTTTCACCACCACAGCTGAAAGCTTCTTCGTTAAATCCTGCTTGAAAAATGATCGACGTCCCCGAAGCAGGTTTATCATTACCCATTTGGAGAAATGAAGGTGCTTATATTTCAAATGGGTTAATTATAACCGTACGGTACTTCCGTAGAATGATCCACTTTCGAGCTATTGATTGATATCGAAGCTCGACGAAATGGTGCAGAGGTATGAAGTATGAGCTTTCATTGAAGATAGACAAGGTCAATGATATATCATATACATATAGTATTTTTTCGCAAAGAGCAACTCAGGTATGGTCATCTCCTCGGAAAACTCTCCTCTCCAAAATAAGGGTATTGTTCGGTCAAAATGATAGGCGTTCAATAGATCCAAGTACTTCGTACAATAATTTCTCTCTGTCGGGTAACCTTTCCATTTTCATCTAACAAACGGGGATTTTGATGAGTTACTAGGCAGTGTGCCGCTTTGAATCTTTGCTTCTATAAACAACTTCTTCCACATCATCCCGCATTGGATCTTCTTCCATACCCTTTTAAATATGTCATCCAGTGCCCGTGTTTCGACGAGTATGTGGACTCACTTGTCAAATTCAACTTGATTCATTGATTCATTGATTCACCACCTTGCTTCCATGTCAGAAAAATCTTTACTACCCATCTACTCCTACAATCAGAGTCAATCTATATCTCCTTGCCGTCCTCCTTTCTCCTTTTGGCCTCACCCTCACTTTTATTTTTTGGATACTATGAGTTTTACAGACTTTCTCGATCTTCTCATATCTCGATTTGAAGATGTCCTTGACAGTTAAGCATCTAAACAATGATGCATCATTCCTCCTGACCTTCTCGCCCATCTCCCCTTTTCCTCCATCTCCAGGCGGACCTGGACGACATGAAAGCTCCTTCACTATCCTCCTCGATCCATGGATATCCGGTCCTTCTAAAATCTTCCACCACAAATTCTCAATATCTCATCTCAATTCACCCTCATGCATATCTTCTCTCACCGAACTCCCAGAACCAGATCTGGTGATAATAAGTCAAGATAAAACCGATCACTGTCACGAAGAAACTCTCAAACAACTCTCTCCAGATGGAAGCAAGACATTATTCCTTGCAGAACCCGGAGCCGCAAAGACGATCAAACGGTGGAAATATTTCTCTCCCTCGAAAGTCGTCCCTCTTAAACGCTGGGAAGATTCTCGTCTGCGTCGCCCTGACAGTATCCTTCGATTTCCCGTACCTCCCCTATCTCACAATGGGGTCGCGGGCGAAGTGACTATTGCATTTCTCCCTCAAAAGAACGATCTTACAGGACTGCACAATGCAATTGGGATAACATATCGACCACCCACCCTCTCAAAATCCTTCTCCCATCCAGATGAAAACGCATATGCTACACCACCCTCCTCACCCAACTCCATCGCCTCTACCCTCTCTAACCCTAACGAGCGCGCGCTCTCTGTCATCTTCTCTCCGCACGGCTGTACATACAACACCCTCGCTCCCTACGCATCCTCGCATCTCGTCTCGGAAGCGGCTCTCCCTCTCACATCTCTCCTCCACCCCTTCGATCGTATCTCAAACCCTTGGTACCTGGGCGGAAACATCATATCCGGTTTCCCCGGCGGCGTATCGATTGCGCAAAATCTCTGCGCCAAAACGTGGATTTCCGCCCACGATGGCGATAAGACGAGCACTGGGATGGCGACGTGGAGTCTGAAGAGTGAGAAGTGGGAGAAGGAAGATGTGGAGAGTGTGGTGTCGCCAAGGAGTGAGAAGTTTAATGAGAAGAAGGGGATGGGTACAGAGGTTTTAGTGTTGGGGAGTGGAGAGGCCGTGAGGTTGGTGCATGGAGGTGATGTTTTTGGGATGGGAGTCAGGATTGAGAGGGTGGATGGGGAGGGTGATGGTAATGATAACTGTGATGAGAGGATACAGGAAATTGGGACGAAAGATATTAGGGAAGTGTGTTGATTTGGGTGCGATTAATCACGGCGAGATGGATTTACTAATGAATATCTCGGCTAAGGGTGTTTACATGGAAAACTTGGGTATGGAATTGCAACCGGGGAATATATTCACGATTGGGTTATGGACAGTAATAACTCCCATAGCCATGCTATCGCTATGAGGTACCAGGATACACGGCGTTTCATCTCCTGGCGTATGCATTTTTGTATTTAATTATAGTTTCTTTTATACCATTGTTTGGGTTGGGTTAGTTTGGTCGGTATAGCATACACAAGTAGCTGGCTGGTATATGGATAGGTACCTAGGTATTGATTACCCAGGAATAAAATAAAGAGTTTCATAGGTACTCATTTATACTCATTTATACTCATTTCATGTCATTACATCTCATCTTATCAAATCTCAGTTATCGAGTTGGAAATAGCTGTGCAGGAATATGGATTACTGATTCGGTTTCTGTTTATCTTGGAAATCGAGATTGATGGCGTATATATTTATCTACCTATCTATCTACTTACTACATACTCTCAAATCTCAGACTGCGCGATCGGGATATCTCACTAGTTAGGTATTTAGATATATATATACATCTAGCCCTGGAGGGCAAAGCTCATAACCATCAATTTCTCTCTGATAGGTTTGAGTTTTGAAAGGTGGGTTTATTTATTTATTTATTTTATTCATTCATTCACATCAACTACAAACCAACTCAACCTTCGATACCCACCCAGAGTACAGAAGTACCTACCTACCTACCTACCTACCTATCTGGGTAATAAATTAATAAATTAATATATCTATCCATGAATCTCTCTATACCTTCCCTCCTTTCCACCCCTTAAATACGCGATGCGACGCTATGTATTGCGATGCTATTGCGATGCTATTGCGATGCTATTGCGATGCTATTGCGATGCTATTGCGATGCTATTGCGATGCTATTGGATGATTAATGACTGTGATTACGATTACGATTGCGATTGAATTATTTGGGTGAATTAACTATATACTTGTTAACTACCTAGGTATCTACTAGTATCTAGTATCTACCTAGTAGCTAGCTATCCATCCATCCCCGAGAATCGAGAAGAAGGGATGGGAAAGCAGGTGCTGTGAGAAAAGACTCGATTGAGTATAAGATTATGATGGTTGACTTCGTATGTAGGAAATATATCTATATCAATCTAAATATCGCGAGTAGGGTTTTCTCTGGTTCTCTGGTTTGATAAATTAGAGACCCTCGATCTTTGAAATTGCATCCATCTGTATGATTTTTCAAGAAGGGAAAGGTGTTGAGTGTGATTATTCTTTGTATAATTAAACTCAGACGACTGGAGAGTATAGTATTGTGAATAGAGATAGGAACCTTGGAATATCAAGCAAGCTAATCAAAAAGATGGATGCACTTGCAAATTCGTGACCTTTACGGGAATGTACCCCAAGTGATTTTCCTCTTCCATTTTCCTTTTCCTTTTCGCACCCTGCGAAGTAATGACTGTAACCCACTGATAAGCTTTTCTCATCAATTTCCAAGTCGATATATCCCCGCATCTATCACTACCTCTTTACCGCCTTCCCTTTCAACATCGATTCCCTCATCGCAGCTCTAGCACTCCTACTTCCACCTAACTTCGGTCCTTTCATATACAATTCCTCCTCTGTCTTATCCTGAGCCCCTTTCTTCTTATCCTTTGCCGCTTTTTCAGACATCTGTTGCTGTCTCTGCAAAGATGCATGAGAACTAGCTTCTTCCCAATCCTTGCGGAATGATTCTGCGACCATTTCATCATTGGCCAATCCTGCCGTGTGATTCATTTCCTTACTCGAAGGTACGGACTCGTAGATATCGAGACGATTTTCATGAAGAATAGCATCGACGAGGGCATCGCGTTGAATATCATCGCTGCCTCTTCTTTTGCGACCACGCCAGGGTTTACCATCGCGGCCAAGACGAGGCTTGGGGAGAGCTTGTGTAGATTCTTCGAGTTCGATGACTTCACCTGCTGCTTTTCTGCGAGCTATTTCTGTTCGATATGCATTTCTTGCTCTTGATTCTTCTCCTAGATCGATTTCGAGAATTTGACCCATTGTAGTAGGTGCTCTTTGAGATTCTTTAGATTGAGTTGTAGAAGTCTCATTCTTTGGAGTTCCTGCTTGAGGGTTTGTGAATGGAGAATCAGCGGATTGAGATGTATGTCCGAGTTTCGATTCTATATATGCCATCCTATACTATTAGTCACCGCACTTACACCCAAGCAGTTCTCTCTCTCGGAAGGAATACGAAATGTACTTACATATGTTTATCAACACCACTCCCCACTACTCCCATCTGCGGCGCAAATCGTCGCATTGAAAGTCCACCTTCAGGTTGTGTTTCCTCTGCATCCTTATCCTCATATTTCACCAGCGCATCTCCATCTCCTTCATCGTCATTCCCATCTCGAATTTTAGATTCGGCTTTGAACTCCACCCCTCCAATTTTCTTTCGTTGTTTTCGCAGACGTAGAATTTCTGATATATTTAGGGACGTATCTTCCATTCCACCTTCTTCATCTCTCCCCTCTTTTTTGATAGGAATGGAACCCGAAGCAATGAGTTCATCTAAACTTTGTTCTGTGGGTATAGCTGCTGCCGTTGGCGCGGGCGCGTTTGTGGAGATTTCGGATTTTATCTCATCATGATCATCTTGATTTCGCTGTCTATAGATCTTGCGCTTTTTAGAAGGTCGAAATAACGGTATTGGGTCTGAGTTTGGAATTGGAGATGTCATGATTGGTGTTTGGAGGGTTGATGGGCCCAGCAGTTTGGTGTATTGAATATTGTATTTGTAGTTGAGCAACTTGTATGTGAAGGAAGATGAAGCTCGGATCGGGATGGATAAGATATTGATTGTGTTAGCGTCTACTGATAGGCTTTAGCTAGATGCTGCTAAGGGTCCCTGTGCATTGGCAGATCACGTCCGAACCTCAGCTGAATGATAGATATACTGTCTCTAATCTTCAATAAGGTACGATTAACTTTACTTGTCTCAATTGTTCCAAAAAAAAAAATTCATCTCTTGGTATTGTATATTTTTAAAGTAAGATAAATGAAAGAGCCCATATATATAGGTACCCTATGTTACCGATATACTAATAAGGTAGGTGGGCATGTAATGCATTTCTGTAAATGGCCAGGTGAGTACTAGGTAAGGCTAGTAAGTGGTATATTGTGGGGTAAGCTCCCGAAGCGCAACATCAATTGAAGTTCCATCAGCACTCGAAAGTCTTTGGGATTTTGAAGCTCGTCAACTTGTTTCAACCTTCAATTGATCTCTATACTTCAAAATAGCAATGTCGCGAAATGCAGCAGCTTCTGTCCTCCGAAGGGCTCTCCTCTATGGTATGCTATCCATCTGATCACCATACACGGAAGCTCCCTCATGGGTAGCTAACCTACGAACAAGTGCCCTCATCTTCACCCAAGTTTTTAGAGAAATCCCGAGGACTGAAGGTTGATACTGTTGCGTATGATCTGGAAGATTCGGTGACATTGGGGAATAAGGAGATGGCAAGGAAAAATATTGTGGATTTTCTAAAGGGTGATAGACCGAAAGATGTAGGAGAGTATGTATTTTGTATCCGATGAGTCTTTTTGTTCTCCGGAAGATGGAAGTATATATGCTGATTCCACTATCGCTATAGATTGGCTGTACGAATCAATTCCGTTTCATCAGGCCTCGCTCTACAAGATCTCACTCAAGTCCTCAAGAGTCAACACCTTGACACTCTCGTAGTACCCAAAGTAAACTCGGCTTCCGACCTCCACTTCATAAATGATATTCTTCGTCATACTCTTCCCTCACGACATCCATCTACTCCATCGTCTTCTTCCAACCCAGTCAAGATACTCGCTCTCATAGAATCCGCACAATCTCTCATAAATCTCTCATCAATCTGTCAAGCATCTCCCTACCTACATGGCCTAATATTCGCCGCGGAGGATTTCTCTTTGGATTTAAGCATTACAAGAACACCTAGTCTTGACGAATTTCTATACGCGAGAAGTCACATAGCAACATGTGCACGAGCATTTGATATCCCATCGACTATTGATTTAGTGTGTACATCATATAGGGGAAGTGAGGGACTAGCTCGTTTGGAAGAAGAATCTCTTCAGGGAAAGGGTTTAGGGTTTAATGGAAAACAATGTATACATCCTTCCCAAGTGGATATTGTTCAAAAAGCATTTGCACCGGGAGAGAAAGAAGTCGAGTGGAGTGTACGAGTGGTCATTGCGGATGAAAAGGCGGAGAAGAAGGGGAAAGGAGCATGGACATTGGACGACAAAATGATTGATGCACCAGTTACCGGAAAGGCAAGAGAGGTAGTTAAGAGAGCAGAATTATGCGGCTTTGATGTTGAAGCTATGAGGGAAAAGTGGAAGGGCCAGGAACCTGAATGATAGGACAAGCAGTTCAGACCCGTGTTTGCCATTGGCTGATGACTTTTCATTCGAATCTTTCCGGCGAAAGACTTTCATTTTCTACTGCCTCAAGTCTCTAGATGTAGATTGTTATGCAGATAGGTATTCTCTAGTAGTAGATGGCTAAACTCGTCTCCACCAACCTACATCAACCATACCAGATCTATCCTCTCCTAACGATCACAACTTTCGGGGGGTTTCTCTCAGGGAATTTGCATCTTGGCTTGGTGGCTAAGCTAAGATGTTAGATTACTTAGGACAATTCCAATTCATTAGTTGGAGAGGGGGTAAACGTGATGGCGTTAGTTCATCCCATGCAGTCATGAATTGCAACATTTTGTGCTCTTCATTAGCCATAGCAACAATAGCAAGCCCAAATGGACGTCCATTTGTCTAAGAATAGCCCAAGGGAACAGTTCCTACAGGAAATCCTGCGGCGGCGGCAATAGTAGGCATGCGACCATCCATGGGTCCAACAATTACATCAAGACCAAATTGATGTATTGTCTTATCAATTCCATTCGTTTTAGCTGCCTCACTTATCAGTGATACTCCTTCAGCATACTTTTCCTCAGACATTTTGTCTTCCAAGGCACTTTCCAACAGTTGCTGGCCTGGATGTTCTTCACAACAATCAGTTGTGTTGCAAACAGAATGGATCACAAATTCACTTACCAGCCGGCAGGGCAACCTTTGCGTTTAGCTTGTTGAATTTCAATATGTCTGCAATGCTTTTCATCAAACTGCTGGGAAAGTTCTTCAAGAACTTCTCCCACGCTTTCGCAAAATCATGGTCTGTATGAGATCAAAATATGATTATTGACACGCAAAAGGGCTATAACTTACTCCATAGTTGATCGAGAGCATCATCACCATCGAGTTGAAGCTCATCCACAGAAGTCATAGGAACATTTTTATGCAATGTCGCTCCGTGTTCAATGAGCTTTTTCTTGGTATCCATGTAAGCTTCGCGTTGTTGGGTAATGAGCACAGGATCTGGGATGCAAACAAATTCAGACAACCCCCAGAATGTATCATCCACAAAGCCAACAGTTTGACCTTTTCAACTTGTGTTCAAAGCTGGAGTGGTGTTTGTGCCAAGGATGATATCTACCAGGTATGCCAAGTCTTGTGCCGACTTCGCCATACCACCGACACTGTCTGTTAATACAGACCAAGGAGCTGTACCTTCGGTTGATGCACGACCAACGGTTACCTTTATGCCGAATAGTGCTGCACGGTTCGCAGGCTGCGTGATCGATCCATCTGTCTCGGTTGCGATTGCTAGTGGTGCAAAGCCGGCTGCAGCACCAGAAGCACTTGCCGATGATGATCCTGCTGGAGCCTTCAGAGGAGTTAGTTCATTTAGGTCTTTGAGTGTGAAATGTTTTGTTGATATTAACAGTTTGTTTGAGTAGTTTTTCTCCCTTAGCAAGCCCGCCAACAATATACGGTGACTGTATTTGTCCTCCTACCGCTGACCATCCTGTCGTTATGCCAAACCCTTTCCAGCCACTCTTTTCCTATGACCGCGGTGATTAGTAGCTACACGAACAGAGATGCAAAGTACCTACCGATAAGTTTGCCTTTCCTGTAACAATCATACCCGCTTTCAAAAGCTGGACGACATTTTAGCACATCGTTCAACGCATGGAGCTAGGACTTCACCTACGTGATCGACGATAGGAGCATTATGCTGGGGAACAGAACCAACCCAAGCATATGAGCCACAAGTAGTATCCATTCCCAGGGATGCGTCAGTACAAATTTTGTCCTAAAAATTGTTTAGATGGATTCCTTCGCTATGGTTGGGTAGCTTACCTTCACAGAGGGGGCCCCTGATATGCCCAGCAGCACGCTCATCATCAAGAAATTTTGCGATATCGAGAAGAATTTTCTTGGGTGCTGTGCTTATCATTGCATTCAATTTTAGGCTTCAATGATTGTGCCTCTCAATTTGGCTGAGGTATAAATCCACAAGCTGGACCGAACTCACTTTGCCACCCTGGAGTAACTTCATCAAGTCACTAGCCGTAGCGGTGATTTGTTCCTGTGTATAGTATTCCCTTCTGAAGCTTTTTCTGTTCTATCTACATCGCCCTATTCAGTTTGTAACGGCTTCTTCTCTTCCTTCTTTTCTCCTCTTCCTTCTTTTCTCCTCTTCCTTCTTTTCTCCTCTTCCTTCTTTTCTCCTCTTCTCCTCTTCTTTCTTTTTTCTTTTTCTCCTTCTCGGTTTCTTCGGCTAAAAAGAGTTTGTCTGTCGGCTAGATGTACACGGAGCTATTATAGTATTCAGGGATCATCTCCACCTGGGTATAGTTTAGTTTCAACACCCTGTGAGTAGATTAAATAATGTCCTAGAGTCAGTTAAAGAATGAAGTAAATGATTAGGGAGTCTATCTTGAATGTTGAATGAAATCTAATTACGTATGTAAGATCTTACATGTGTAACAGGTATATAATAAAGACACTCATGCATTCCGCAATACACAAATAATGAGTAAAAGAAAAACCCGATAAACAATCAAATATGTATATGGAATCGCACTACAAATAGTTATAAATATGTAAATAGATAAGTGTATATAACAAGATATACCAGCATCACGATACACAACATCGCAATCTTACACCTACTATATTAGCACGGTGTATATGTAAACTACCCACCAGCAAAAGATCCGAAAACTCCAAAACTTCCAGCTTTCCACTCAAACAATCCATAAATGTCTATCTCCCTCTCGCTTCTCTCGCCCTCCTCCTCTCCTCCTCCGCTTCCGCAATCGCCTCATCAATCCTCCTCTCTTCCTCCTCCAACCTCGCTACCTCCTCAGCCGACATCCCCGGTTCGCTGAGGAAAGGCGCTTGTAACGCCCCTTTATATACTTTCGGCACGTCTAAATTAGTGCGACTTCCATTTCTATCCCCATTCATACCTACTGCCCCACTATTTGCGCCTGCGCCTACATTATCCGTATACGGTTCCTGATCAAAGATACTCCTATCGCCGATACGTTCGCGACTATTTTCTCGACTGAGATCTACGATATTGTTCCCCGCACTGCTGTTTACGGGGGATACGGGTCGAGAGATCCCGGAAGCAATGCTCACGGCGCGACTTCCTATCGCTTCGCTTCGCAGCGTGTTGGCAGCTTGGCTGCGGCGCGGACTAATTGGTACGGGTGTGTTTGCTGTAAAGGCACTTCCGGGCGCGGGCAAATCTTGGTGGAGATCATCGTCGTGATCGAATGTTCCGCCGAGGATTCCGGCACCACGAGATGTGAGAGGGGTGTTTGTATCGCTGCGATCTGTGAGAGCCAGTTTTTCGGCGATGAAGAGGGAGTTGGAGTCATTGTTGTGTTTGAGAGAGGAGGAGAGGAGAAGATTCTCGGGAGTGCGGGAGGCGTTTTTAGGGAGGTTCTTGCGGCGGCGGCGGAGGAGGAGGAGGAGTGCTAGAAGGAGGAGGAAGACGAAGATTATGGCGCCGAGGGCGATGCCAATTTTGGCGCCTAGGGAGAGTCCGCTGGAATTCGAGGAGGTGGAGCTAGAGTTGGATGAATCAGAGGTGCCAGTTGCACTAGCTGAGCCGTCGGTACCAGTTGGCGTTAATATGGGTGTTGTTACAGTCGACGCATATGATGTTGAAATGGGTATATTGGGCGCAGTTGTTGACGCTGATATCACTGTTCCTCCTGAAGGCAAAAAGATTGCCGTGCTTGCTGTGACGGATAGCGGAGCCGTTGGAGCTGCATAGTTTGTGATGGCTGCCACAAACGAGCTTGCGAAAGCTGACATAGATGACGATTCGGCTGCTACCAAATCTGCTGTCTCTTCTCTTCTCTGATTGACAAGTGAGGGGCTACGTAATATCTGGAAGTACGGGCTGTAAGACTCGCAGGTGAAGCCCGCAACAGTGTCGTTACCATTGTTGAAACACAGAAAGAAAGCCGAGTTCGGCTTTGTAAAGGTAGAGAGGCCTGCACTAGTATTATAGAGATTGACCTCTAAATTCGCAGTTCCTGTTTTCTGGACTTCGATTTGACAAGAGGGGTCATTTTTTAGACAAGTGACTGCAATTTTGATTAGACCTGCCTTAGTAGAGGCGGATGTTCTCTGGTCAATTACTTACATGTGAGGGGTATAACATAATATATGTTGGCCGATTCTGGTGCTTGGAAATTGGTAGTATAACATAAAGCCAGAGATTTCGCGTCTTGTGGTCCTTGCAATCCAACTTCGAAACGGGGCGTATAGCTCTGATTCAAAGACACAGTACGCTTCTCTTCAAAAGAAGGCCACGTAGTAGGATAATACCATGAAGCCCCTTCAACTTCATCACCGGCACCTCGAGAAGTGTTAATTTGCGGCGATAACGACGAGCTCCTCTTGTCCCTATAGCTGTCCTGCCCAATTTTCCTTCTGTCCATCTTTCCGTCGTGACCACCAAACGCCATGCCCAGTAACCCGCACCAGACCACCAAGACCCTCCATCTCTGAATCGATATAATCATTTCCAGCTTTCTCACTTCCTATTATCCCATTCATATATCAACCCAACATTATCGCTTTCTATCCACTTAATAATCTTCCAATATTCTGCGAACACTTGTCGCATGTGTCGTTTTCAAATTCAAATTCGAATCCAAATCCAATAAGTTCAAATAATCGTTTGCTCAAACAAATAATTAATCAAGCATACATACATACATACACATGTTCAAAATTGCCAAAAGAAGAGAAGAAAAAGAAGAAGGGGAAAAAATCCTCAAGAAAGCCTATATGACCAGGGAATATACCAACACATTAATCAACACCCCCCCTACCCTAGCCTTCCATACATTCATACATAATCCATTGCACCAAAATCCTTCACTCTCAATCAATTAATCAATCATCGTTAGGATTTTTAAGCATCCACGCTCACGTACATGGCATGGAGGCGCAGCGCGGGTGGGTATGTACAGTGAGATCAAAGTGAGAAGTGAGAATGGGATTTGGCGTGGATAGGTTAGGTTAAGTCAGGTTAGGATATTTTCTACCCTGAAGCAATAGGATGCGCATGCACGTTTGCGGGCTATTTATTAGCGCCCTCACCATTGGTTCGGTTAGCCCGTGAAGGATGGGTAAGCTATGCGCCCGCTCCCTATTTTCCCCCTCGCTCCCGCCAATGATGGGGCTCCATGTGCTGATTGGTATGTGAATGTGGTACGCAAACTGTTTGTATGTCACTATAGGTATGAGGGCATGGAAAGTGTGTGTGAGATTTGGGGGCTGAGAGGGGAGGTGCACGCATGAGCAGATTTGTATTTGGGGTGGGATGGGTTGATCTTTGTTCATCTCGCACTTTTATTTTAGACGCGGACCCGTCTTTTGACCAGGTCTGTTATTTGATAGACCGATTTTGTGATGCGCGGAGGTGATGGTGATGGTGATTGTGATTCACAATCGATAAATTATTGATGCTAACCTCATATGCTAAGCGCCTATCCCATTTTCTCTCTACCTGATCATTTCACGATATGGCACGATGGAAACATGATGGAAAGAAACGATGTGGTATCACTATCCACAATCCATAAGCCTCTTCGTAATTCATTCGGTAAAGGATGTGAAGATCTCACACGACCCAGGTAACGTTTTAAAATTGTGTCAGCAAACGATTGCGGCTTTGAATGGTTGACCGCTTGAGGTGGGGAGGGGGAACATCGTAAATAGTTTTCAATCGAAATGATTGCAACCCAAGGAAATCCGATACTACTCCAGAGAGTTCAAAGTAGCCTGGTAATGGAAATGATGATACTGTCGGATTACTAGATTGAAGAAAAGTAGATTGAGAAGTACCTTCCTTCATTCCTTTCTTTTCTGATCGAGGTTAAGGTATAACCTTAAGGTAGTATACTGGTCATTATAGATATTTAAATATAATCATTTTATAATACATATGCCATCCTACAACATCGAATTCGAACATCTTCAGATCAAATTGTAATTCATTATATAATCATGCATCTCTCTGGGTAGGAAGTGGCCAGGTCATTTTCATATATTCAAATTCATAAAATCAATCCCAATTGATCAAAAATAATTATACTGCCTTTGAATTGGACTAAAGCAACGGATCAAAATAACTCTATTCTAATATTAACGACAAATACAATTATCAAAAGAATAAACAATTATTTATAACCAATTAGAATCGATTTTATAAGCCTATAATTGTGAAAATAGCCTAGTTTAAGAAATACATGATTACACAATGAATTATAATGTTTTTTATTTCTGTTTGCTTTTGCGAATTTACAATATAATATCAATATCAAATAGAGCAATTTGAATGAGTGACTGATACATATGGGACTACCAACGTAACAGAATACGACCATGCATTACCTTGAGGATCAGATTCTCAGATGTCACAGTTTCTATATTCTTGATCCTTAGTCTTTATCTAAACATCTTGTCTTTCATTCCGGGTCCACCATTTGGGCCAACTCGAGTGTGGAAAGGTGTAAATTTTGACTACCTTTGCGAGGAATATCCGTGGGATCGATATCCATGAGTCTGTCTTCAGTATATTGGTCATCTTTACAAAGCTTGAAGAGATTCGATGCCGTGGGTCGTAATCACTCGCGTGTTTCTGAGTTTGGCTTTAGCTGTTTTCCATTCTGTCTTTGCAGGTAACGTTGCGTACACTACTAGCAGAAAATTGGTTGCCGATAAAGATTATGGAAATTCCAGATCTTGAAAGCAAAATGTAGAGAGATTGTAGTTGCAAATCCACTCAGGATGCGTGTTTAGTAGGTTGTGATGTACACTTCCAGTAGCAAAGTGGTTGCCAGTGAAGCTTGTCGAAAGCAGCTTTACATCGTGTTGGGGACTGTAAACTTAACGTCGTTTCATAGACGGGAATTCATGAACATCACTCAAGATCCCTACACTAAGAAGACTGAAAGTTTATTGAAAGAATAATATTCTATTGCCAGTATCGAGAATGCGATCTCTTGCACGCAGCCGCCACTCATTATCGCCATGCAATATTCGATATTATCATCAAGACATCCAATATTGGATTTCGATAACACGTAGCCCAGACAATTACTTCAGAAAAACACAATCAATAATCCTGGCCGGCAGAACGATGCAGAAGTGGCAAGTAGGTACCCATAGTTTATAAAGTTGAGCGTAGATGTCTTGTTGAGTGATATCAATTTGTCTTCACGAAAGAATCAACCAGGCTCGCGAGAACTGAACTTGAAGTATCAAACGGGGAATTTACCCATGTGTTGTTCCATTGTATAAATGACATATGACCGCGTGTTGTTGTAGTTGAGGAGATTAAAACAACCCAGAAATTTCAAAATTATCGAAGGATGAAAACTCAAATAGAGCTAACGACGGCGAAATGGTGCGATAATGAAGAATTCTATGAAAGTGAATCCAAAGCTGAGGGCCTTTCCGTATCTTATAAGGCTATGAGAACAAATAAGGGACAGTATGAGAAGCGTGCAATGAAAGGTTGGATTATAATTGACATGGCGATGTCAAGAGTAGATAGACTTTATTTTGAGTGAGCTACCTAGACAGCTTGGATCTGACTTAGGTCTAAGCAGATGTCTACTTGATCTTGAGAAGTTAAGACAATCTAGATTGAAGCTAAGGTGATCGACCATAATCGCTTCTTTCCTTTTCTACTAGGAACTTGTATCTAAGATCTGACAACTAAAGAGCCTCATTACAAGACAACGAAGTTTGAGATTATCTGACTACTCTTCAATTTACCAACTTAAATTAGTTAAATAATGATAGAGCTAAGGTCTCATAATACCATGATTTGTTTTAATGTGCGTATTGTTAACCGCCTTATCACATTTTAAACTTATCATTTTCTTGGGTGAGTCCTAAAACAATATGACTCCAAAGCTTCGAAGTCCCGCAGCGGCTCTAGAATATAAGACAGATAAATCTTTGCGAAAGGAATTACATCCAAGGCGGAACGAGTGGCACGGAGATAGTCTAAAACTGAGTATTGGGAGTCTTGTTGCCCTTTTGGAGAGGTTCAGCGAAAACGGTGGTGGTAGAAGTGAAATACTGTGAAGTGATGAATTCTTACAATTCACGCGTGGGTGATCAAGCGAGCAACCTCAAGTTCACGGATATGTCTTGGCCATCGTGCTCCATTATCGTCGAGATTTATTAACATAATGCTCTTGATTTATCAATCGCACAAGCTAGCGATCGTTCACTACAAGAGATCAGTAACGCGCTGCAAGATGTGAACTTTGTACTCTTCAAATAAGCAGCATACAGTCTGTGAGAGAAAATGATATCACGCATGTATGATACCATTATTTACAGAATGCATTGAAATTCTGTCTAGAGTTACGGGTATATTCCGCGCGTTAATTTTGCATTATTAGAGGGTAGAGAGGGGGACGATTGATGAATTTGCATAGTGAAGTCTGATATACAATGCTATTTTGAGAGGAAGTCGAAGAAGGCGTTGAAATTTCGCGATTATCTTACTTGAGATATTTGCAGAATCATGACCTACAATTGAGGCGAAAGATTGACAGCGTGGGGGTGCATAATATATGTAGATAAGTAGAACATCCCATACTGCGGTATCAAAATGTAGATCCTTATAATGACTTTCCATTCTATAAATATCTGTAGCCCCAGATTCCTCGTAATGCGGCAGCTGTGAGAGAAGTTCAGTCAAATATGGACTTGGTAATAATCGCCCGCTGAGATCGTGGGAGCTACTTCTAATTTCAAAGCTCCTGGGGTCTTGAGAGGGTTGGATCGACAGTGAACACGCTGCTTTGCCTTAGACGCATTGGTCTTTTGAGCTTCCCAATACAGAATTCGTTCAGTCTAGTCTCGGATCTTGTGCGTTTTGAATATCTGATATGGAATCAATGTGGAAGGTGTACCAGGCGGATCAACTTTTATCGGTAATCATGATTTCGCATTCGACGTCTTGCTGCGTTTGATATCTGCAAGAGCGTCAGGATTCAAAGCTCTATCTATTCTTTGAGATGATGGTATTTGGATAGTTGGGTTGGATATCCGGCACCGAATTGCAAACGGAAGCCTACTTCCGTCTCCGGTAGATGAAAATTAGGTCATTTTGCGAGTGACAGCATTTTGTATGCTAGCAAACTTACAAATGTACGTAGTACCGACCGGCAAACCCCCATCTTAACAAATAGCGCAGCGTGACGTGGAGGAAAACTTTAGAATACACGTTTACAACATGGATAAAGTTTGAAGTTTGGTTTGGAGAACTAAAATGCTCCGAAACTTGGGATGAATAGTTACTCGCTTATTCTCCGAAGATGTTACAAGCAATCATATCAATCACTATCGCCAGAAATAAGACCCGTTAAAGTCTACGCGTACAGTAATAACAACGTCAAACCCTTTAAATTGTTATCTTTATTTTCATTCGCGGCTTTTTATGTCCTGCCGTCTAATATCTGATTTTCTAGTATTGAAACAAACCCATGGTGGTCCTGTGGTCCCGTGGCTCTCTGTTCAAAATTCAATCCGCATTGTTGGTTGGAGGAATCTGTTGGGCAACTCGAGGGCAGCTATCCAGATGTTTTGACTCCACCAATCGGTATCTTGATTTGTTTTTGTGATCTACATTCTATCATCCTTTTTGGAATGCTATTGGGTTCTGCGTGAATTCTACTCAGATTCTGGTACCTGCTAGTGTTGGAACATCCATATGGATTTTATCGCTTTTCCTCCTCACCGAGTTTGCGAGTGGGCAAAACAACAACAAACTAAGCCTTAACAATAGCACCACTACTACTGCATACAATACACATCATCACATTTTCTTCAATTGTATCTTTTCAATATGCATAGGTTCCACAATAGCATCTGGAATAATCTTGGACGCAAAGGTCTAAAGAAATTGGCATTGTGGGGAATCGAATATTAAGGTTCATGGATATTTTAGCCAAGAAATGAGGGGATGATTATTACGCGTCCCACCGAGTTCGGTAATCATAAAATCCGGGGAAATTTTAACTACCGGCCTCGAATGGACCAGTCAATGATATTCTCACTGAGTGTGGTACAGGAAAGAGGGTCCAAAATTTATATTGTTAAAGTCTCCAGGAGTGCTCACGAGATTAGATCCGGAATAATTTCTTCCTTCTGTTAAGTTCATTCTTCCTAGACCTTTTCGCACTTTCGGACCCACCGTTTCTTCAGTGGACCTTGATGGTCTGTCTGGTCAGCTGTGGATAACGCTCTTGATAGATCTTTCCTTGTTGTTCAAAGATTGGTCTAATTGACAACGAGAAAACTGACAATGTTACCTTGAGCCAAACTACCATCTACAGTGAATGCAAGTGTGTCAATCTAATTATTCCGTCCCCATGCATCAAACTGGGATTAAAAGTCATTATCACATTACAGATTCTTCCAGCACTAAGAATGATGACTGGGGGTTCAGGGGGTTCCAAGGTCAAGCTTTCTTCAAGCGGGTTCTCACAAGGTGCCAAGGAAGTGTATAAGAACGCCAAGTAGCCGCTTCCAAAGCCAAGAAGCCACACTGCTCATCAATACGCTTTCATCTCTTGGCTCATCTTGAAAATGGTTAAGCTTTCTGTCTGTCTCCTCCTGGGAGGGTTTTCCGCTTTGGCTTCGGCTCTTCCTGCTGCAGCACCAGTTCCAACGGCTGCTCCAGATCTTGATAAGCGAGCAACTACCTGCACTTTCTCCGGCTCGGGAGGAGCTTCATCGGCAAGCAAGTCTAAGACTTCTTGTTCAACCATCGTTTTATCTGCACTTGCAGTCCCGTCCGGCACGACCTTGGATCTGACAGGTCTTACTGAAGGAACTACAGTAAGCTGTTACTCAAAGAGCCCGAAGTTTGCACTATACTGACTGTCCGATCAATAGGTCATCTTTGAAGGTATCACCACCTTCGGCTATGAAGAATGGTCTGGTCCTTTGGTCTCTGTTTCGGGAACAGATATCACCGTTACTCAAACCACTGGTGCTTACCTCGATGGCGGCGGAGCTGCTTACTGGGATGGAGAAGGTTCCAACGGAGGAAAGACCAAACCAAAATTCTTTTACGCACACAACTTGATCTCCTCAAAGATTGAGAACCTTTATATTTACAACCCACCCGTCCAAGTGATGAGTGTTAACGGCGCAAGCGATTTGACAATTTCTGGAGTTACCATTAATGCAGCGGATGGTGATACTGATGATCTTGGTGCTAACACTGATGGTTTTGACATTGGATCCAGCACAAGCGTCACCATCACGGGCGCTAATGTGTACAATCAAGATGATTGCGTTGCTATCAACTCCGGAACTGTAAGTCAACACTTTATTGAGTTTTCTGAGCAAGGACTAACAATTTTCTTCCAGGGCATTACTTTCTCGGGTGGTGTTTGTTCCGGTGGCCACGGTCTTTCAATTGGATCTGTCGGCGGTAGAGATGACAACATTGTTGAGACTGTCTTGTTCGAAAGCTCCGAGATCAAGGATTCGCAAAATGGTATGTCATCCTCCATTGTGAGATTAATGGACCACCTTTCTTAACACTCTCTAGGTATCCGTATCAAGACCATCTCTGGTGACACAGGAACCGTCTCTGGCGTCACTTACTCAGGCATTACCCTTTCCGGTATCACCGACTACGGTATCACAGTCAACCAAGCTTATGATGGCACCTCCGGTGAGCCAACCAATGGCGTTACCATTTCCAAGTTTATTCTCGAAAATATTACTGGAACCGTTGAATCTACCGCCACCAACATTCTTATCGAGTGTGGAAGCGGTTCTTGCACTGATGTAAGTTATCTCTCTCCAAATAGATATCCACGTGATGTGATCAACACAAGATCAAATTCTGACTTTGAATAGTGGACATGGACCGATGTTTCCGTAACAGGCGGCAAGACGTCATCCGACTGTCTCAATGTCCCAACAAGCGGTGGTGTCTCTTGTTCTTTGTAGACACTTTCAAGTAAGACTCGTGCACGTAATCTGAACATGACAACGTCACTCATTTATGGAAGTGATGATCCATGATCACGTGTACCGAGGAGGTTGATCAAACTTGTTCTTTCCATTCTCACAGCCCCTTCGTACCTGTATATATTACCCTTCGTTAGTACATATTTTCGGAGCTTTCCGATCCATTTCGATGTTGAATAGTTGTTCCTTCTTGGCATTTGTTTGTATTCGGGTCCTGCTTCACGTGATAAAGATAAGCGTTTGCGTTGTGGTATCACATGTGTGTGTTACATTCTTCATTTGATCGAGAGATGACCGAAATGGGAGATGTGTCTCAGTGCCATGAGGCGTGTGAGTATCAGTTGAAAGCATCATTATGTACCTAGTTTAAGGATTATGCTCGTATTATGTTTGTGAAGTTCTATACCGGAATCTGAATTTCATTCGATGGATTGGATTGGATTGGATCTTTCGATCATGGGGCCAAGTAAGTCGAACCAAGTCCTTCCCGCCTCTACGAATATACTTGTTGAATGTAATTTCTAGACTGTGATCAAAGATCGATGCGAACCTCGGTTTGGTAGGGCTGTGAAAGCTGGGAAGGATGGTTTATCCTGGGGAGAATCAATTATCATGATGTAATGCTCTCTTTGATTCATCAATGATGCGAACAGGGAAATATACAAGACATACAAGACATACCTATCTAATAATACACCATTACATACAAACATCACTGCTACCTTGTTCCTCAACCATCTGGGCACGTTGTGTGTGTGTTCACCCTTCTCGAACTCTACCAATTAGCACGGGAGTATTGAAAGCATGGAGGGTGTTGGCCTATTAAGCGCTGAGGTGTATCTAGAAGATTATGCAGGCACATGAATCCGGACCCTCATGATTATGCAAAGCGATAAGAGTTCCAGAAGTTGGTGATGTTGTATTGCATGAGTTTATGGAGATAAGAGATGGAACTCGAGCTCCCCCGCGCGCATAGCTTTTGACCAACTCAGCCAACAAGGTGTCATCCGGTTTCATCCCCTATTCTCGATAACGAGCAATCAAATGAGAGCAGAGGAGAGCAGGAGAGAGCAGGAGAGAGCAGGAGAGAGCAGGAGAGAGCAGGAGAGAGCAGGAGAGAGCAGGAGAGAGCAGGAGAGAGCAGGAGAGAGCAGGAGAGAGCAGGAGAGAGCAGGAGAGAGCAGGAGAGAGCAGGAGAGAGCAGAGGAGAGCAGAGAAGAGAGACGAAGAGAGGAAAGGAGAGGAGAGGAGAAGGCTTAGTACTGTATATTGTATGTTGTATGTATTTTACCAAGACCGAGTACATTTCCCCATATTACTCCAGGTCCGGTGATGGCCGAGGGCAATCTAGGTCATACGCCATACACTCATCTACCTGGGGTTCATTGGATCAATGAGAAGGAAGAGATGGGATTGTGCCTTGTTTGCGTGGTTTGTTTGTTTGTTTGTTATTGAACGTGGCGGGAGGCTGGAGCAATGCTGGCGGGTACATGATGTTCAGGCAAGTGAACGAGGTGGAAGCCATTGATAAGCAATGAAACATGTCCCATATATCTTCCTTCTCTTCCTCGCTCTCCCTCCTTCTCCTTCATTCATCATTCAAAGAACTATCAAATATCAATAGCTATACAAATCCCTTTACATTTTCAATTGCAGTATCACCATTCAGATTTCCATTTACGACTTCTACCTAATCCATAATCAAGCCTTCGTCCAGATTCCTTCTTTATCTTTCTTATCCGGATATCAACATCGGATATCAGCCTCACCCTCATCTGACTCACTCACCGAGCACATTCTCCTTTCACTCAACGAAACCTTTGTATTTTGATTCAAAGGACTAATAATCCAAGTTACAACATCACATACATACAGCCTTACTGCTATTCACCACTTGATTGTGTTCTGATTTGCAGTTTCTGATCTTGGAACGTGTGACTCTATCTCCCCGTGCCGCAACTACTCGTTACAGTCATCCGGCCAAAGTCTGAATCATCTTATTCACGAACCTTCTACTTTATTCTTTAATAACCCTTTATTTCTCTCTTAATAAATTTGCCTCTGCGAACATCCTACAAATCCTCTACAAGGTGCTATATTCTTTGAAATCAAAGAGTAGAAACGATACAATACAATTCCCTACGGGACAATCCGATAAGTACGTGAACGGAACGGAAAGGAAGACACTCCTATATCTATTTTAAGGAATAAACCAACACAAAGAAAGGTATACCGCCACGTTCTTCTCTACCTTAGCCTCATCTCTTATTACAAGAAACGTCGCTCCATAAGTATTCCAATCTTACAACTTTGCGCCATACAAATCCATCAACCAAGAACAAGAAAGACGTACAGCATGTCTGCCATTACATCCAACACTCCAACCTCTCCTATTCAACACCGAGACATTCGCTCTGAGGCCCAAGCCTTCAAACGTGATAAGGATCACTCCCAGAAATGGGTTATGGGGGTTCGCCCACAAGCTGGCGCGAACAAGACTTTCATAAGTTTGACTGATGGCGATGCATCTGCTAAGGGAAAGGAGAAGATTAGACCTCAAAAGTTATGGAGTCAAGTGTATGTTTGCTATCCTATCCATACAAAATATGAGGACCCCAGACTAATCCCACGTTCCTTCAGTAGCAGCTCCGACCGACATTACCGTAACAGTTCCAATGCTCCTTCAAAACCATCTGGGTCACCATCTTACAACCATGGTCTTACATCCTCTTCCCGTATCGCCCGCAAGATCGATGCCCATGTTGAGGCTGCAGATAAGACCTCCCATCCTCTCTCCAGATCTCTACTCGATCTTCTTCCAACACATTACAATAATACATCTCCATCTATCGCTACCGCAATCATGAATACTGGTGACGAAGGTGTTCTTTACTCTTTTGATAGAACAGACACACCAAGCAACAGAGTGGACTTGGGTGGGTTGGTAGACCTTGCGGAGCAGAGATGGGTCAATGAACAAACCGAGAAGATCGTTAGGGGTGAATATGAGGTTTTGGATGCAGAAGGAGAGACAGTTCTTCAAAGACAAAGAGGCAGAAAGAGTCCCAGATCCAAGGCTCTTTCTCGTACTCGTGAAGACTCGAAGGCTAAAACTCATAAATCAGAACCGCTTGAGGATGATGGATTTGAACTTATCTAATCTCGAATCCCGGCATGAGTTTGGAAGATCATGATCTCTAGTTGATTGTTATGGTTGCTCCAGCATTGTATTCTCGTACAGCACACCTTGCATTGAGCCACAGGCTCTCGGGAGTTTTTTGTTGTTTTTTCCTTCTTTACATCTGGCATTTGGCGCGCACACAAGCATAGGATACCGGCAGGCAGCTTACTCTGGAGTTTTTGATACACAGAGAAGGATAGCTAGCCTTTGATTTTTAGTTTCAGTTTCTGCACAGGCATTGATAGATGGGCCTGAGGTCTGATTTTTGTAACTTGTTCGGGTGCATTATGGTTATTGAGGTCTGCGTGGGCCATAGCATGGGTAGCTTACCGGTCTAGGGATTGGGAGGATAGCTTGGTGCTTAGGTGATCCTTTTATCAGGGCTTTTTAATGAGTTATGGGTTTGATGGTGTGTACAGCAGGAATGAATGGGATGGTAGATGCACTGGGTAGTTGATCTCAATAGTGTTGATAAGGATGAGGTGTTATACGCGGAGATCCTAATATCATACCTATTACTCACCAGACTTTATTGGAAACTTCTTGTGCTATTTTCCTGTGACTTTCTCACTCTATGATCGATTGTGCTTTTTCGCCCAGTGGTGATGATGGCTCACATCGAGCTAACTTGGACAAATATGGTGACCTAGTCTGGTTTGACCGTCTGAAAATTGTCGAATATAGGGAACAATATTTGCAATCAAGACTGCTAGATTTCATCTACGGTGCTACAGTACCCCTAAGGGTTTTAAATTTATGTTTTTAATCCATATCCTTCAGCAGGATTACGGCATAGTAATGGGGTCGATGAATGGCGAGAGATTGTCGGAGTGCAGGTTCAAAATCGTGGAGTGATTGTCACGTGAGGGACATTACGCGCGTACTTTAGCAACGTGAACGTGTCTTTTTCCCTCGTTCACTTGAACCGTTTGATAGTCGAAGATACCTAGTACACAAAAAGAGAAAGCAAACAGTGAATTCCGGAGAAGTCACAGGTTTTGCCTACGAAAGTACACTGTCGAGATCCGAATAATATAACACTCTCTTGCCAGCCGCATTATGAAGATATGTCAATATGGCCACCTTCAATTCGACAGCGTATACTGGTAGGTTACAAATAGCTCACTATAGTGCGCAATTATTTTAAAGAAATAGGGTTAAACGTGCTAAAAACATTTTTATATTATGTACGGATATATACATTTAGAGAACCATTCCTACTTCTGTCCTTTGAGAGCCAGAGAGAAACAAAAACAACGGTGCAGGCATGAAGCAATTAAGCCGAACCGAACTGCTCCTCGCTCTCAAAACCAGTGTAGTTGAAGCCGGCAAATACGGCGCCAATATCGTCAGCACCGCCATACAGGTTCAGGTATAATAGGTATGTCTGGTAGTCAAGTAGGACGGCCGAGCTGTTAGCAGAAGAAAGCGCCGAGTTGGCACGTGTGATGGCATCATCAAGCTGGGTATAGACGTCTTGGGTGACCCATTGCTTGGTAGAGGAAACGTCTGAGCCGTCGGTACTGATAGTCGCATTGGCTAGCTGGGCTTGAGCCTGGGCAATGGCCCGGGTAAGGAACGCGCCTGAGTTGCCGGCACTCGTCATACCAACGGGACCTCCAAAGTCCGAGGCATTGGTGACGGGCACGAGCCAGAGGCTAACGTTAAGACCCGCGGCCGTGTCGTTGGTCAATCCGAAGAATTTCTGGGCGTCGGTGAATTCACCAGGTCGGTTGGAGATAGGTAGGTTGTCGCGGGAGAAACGCATAGCATCTTCGTAGACGACGCCGCCGACATCGTAATCGGTGTGGTCAGCGCCGTCGATGAAGATGCCGAGGATCTCCTGGGCGCGCTTCATGGCCCAGCCATTTGGGCCGTACCAGAAGAGAGCGACGTCGCCCGACTTGATACTAGTGTCGAAGTTGGCGGCTGGGATAGGCGTCCCACTGCCGTCGAAATGGTCGGCGTCGAAAATAGTACCTTCATAGGGAGTCTTGTTAACGACGTCGATATTACCGCGGTAGACCGAATAGGTGCCATTGGCGTTTTGCGTAATGGTGTCGATGGTGACCCCCTCGAGGTAATCGGCATCGATGAGGTCAGTGTAGCCATCACCGTTGGTATCCCAGAAGCGCACCTCGAGACCTGCAACAATGTTTGTGACGAGGGAAAGGGCGGCGGCGTCGTAGCTATCGGCCTCGGTCTCAGCCTCATAACCACCCCACCAACTCGCGGTTGTAGTGTTGTAATACAACCAAGGCACTTGATTGATCAGGTAGCCGTCGCTCACGCACTGGCTGGCGTTCTGAAAGATGGCCTCGGTTCCTGGGATAGCCCACAGGTTGACATAAAACTGACCGGCGGCGATAAGGGCCTTGACACCCTCGAGAGCGCTCCCTTGCTCAAAGTACTGGTCGTATTGAGTTGCAGTGACGTTGGCGGCGTCGGTGCCCAAATCAAGCACGATAGCACGGAGTAGTGTACCATCGACCTGACTGCCCGAGTAAGCGGTGCCGCAAGCTGCCAAGCCAGTGGAGGGCAGCATGGCTAGGGCTGTGATGTCAGCGATTTTCATGTTTGCAATGACTTCGAGGGAGCGGAAGAGAGATGCAATGGAAAAGAACGTTGATCAAGACGGGAAAAGAGTGTCAATTCTTCGTTGTATCTGGCTACCTTCTTCACATGGTCGATATTTATCTTCTCTTGAATCCAAAACGGGTACCTAATTTCCATATCCCTATCATGCACATCTAGCTCGGTGCCGGAAAAAGCGTCGGCACTCAATCCTGTGCGCTCAGATATGTGGAGACGGCTTGGGCCCCGTCCCCACCGGATTTTCGACAATTTGAGAATCGGTACACAATTATATCTAGGTATACCACTCCCCTGAGTCTTCTCCTTCCTAAAGGAATATACAAAACCGTGGGTTCTCAATTTTTGTGGCTAATCATTTGCGGCTACCATTCAAAGATCCACGGTGTTATACTCATTAGTCAGAAGGAGGGAGGCGGGGAGGGTAGTATATGAGAATTATTAGATACCCCACAAGGACGCGTGATATGGGGGCTCTCGGTCCCGAGATTGAAAGACGATAAGGTGCAGAGAGTTCATCACGGACTACGAACCGCTCACGGTATACACGACTCAAACCCCCGCCTATTGGCCGGATCAACAATCCTTTCTTCCAGGTCCCTAGTCTCTAGAACTTAATATCCTCAGAGTACTTAGAAGGGTCCAGTTAGAACGCACCTGCCAGCGGAACGCACACGCACACGCAGCGTACCGGCCCATAGAATGACTAAACTTACTTTGAGCGATATTTTAGCAGAATTTTTCTCTTTCGGAGGACGACTATGAACTCAATCAAATTCGTTAAAACAGATCATCAATATCGATGAATCGTTCCGTTGGCAGGTGGGCCCTTCTAGTCTTCCTGAGCCACTGCTCCGATGCGGTTTCCCCTAGTGTTTCCGATACAAACCATAATTAATTGAAGGCAAAGTTATACCCAATGAAACCCCTCAGATTCTATATTTCAAAGGATCTTATGGGTGTTTTTACAATTTTTTTCAACTCCTCAAAGGCAAGGTTAATTGTTCAGCGTAGAGAAGATGAACTCTAAGACCTGGTCCAACTCTGTCAATTATTGGGCATCACTTCATCATATACACAACTGTAGATCGTAATTAACCGCCTCAACCTCGTCACTCAGTAGAAGCACTGATTACTTTCCAGAGGAGCCTATTGCCTGCTCGACCGTGCTCTGAATTCCTTTAATCTCGAAGGGTTTGAGTGCGTCACTGAAGCCCTTTTTAGAGTAGAAAAGTGGATGTTTTGGAGAAGTAGTCCTACCTCAAGTACATTCCTCGGCGTATGTTGCGTGTTCCAGAGTCTGGATGGCGGTGATGTTCTGGAAATTCCCATGTCCTGATCTGGCTGCGTGCGTAGTCTCTCAAGGGTCTTCCGGTTCAGCGTTAGCTTCATCCGTCTTTTCTTCAGCAAGATATACATCCCCACCGAAAATGAGGGTTTGCAGTTGGCGCCAATGGCACTTTTCTTATTGGTCGTCAAATGGCCATTACAGAATCACTAATAGAAGTTACAGAATTTCAGATATAAGCATTGACCCTGGAAAGACTTCGACCGGTCGGGTTTTCATCATATGACTATCTAATGCAGATTCTCGATAGACTATCATTCAGTCAATCTTGATATCATGGTTGGTCTGATATCGGATTCGATCGCTTCAGGTAGATCTGGCTTGATCATCAATGTGGGGATGGCTAACCGGTGCAGTGGGCGTCGATGATATAGGTGGCTTTCGAAATGGACAATTCGATTGAAGTTGAATTGATTATAAATTGACTGCAACATCAACGGTCTCCTACCACTACCGCCAACAGCACCTTCTTTATTTGCTCAATATCGAAAACAGAGAAGTAACACCCCTTTCAGGAGAACGGCCCCGACGGCATCCCCTGTCGCTAAAATCATGGTTTCGGCACCGAAATCAAAAACATACTTTTTGCAGATGTTCCTGCGAATGTGCTCGCGTATATTGATATACCTACAGTATCCTCATATTTGCAAGCAATGGCTACATCTTTTATTCCGGGGTTGTGGCGGTCTCCTTCCTTAGCTGGGTAGCTAATGCATCTGGCCCTCTCGTTTCCGAGAATACATGCGTGCCTTGGACTTCACCACTTCCTCCGTGCGTGAGACTCTCATTCGTAACATTCGATCTTTGTTGTCTCGATCTGTCACATATTCGTAGGAGGCGTTGAAGGCCTTCTTATTGGATTTCATCGAGGGAGTGGCTGTCGATATGCTATAGACTTGTTGTCAACATGTTATCAAGACAGTTGATAATTTGCGTGGCGCACGCTGTATGATGATGGAGCAGAGTGCATATATCAGTATTATTATTGGAATGTTCCTTTTTATTATTTGTATCTATATGTCATCCGTCAATTCGGTTACAGAACTACTTGAACTGAAGCAGATACTGACCAATATGCAGAGCTGAATGCACACAATTTACTATTCTCACAGATTTATCAAACAAGCATCGTAATATTGATATCTTAATTGCATTCTTGAATGGCTATCCGCCAGTAACGTTCCTCCTCAGTTTGACAGGACGTACTGCATGTTAACTTTGCAAAGTAAATCTCGAGATGAAGAACTTTTTTCCCTCTATTTTTCAATCTGTGATATATATTGTAATCAAGAGTCCTCAATTTGAAAGTGCATCTGATAGAATTTTCATTTTGTTTCAGAAATTGGTTTTCTATTCTGTACGTACTTATGTTTCAATGTTGATCGATTGATTTCGATGTCCCATACATAGACACACCATACTTTTACCTCAGCCAATGAGAATCGCGATGCTCTCTTTCCGACAGATAACAAGAGCTCGGGGAAAAACCGGCTGAATATAAATAAATATAACCAGTGGATCACCATCAATAAGGCGTCGTGACGGAGTGGTTAACGTGATTGACTAGAAATCAATTCCTTTCGGGGGCGCATGTTCGAATCATGCCGACGTCGAAATCGTTTAACTTTTTGGTGGCCGGCAGTTCATTCTTTCCTTTTCTTCATCAGAAATGTTTGCATCCTCCTGTTCATGGGGATTTTATTGTATTTTTGAGTTTGGAGGAAATTGTGGGGTTGGGAATCATTTTCATGTGGAGTCGTTTACTGGGATGGCTGGGGATTGGCTGAGGAAGCACAGTTTTTGTGGATATATATGGAAATGTGTTTGGAGATTGTATTGTGGAATCGTAATTTGTGAACTTTAGTACAATGTGAAATTAAGGTGTGATGGTAGTTCATGTGGATGTTGAGCTGCGTGGTATGTATTCAGTAAAGTCGCCGCTTCGAATTATATCGTGATCGCCGTCTAAAATGAATGATGGGCTTGTCTGGAGGAAGCTTTCTGTTGTCTATGTATTCAAAGCACCGGGCCTCATTTCATATTAAGATGCTATGAAAGGGTTGACATTCAATCATCTCAGCAGCCGGCTAGAATTTGAAGGATAGTTGTTGAATCTCTTTCGAGTACTGTGGCTCAAGAAACGCTGGGTATGGGGAAAGGTGGAAAAGATGAGAGACACTTCCGATTTGGAATGAATATCTCCCATAAACAGCCTCTTCATTTAAGGAAAGCTTTCTTCAAGTCAGAGCTTGTATTAAATATCAATAGATGACAGCTTGGAGTCGATTTTACACCACATCTGTTTTCATTTTTAGGTCTATGGCATGAAATAAGTGAAAAGGTAAATAGGCTTTCCGAGGCATGGAATTTAGGTGTCTAATTATACAAACGACAGATGAAATGATTTGTTTCCTATTAATTCTAGGATGATTGAAAATTTCGATCTTCTCAAGATTTCATGTGGCAAACATCATTACTATTCATAGCGTTGAAGTTATACACTCGATAAGTGATGTCGGCAAATCACGAATACCCCTTTTTCGGATCTAGGATGAAAATTAGCATCGCAATTTGATATCTGCCAGTATTATCAATACTTCAATCCTCAGGAAAGCCTTTCCAACCAGTCCATTATACAAAGGTCTTAGAACAAGAGGATATTCTTTCTTTGTGTCCTCACCTTATTCCGGTAAGGATGTCTTTATCTCTCCTGGATTGCCTTTTCATTCAGCATCCCAAAACGTCAAATGAATTTTGGGCAAGGAAAGGACAGTTCTTTATCACACCTTAGGAGAACCTAGTATAATATTTAATATACACGGCCACCACAATATTGATGGCGGATTCGAAAAATTCCAACGCATCTAAAAAGAAGTGGTAATCTTTTCGGAATCCATAAGTTTGATCTCGTACATACATCTCTCAATTGCAACACGATGAACGAAGAACAACTCGCTCGCGTCCTTCGACGTGATCCCAACATCAACGTCGCCAGGCCCATATACCAAAGACCCGAGCGGACTCAACCCCTCAAATGGGCTCAATATACGCCCCACACCCTGAAGCAACAAAATCTACCACGTTATACAACGATCCGTACGACCGAGCCCCTACAATGGATCCCGCAAGAACATTTAAAGAGCGCATGGCCACTCCTTCCTCCGCGACCCCCTGCATTTCCCGAGCTTCCTGCGAATAAACACACTCTTGAACGGTTCGAGGTTGAAGAAGCAAGGAAGAGGCAAAGGAGGGAGGCACGTAAAGCCCAAAAAGAGGCAGAATTGGCGAAGAAAGTTCCTCCTCCAGCCCCCAGACCGGAAATTATGCCTCTATCTCCACAAGCAGCTCGCGCGCCCAGACCGAAAGATCCACATACTGAAGAATTGCGCAAAAAATGGCCGGGCCCTGGAGACTGGGAATATAAATGGAAGCATAATCTACGCAAGGATGCAAATGAGGCAGTAAGAGACAGTATTCCGGATGACATGTACGAGCCCCCGATCGTCAGACCAATGCCTGGACGAGTGCCTATAAACAAAAATTTGCACGTCGAAATACCATTCATGGATGGTGTCATCTTTTATCCGAGTAGAATACCCGCGAGTGGAGATTGTTTTTTCGGTTCAGGTGAGTTTAGGATATATTCTTGTGATCGGGTGTCGATAGAATCTCATGCTGACAATCTCAGTCTCAATGGCTTTGTATGGAACTACTCTGTATTGGCACTATACGAAGTATTGTCACTTGTGGTTTTTTCGTTACGTGCTCACGCATCCTGCACATCCGCGATATGACTTCTATTGGCATTTAAATTCTTTTGGGAACGCCGAAGGCGAAATGAATATGTGGCATCGATTGAACACTCCACATGTAAGTTACTGCTCGTACATATATACTGACCGATGTGATAGTGCAGTTGCTAACCATAATTCCACCAGGCCTGGCAATCAAGCGAGCTCTTTAACATCACAGCCGACATCTACAATCTCTTTGTAGTACTATACGAGGCACCCAAAACGATCGATCTCTTTGGCCATTACAACGCGACGCACGTGTTTTTCCACCTCATCAATCGGAATCATTATGAAAGTTTGATAGCCGAGGACAACGAGATTCAGTTTCCTTTTCCCGATGGCGTGACGGTTAACCCCAGGCCTGGAAGATCAAAGATGCGACCTTTCGGTACAAATAGAAATATTGTGCCTCCACCCATTGCGCTGCCAGTCATCCCGCGTCCGTCGTTGATGGATATGACTCGAGTTCTTGGGATCAATACCGCAGAAGGAGCTCTAGATATTGAGTTGGTCAAGACCGGACTGAGAAGAGAAAGGAGGTTGGCAAGGGAGCTCAATGATCCTACGGAGATCAAGTGGTGGGTGAAAGCAGAAGCCAAGGACAAGGAAGAGGAGAGGAAAGCAGAAGAAAAAAGGATCGCCGACGCAGCAAAACCAAAACCTCCGGAGAAGGTCACATTACCTACAAATGAGGAATTAGCAGCAAACCTCGCGAAAATATTGGCACAGGGGAAGAAAACCGAGCAGGGAAAGGTCTCAAAGGAAGATCCAGACAATCCCAAAAGCAAAAAGATTACAAAAAAGATAGTCTACAATCTCAATAGCGACGATGAGGACAATGATCTTGACGAAGCGGATAACTTGATCCCGAGAGATCAATACACACCGGGAGGAACGAAAAAGAAAAGGAAAGTCATCGGTTTCATTCCTGATTCCGATGATGACGACATTGATATTTACGAAACAGCAAAACAATCAAGTAAGAAACCGCCAAAGGGGAGGCCGCAAAAGACTCCTGGAAATCCTGATAAGAAGTCTACTTCCAAGACTCCCAAGACGGGAAAAACACCCAAAAAACCGCCTAGGTGGTGAAGAGAAATATCTTGAATGTTGTGAATGCGGAGTTTGCGGAGGAAATTCTATTGAAAGAGTACTTACTGATTGATGGATTGTGCTTTGGCAAAGAGATGCTGGAGTCAGTATATATGGGTTTTCTGTAGTATAATTGATTTTTTCAAGGAGAAACTTTGTTTTATATAGTATTCAATATTGTACCTATTTATGTTTATCTCGAGTCACTAGATGAAGGGGTATAGTAGTAATCCGGTTATCTGACACGTGAAATTTGGAAGCTGTCCATAAGTGATATATTTGACGAAGAATCAAAAACTATGAACCTTTTCACTACTACTTACAATATTTCGTACTGGCATGCTAGTTTCAGGCGTATAATGATTTTACACCCTCTCTATGTCTGATCTTCCCTATCCCCTAGACTTTTCAGGTCGCGGGGATGAAGTATCGATCTCATTATTAAGTTTAGTTGATTTCGAACAACCAACATTGAGACTCAAAAATGAACTGTATCGCAATCCTCCAAATCGTTTTTAAATCAGCATTTGCTACAATATTTCCCAGAATTATGTTCATAGGACCCCATATACTAAATCTTCCGTACACAAGCCCCTTCTCCTTTACCTCCTCAATAAGTGACCCAAACGCGAAACAATATCATCCCCGAAGCTCTCACTATCTGTATTCTTTGTCTTAAGATCATGAATTCCGGACTTGGACTCCCCTTTATCCAACAGCCAATGCTCAAGCAACATCCCCCAAGCAACAAAGCCCGCTTTATCCCAAAAAACCAACCATACTCCAAGCACTCAACAACAAGTAAGCACAATGATTAATTCCCCTCCAGACGACCTCTCCCTCCCCTCATCCATCCATCCACAAACCTCTCCAAAATGTCCAAAGAATACGACGTCCACCACACATTCGACAGCCGAGAAGAATACCAGCGCCCCATCACCAGCGCCGACATAAGCGACTACATTCCCCTGCAAGCCGGCCGCGAAAATATAAACGAACCCACCCCCTTCGACGTACTCGAATGGCTCTCCGTCTTCTACGGCCAGAAAGTTCCTCCGCTGCCCGTGATTCGCGCGCGGGATATCGAAGAAGTTCCCGATCAGCGACTCCAGGAGACATTGGAGGAGTATCAGCTCTTTACCCCGACGGTGCGGGGCGTAAAGTTAAATCCCTTTACCGAGATTGGCATTGAGGGGTTTCCGTTGATTGAGGATACGAGGTTTAATATCGTGCGCAGCTATCCGGCCGATGAACAGTATCAGGGTCCGCATAATTTGATTTGGCTGGTGTCGAATTCGTATTGGAGAGCGGGTAATTATATGTTTTACTTGTCTTCTCTCTCTCTCTCGTCCTCAAAAAAATAATAAATAAATAAATGAAAATAAATAAGCAAGGATACTAACACAACTCTAGTGGCCTGGGCCATCTACGGCAACTGGGAACTCTGGCCGCATGTGAAATCCCAACACCGCATGATGTTGGGACAAGTACTCGCCACCCCCAAACATCCCCGACACATACTCTACCGGCGCCTGAACGAAAAGCGCAAAGGCCACAACAACCTCAACATCAAAGAGCGCCTCGGGATTCCCTACTGCGCGATTCGACACGACGACATCCAGCAGATCACCGCAGACATGTACGGCATCTTCCTCGTCATATTCACCTGTCGACCCGCCGGCCAAGCAGCAAACATCCCCGGCTTTGGCAGCGACCAAAATCCACGACACTTTGCGCCGACCATCCGCGGGGAGTTCAACCGCCCGCACAAATTCATCCGGCTCTCCATCGGCACCGTGCCCGAGAAATACAGAGATTATCCCGACGCGAGCCTGCTGCCCCTCTGGCAGATGTACGAGCCAATGATGCTCAACATGCCGAATTTGCACCACTCGGATTTCAAATACATACGTCCGACGTATGAGAATACACGGGAGTCACTACCCGTAGATGCGTCCATGCGGCCGATGGCTTACGACGGAGTGAATCATCCGTGGAGGGCAATAAATATTGCCTGGAGCGAAGGGTGGTATAGTGATTATCAAAAGGGTATTCCAGATGCGCTTACACAGCCGGCGAATTGGCCGGAGGCGTTTCCGCAGAAAGCAATGTCCCTGACGATTGCGATGGGATGTATACTTTTGGGAAAGGGAGATCCGAAGGATCCAAGGTCTTGGGCTCATGATTCACGTAAGATCGTGTGGATAAAGCCGGACAAGCCAAAGAAAGTGGAAGAGGCAAGGGAAGAAAGTCCAGAATTGTAATCGTTTGCAGAAAGGGGGATTTTTGTGATATAAATATCAGCTCTACATTTTTAGTAGACAGGGAAAAAATATCTTTACTAGGGTTGTGACTTTGAGTTGACAATCGTATTATAATAAATCGAATAGTATCATTTGATTTAATAAAACTAACCTCTTAACAAAAGAAAGAAAAAATAAGAAATGTTCACTCTTCCTCTGAGATCATACAGTAGCAATACACCACTAGTCAAGAACCCCAGAGATCCACTTGGAGCATATACATGATTACAACCAAACAATTCATGGGGTACAATTACTAAATACCATACGCAGATCAAATAACGAGACTCTTAGAACCCAAACCCTGACAAATCCAGGCTCCAAATAGTACATATTCCGCATCACTCCTACACCCTTCACTCTTCACTCTCATCACTTACTGATAATATCACATTCCTCAAGTTCTCTAAGACATCCCCTCCTAGTACCTCAGTAGTATTTACATATAAGCACTTGCGTACATCACTCTCTACAGTCGGGTTTAGCGAGAATGTAAGAGAGGAATTCGGGTTGTTGCTGTTTTGACGTAAGATCTAGTCATGAATATTTTGATTTTTATATCGATTAGATGTCCTCGACGTCAATTCATAATACCCACCATTCCCACCCATCGAAACCAAAAGGAAGCCAAGCTCGACATGTTCTTCCAATCCACGGTGCACGAATTTTTGTGAAAGCTACGCGTGATTCGCACACACGACTGACTACAGCCCCATCGGACCTGGCTGCAAACATCAAGTGGGTGGAATCTTACTACAGTCTCAATTTGATGTAATATACGAGTATTAGAAGATGATGAAGCGAGTCAGAAGGAAGCTTGGAACGTGATAAGAAGGAAAATTTGGGGTACGAAGTAGAGAGCACTAACAATTTATTTATACTCGATTTTATATCATTAAAGTTCACTCGAACATTACATAGCAGCACATGAGAAAGAGAGGGGGAAATATTGAAAAGAAAAGAAAATTGATTATGGAGGAGTTTCCGTTTTTTTAGGCGAGTTGTTTCGTTTTGTGTTGTTTTTGGGGTTTCTGAAATGAATAGAAATGAAAAATCCTAGGGCATCCCACAACAAATGAAATAATGAAATCTAAGTATTCTCATACTTTATTACAAATGAAAATTGGAAGATGTTACCATTGTGTTTTTACCAAAATTGCGAGCGGGACTGTCAACGTCTTGTCTAATGTGAGCCGGCGCCTATTATGCTAAGTTTCATGGGGGCAAGATGATTTGCAGGGACATCTTCATCTTCTCCATCTTTCCGTGGCTTTCCAAACTTTTCCTTGAATAAATCTAACCAGTGAACCGTTTCCATGTGCTTTCTTAGATTGGTCGTATGGCGTTTGAAGTCATGGCCACATAGCTTGCAAACAGTCTCCGGATGAACTTTGGTCTCATGGACGCGCAAAACATGTAATCTCAAAGAAGCGGGAACGGCGAATTTGGCATTACAACCTTCAACAGAACATATACAGCTGTATTCCGCGTGAGTGGAATCCATGTGTCCAAGAAGAACAGAATTGCTCGCGAAAGATTTTTCGCAAATTTTGCATGGGAATTCGCGAACGTGAATATCAATGTGGCAGTTCAGGCTCTTCAAAGTACTTAGCTTGCGGTTACAACCAGGATGAGGACATGGGAAGGTTCCATGGTAATTCTTGACATGGTTCTTGTAACCCTGAAGATTGACGTATGTGCGATTACACTCTTCACACTTGTTTTTGATCTCTCCATGAATCTCCTCGATGTGTTTGTTAAGATCAGTTTTCAGGGAGAAGCTCTCATCACACTTTGTACATGGATGGAATTGGCTTGAATGTTTAGCACTCTTATGAAGAGTCAGCGAGTGCTTGTCTCGTAGATGCTTTCCGCATAGAGCGCAAATACAAGTCAAGCCGCTGGCTTTTTGACTGGATTTCTGAATTCTGCCACTCATCTTGACAAGTTTTAGGGTTACTAAGTAAGTTTTGATAACCAAGTAAGTTTAATACTACCGTTGTTTGAATGAGTGGATGTTGTTGTTGCTGTATGAATTGAAAGTGAAGTATGGAATTACCTTGAAGGAACTCTGCAGTTTTTATGCAAACAAAAATGTCCTGTTCAGATGTGAAATTGTTTTACTCTTGATGAACAGTCGCAAGTACAAGCGCAATACAATGCCATTGTACTTTTGTGGAAGTATTTCCTTGTTCCATGTCAGCAACAGAGACAGGATCGAAAACTGAACAATCCCTTGTCAGAAATTATGATTTAGCACAAAGATGACTGGCAAATTCGATTGGTTAAGCTTTACTTTCTGCATTGAAATCGAGATGACTGTACATTTCAGTAGATATGATGTACAAGATGAGATCGTACCCCACATTCAACTAGTAAAAGCTCGAGTAAACATTTGCAATGCTCGTCGTCATCTCCATTAATGTAAAACACATCACGTGATATTTGATATATTTTCGGGAACACAACCCCAGATTAAGGAGAGGAAACGAATTGTTTCCGTCCGATCGGTAGATCAGACAGTGTGAGACATCGAGGGTTCATCCCATCTATTGAGGAGATTCTACTTTCCATGACTCCATGGATGAAGGCATGATGACACATGACGAGGTTGCATGCTGAATTCCCATATTGATGTTCATGCCAGGAATTTCAAAAGAGAAGCAAGTGGTGCTACAGAGAAAATGAGTGCAACAGATGAAAGGGCAATCAAATCCGTCTCGTGAATTCATCTCAACTTAAAATGATTTGATAAATGAGCGCGAAAATTTCCGATACATCATCTGTTTGAGCAACCTACACGCTTTGTGCAACATGGTCTCAAGTTGGACGACCCCTCATTACGACAATATTGTTTGATCTGAGGAAGGAAGAGATGATATGAAAGGATTGGATGGTGGAGTTGGGAATCAAGAATGGAAAGTTTGAGAGATGCGCAAAAAGGGTTGTTTCGAGCGTGGAAAGAAATGAAGAAAATACATGGCGCAGCATGGATTTGAAGGACGGGGAAAATAACGTGATTCGCCAGTCTCAAGCTTGATTGTGAGAGTTGTGAGAAGAGCATCTATTTGATTCTCAATAAGAATAATTTCTCCAAAATGGATTGAATAGTAATAAAGTGAATATAAAACATATTCCTTTTGTTTCGCGTGATGGATTTGAGTAATCCATGGATTGGTGAGGGAGGGTATTCCAACTTCCCAGGTTGGTTTGAAATCTCCACTCGACCGCTCTTCAACCAATCAGGAATCTTTGGGATCAATTCGAAAGGATCTTCAAGGCTGCAGCAGTGCATTCGGGGAGAGTTGGTACCTTGAGTATGGTAACCTTCATTTAAACGCTCCCAATTGATGGCATCTTATCTGATCTCGTCTCATCTCATAAATATAGATTGTGGAAGAGGCTGAGATGCGGGTTGAAAGGTAGCAATTGATGAATAATGCTACCTAGTTGGTGGCATGTAGGAATGTGGAGGGAAATGTTATTATTTGCATGTCGGAAATTTCCTCTTGCTGCGGTGTAAAGGAATCATTTGAATTGCCCAGGTAGATGTAAGAGACCGACGGGAAGGAGCATTTTGGCTTACACACGTGGCGCAGAAGTGAGATAGGTAGCACGACTGCAGGTGGGTAGTAGATCTAACAATTATTCGCAGGAGTACGCAGGCTCGCAGGAAGATGATAGAAAGGGTACCTACGAGTCCGACCTACTACCTACCTATCTAGGTACCTAGTGATCAAGATTTCTTTTACCTTTGATGGATAATTCCTCCTGATGTGCGGAATATGGAGAACATGAACTGTGAATCGGATCCTTTCCTAAAATTCATTAGGAGTGAAGAAAGAGAAAGAGAATTGCTCCAATGAATCATCTTCACGTGTTCTTTTACGGTCCTTTTATCGAATCTAGGTACCTATGCAATGTATTGTTGTGTTGTCGTCTTGTCGCCGTTGAGCCGAGTACAGGACATATCGTATCTAGATTCGACTAGACTAGGTAGGTACGGTAGGTACGGTAGATCCGTAGATGTTCGTTGAGTCGTGAGTCGGATTAATGATCAATCACGTCAATATGCACCATGAAAATGCTTTTCATTGAATTTTCTTTCTTCACTCCAGTGACTCCACGTACTCTAGTCAGGTCCTCTCTACTCTCTACCTACCTAGTCTCGCGACCTCGAGAAAAAGCCGGACACCAACCCTGCAAAAATAAAAGAGAATCTAGAAATAATCTTTTTCAAAATTTAATATAAATTTCTTTATATTTTATATTATTTTGAAAACTGAAGCTTTAGAATCTTTCTTTGATAAATTATTAATATATATAATTTCAATCAAAAAGTTGAATCTATTGTTTTGATATTAAATTTTGATTAAGGTGTAGAATTTTGGTGGACGGTTTTTTCTTGAGGTCGCGAGCTAGTCAGGAACCATTTTATTAACTTCTAAGGCTGAAATTCTATTGGAACTTTTTAACCATGAATTAACCATGAATTAACCGCCAATTCGGGTTAATTCAGGTACCGGCGACCCACTTTTTACAGAGAGATCCACTTAAATTTCGCTTGTTTTCCGAAGCGCCTATAAAACGAGATTTGTCTCATAATAATCCTTACTAGCCACCTATTGGATCCTCGCCATATCCTTGCCCTTCACGTTCAAATTTAAGATTACGGTTGATTGTGGGGATTAGCTTGAGCTTTTGGAACTGGACGAACTGGACGAACCGGTCGGTATTGCAGTAAGGATGAAATGACTAACGGAAACACGCTTTCTCTCTTGTCTTGACTTTGCATCTGGACTCTGGACGGTTGAGTCTTGAGTCTTGTCTCTTGACTCTTGACTCTCTACTGGACCCATTACACCTGAATGAAGTGTAACAGAAGTGAAGCTTAGTACTGCTTGATGTTTGAGAACGTGCAAAGACTGAAGCTTGAGACGATAAGAAGATAAAGAAAGAGATTCAGCATGCCAGGCGATGACCTTTACAAATCACGATTCGTGAATGTTCAAAGTCAAAAAGGAAATGAAATATGACGATGAGCCATGGAGATGAGAAGATACGGTGTAGCGGTACTCCGGTATGGTATACACCGTACAAACTTAACAGACCAACTCAAAATCCGGAGATTGTTCATGTTCAACAGACTTCATCTTATTTCATTTGTATGATTGTATGATTGTATGATTGTATGACAGAAACTCATTTCTTCCTTGCTCATATTAGATTTCCCCCCCATTGCCCCATTCACTGGATATTAACAATAGGAGAAAAAGAGTCACTTGATTTGATCGCTTAGATTAAATTTTATATTGTTAATTCAACTTTATATCTTCCACTGCGGTGTAATACCATGGTCCATGTGGAATCTTATGGATTGCCTCTTTTGGATATAATCATTGGAATCTAGATGGATGTGTTCTAGGATTCGCCGTGGTACAATGGATCGTTTCCCACTCATTTGTCAATTGCAAGCAGATCAATCATCAAGCATAACAAGCATAACAAGCATATCAACCAAGTCAACCAAGTCAAGCGCACACACTTAATTATTACCCGGGCCAAGCTTCTCTACTTCCCCTAGTCAACCTGCGAAATCCACCAGATTCCAACGTGGGAAGAAAGAAAAAGAAAAAACAAAACGCTGTCAATTTACCCCCAATCCAATCACGGGCCACCGTTAGCAGGAAAAGACCAAGATCCACTTCTACTCGACCGCTCGCGCTCGCTCAGATATCTTCTTCATCTTGCGCCCCAATACTTCTTCCTCCTTCTCTCTCTTCTAACAACAACACACACACACACACACACACACACCTTCATTATCCCAATACCTGCAGCTTGCTCCAGACAACTCAATCAGACTTCGTTGGCAAAGTCTACAATCACCTGCATTCAAAGTATATTTCAAGAAAACATACTCCAGACATCATCTATCAGATTCACTCACCATCATTCGATACCTCCCCATTCACCAAACGCAATATCCTTTCTACCTCTTGTTCAAGGTTTGAGTCTATTGACCCAAAACACTCCACTTTCGAAACAATATCAAACATTATCTGCGCTTTGATCAATATCTTTTGGATATACATCTTCCTCCTCGAAGCAACTACCCACCAACGACTACTCAAATCTATTTAACGTTGGTCTCGATCCTTCAAAAACTATATTACACATTCCTCTCATACAATTACTTTCTTGTCAATAATTTCAAAAGTCTTTCCTACAGAACTTTTTCCAAACAACCACATACACAATGCAGTTCCACGGTCTCACAGCATTGTTGCTTTCCCTTTTTGTCGCATGTGTATGCGCACAATCAGTTACCTCCACCACGACCTTCACATCTACATCCACCCACACTCGCACCATTACCGTATCTGAAGTCGTCGCCTCTGTTACCTCCACCTACTCCACCTACAACACCTCTGCCATTGCACCTACCGGATCCGTTGGAACCATCATCGCATCCACAACCTCAAGAATTGGCGCATCGGCCTCGGCTGTACCAACCTTCGTCGGTGCAGCTTCAAATGTTCAAGTAAGCTATGGTGTAATGGGATTGTTTATCATGGCTGTTGCAGCGTTGCTGTAAACAAACAAATGATGAGACAAAGAATGCGGGTCCATCTAGACGGCGCCGATCATGTATTTGATTGATCGTCATTCCTGCCCTATGGGCATCTAGATCTTTTCTTGGAATGCGTTTCCAAAAATACCCTTTCTTCATCTCCCCATGATAAGAAAAACTTCACACATCCGAAATCTTCGATGCGACATCTCATCACCTTGGTTTACACTTCACACTTCTTTTTACGAAAATCACCCCCTTTTACGGCTTGACGATACCTTTTTGTTCTTTTTTGATTTTACTTCTCACGCCAGATAAATTCTTGCTCGCTTTTTTGATCTTGTTTTCTCTTTTCGACGGAGCACGAATACCCCCGATTAACGATTAAAATATACCCTCACACATATCTTTGATTCGTTACCTGGAGTTTTTTTTCGATTCATCTTCTTTCTTGGTTACTCCCTCTACCCACACCTCGAGATTCCATACGTTGATGCGTATACTACGATGTCACTTGTGATAATCTAAACGTATGCTCTTGATTATGAATACCTGTCAGATTACAATGACTATTCATAATGATGAGTACGTGTGATGGAATTGGTATAGGTACGGGTAATCATGATATGATTTATTTGGATCCTTTTTATATTTGATTTATGGATGGGTGGCTTGATTTGCATTGGCGGTCATTGGCATGGAACAATATTTACACCACCTTTTTTGTTATATACTCGCCGCTGATCGGCTTGAGGATATTGGGAGAGGACGGGATTGGATAGAAATTTCTTTTCTCGATGAGACGTTTTATACCTTTAGTTGTGCATAGTTTTTGTGGTGTGGTTGGTGATTTTTTTGGTGGTGCTAGATGCATGGAAAGGTGATAGACGATGAATGCATAAAGCATGGAAAGGGGATGGAAAGATAGATAGAGAAAATGAGAAACCAAATATGAAATACGTTGTTATTAATTATCTGCTCGTTTTTTGTGAAGAAAGTTTGCGATTGATTTGTACTTGTTGATGCGGTTGGATGAATTGCTATACATCGACGGAAGTTTCGAGTGAAACTCTCTTTCTTTCTCCCATTCTTCGTCTTGTATACCTACGAGTATCTACATATCCAATCCAATCCCATACATTTCTATAACCTACCTAATATCTACCATCTACCCATACGACACACCAATCTAGACAAACAAAGATATTCACACCTAAGTCGTTATGGGTCGACGTTGTCATACTCTATACTCAGGGACTCACATTTCATTCCTTCTTTCATCTACCACCTACCACTAAATCTCCATCTCCACTCATCGAAAACTCCTCTCCTCTCCTCTCCTCCGAAACCCCCATCAAAAATCCGTAAAATGCAATTGGAAAATGTAATCGGAAAATACAACAACTCAACACGAGTACGCCTGTAGAAATCAATACTGGGTATGTTTTTCTCTCGTGTTTTTCTTTCGGTTTTGAACGGAAATTTGGTATTGAATTGATATTTAGATTGGTGACTAAATATTGGTAGGAGAGATGTCTGTTATAAGTAGGTAGGTAGGTAGGTAGGTAGGTACTCAGAAAAGAATCGAGGAATTGGTGAATTGAGGAACTGACTCGTCTTTTGAGAGGTGACTACCTACCTACCTCAAGCTACCTAGGTAGGTAGTTATATCAAAGTGCCAAATCGAGGTTAGGTGAATATCAAGCAGCGAGGGAAACTGGAGAAAAGTGAATAAATGTGCTCGCATGCAGGTAGTTCCCGTCATTCTCTGCACACTTTGAGTTTTTTCTATACTATTGTTATATAAATCCCCCTCCCTATAAGTTTCAATATCTATCATTCTACAAGCCGCTATTTTCATTGGATAACAAGGCTCGTCTTTTCTCTCTCGCTGTATCGATTGAGATCTCCAGGTAGGTACCTAGTTGTATTCAACATTTAATATGTGATTCTCTATCTTTGATTGAGGGAATGCGAATGCGAACGCGAGATGTTGTTGTAGTTACTATTCCTTTGTCTATTTTTGTCAAAATATTCGTCGCTTTGGATGGGGTCTTGTTGTTGTTGTTTATAAGGAGTAATGCTATCGTTTAATATATGGATACATTAATAAACTATCTGCTGTAGTAAAACGTAAAGTCTATAGAATACACAATCTCCATCAATTTCTACACAATTTAAACGCTGTCTAGCGAGTAATAAGATAGGAAGATGCATCTCGATTGCTTCCGTTCATGGAAAACATATCTTCTATCTGTTGATGGCATTGATGTTTTACTTCCAGATCTGTAGTTTCTTAAATATCCCATATTGGATAATTTTTAAGAGGAGAATAATTCCAGGAGCCTAGTATCATGTAGGAATATTTGGGTTAGTGAATCATATAAATGACTTGATCATCATGTTAATTTCTACATGTGCTGCTTTGAGATTCATTGAGTAGGTAGTGTCAGATTTTTCGAATCTGCGGTATTTAAGAACGAGCCGTTATGTATTCTTAAGAATGTAATGATGCCACCTGCCTCTCGACAAGTCAATGGGGGGTTTCCGTCGACTATAAAAGATAGGGACCAGAACCAAAAGATGATAATACGATTTTGAATGGGAGATTGAGAGGTATTGTTTCTTCATCCGTAGTACGAGAGACAGTTGAATATCAGGATTTGGGGTTCTCTGAAAATTTTCGCTGTCACTGAAAAACGCATGACACAGTTATGATCGCTGGATTTCTTGTCGCTGTCAATCTCTCTTGTTCCTTCTGTGTGTATCTGATATAACTTTTCCAATTCCCGGTGATAACCAAGTAAGATATCTAGGTAGTTGTCCAAACCTTCGTTATGTGAACTTTCTATGACTAGAAAATCACTTGGGTTTACACAGAATGATGAACTGAACGGGATCCTTGAGTCGACTTTAAAACTGTGCTCAAGATTTGCAGCTTCAGGTAATAGCTGAGCAATCTCTTAAATGCATAGGAAGTCTAAAGCGAATAGAAGCTTGAAAGGAAATTCGAGCGGGGAAATGATATTTTGGGATTGCATATACTATTGAGGAAGGGGAAGAATAATAAGGAGGGGTAATTATTGGTAGATCATATGTACATGTTGAATACAAAGAAGTACATTACTTTTGATTTAGTGAATCAACAAGAGCTAGTCCACACTGCTAGCGATCCATATCTGAGAGCAAGGGTTATTTAAAGACAGCCTACTTGCTTTAGAATTCAATATAGATCGAAACTACTGAACTACCTCATTGATAGGTTTGCAGCCAGACGGTCATTCCGATTAGAGAAGTACTCTCCCGCTGATTCGATAAAGGATTGATCTATATCTCATCTTGACAAGTGTCAAACTATCAGAAAATTTTAAAACGCTACCGCGTATGACTACTCTCCATTTTCAATGGTAAACTTATCATTCTCATTGTCTCTATGTACTCATATCAATAGTTCAAATAACAATAGTAAGAAAAATAACAAACCCAGAAGTTCGGGCTCAGCTAGCCAGCGGGAAATAACACATCATTCGCTGCCGGTATTAGTACATCCTATTGAGGGTGGACTCGACGTCGGAGTTCACCTTATTAGATGAGCATGGTATTCAGCATTGTAGGATTAAAGGACAGAGGAGGATCCAGCACGGCCTTTATACCACCAGTTTTCCTTTTCCATAATAATCAGAGAGACAGAATTTGAATGATTTGAAGAGTAGAAAGACGGGACTAGGTGAATTGGTGCGAAGTAAATACTGAAGTATAATTCTCAAGTAGTGCGATTACAGCCAAACGAATCAATGCCGAGTTACTTAAAGACCGTTCTCCAGTTTGAAGTAACGTAAAGACCTAGGAACTTTCGAAGCTATCGCTACAATGGAAAATTGGGATTCGCTTTGTGTCCGATCTTGTTTCCGAGATCTCAAAATGTGTGGAAATGCTTCATTATAGTCGTGATTGTCATATATATCTCAGATAATTGAAAACTAGTGAAACTTCACTGTCAATAAATCGTCGACGTTATCGATCTTAGCCGCTCCCTCTTCACTGCCACTAATCGCATTATTACTTCAGATAATATGTAAACAAGTGATGCCCAAAAGATTCGAATCGAACTGGCTTGAAACCTACGCTGCTTGATACTGGCTTTGGTGTAATTTCAGCGAAGCTGTCTCAACCTCATTAAATATAGATCCATTACTTTCATAGCATGAAGATACAAGGAAGGTATGAGTGCGAGTTTATATAGCATGTCTATCGTTCTCCACAGTGTGAGCTTACGATTGAGGAAAACGGTGAATCGATAAAAAGAGGGGTTGCGGTTGGCAAGTGAATTCCCTGTTCTTGCTCTTCGACCACGCTTTTGACAGTCTATAATAAATACACAACTTAATATAAATGTTCTAGGCCCCTCATTCCATCTTTATATGCTCCCAGGGAAGATCGTTCGTGCTATAGCTAGCGTGTTCTTTAGCATCTCCAAATAGTTTCGCATTATCCTTAAACGTTGTCTGGGGTAGTTTGAGGGCGTATATTCCGGGGGTGGAGGTTTCAAAGAGGAATGATATAGTGAGGTTGTCATTTCGTTATAAGCTGGTGATAGCTTTCTACTATCCCTCACCTAATCACCACTCGAAACTCTGTTGTAGAAAGGTCATCTCTCATCTGTTCATGGCAAAGAACATAAGCAGACGAGGCGTAGTGACCTCTACAACTTCATCCAATCAAAAATTTCAGTCATAATGAAGAGAGGGGTAATCTATAGATATGTTTTGAATAGCCAGAAACGATATTATTAGCACAGCTGATATGATACTGGATAAAAGCAACCACAAGGTATCAAATCTTCGAATTTCTTTATACTAATCAAGAAATGAGAGGGTTAAAACATCACCAACTATCAGGCACGTCATATCAAGTGCCGGGTAAATACTACAAAAAGCAAAACCCATGAAGAATAAAAGCCATCATTTTCATTATCGTGATCCGTTGCGCGGCGTTGCATGTGATTTCTGCGGGGGCCAAATTTTATCGTACTAGGATAGTGATTGGATGTAATGGTACGATGCAATGAGGCTCTAGCCGAAAACAACCAGCACCCATACTCTGTAGATTAAACTATTGAATTACTTCCACATTCGAATATCCATGTATTCTGACTAGCCAATCATCTGTGTTGATATTCATGTGATCATTGCTTGCGATTCCAATGCTGAAATAATACCAATGACTGAAATCTCGTGAACTCTGACGAAGCGCGAGTCTGATGTCTTGTCATGGTATTGGAAGCTTCAACTTTGGTACGAAATTTAAACCCCCGATAACGGCTGTCCAGCTGTCAGTAATATCCAGGGTCTAAATTTTTATTTGTGGCGCCAATCTGCATGCCAGAATCAGGAGCAGGGCCAATTTGTCATGTAGAGTGAAGATCGTCCCATCACGTTGCATTGAGTGCTCTCGCCGCACACCTGCATATCAAAAGGTGGGTAAGTGTTTATTATCTAACACCGATGTTCAAAGATACTCAAGGAATGTGCTTCTCTCATTTTCTTTTGAAGATCGGAGAAATTGGAGAAATTGAAGATATTCATGATTTCGTAGTTTTCACCGTTAGGAATGATGATTTTGTTCATTCTTTTCCTCTTCCTTATTCAAAGCGAGGCAATCACTATACCTGAATCTCCACTTCCCACACCTGCTTCAAGCCTGCCAGTCCAATTGAGAGCCCGTCAAACGACGTCGTTTGGTACACTTTGTGGATATTCAAATGGCGACATCGAAATTCCTCGGACAGCTGAACCCGGATATGCTTGTCGCGAAAATACTATCGATAATTTATGGGGATTTTGCCCAAACACTATAGCTGAAGCTACCAATTGTGATTTTGTTGGCTACTGTGTCGACGATGGCACTTGCTCTGACGGTTGTGGGAGATCTAGTTTGACACAAATTCATTGGTGTGTACATTATTTGACTGTTGGACATATAGCCTGTTACTTGAAGACTGATTTTACTATAGTACAAACGCGATGCCTTATTGCTCAACAGCTTTATTGGTTTCCGAAGAACAAACATATACATATCTCACATGTGCGACATCGCCAACCACTAACTTTTATCTGGCCAATCCAACAAGCAGTTCTGTGTCGACAGTTTCGTCGGCTTCCGGATCACAACTACCAACGACACAATATTACTCTACAATTGTTGTCGCAACGTCCTCATCAGCTCCTGGTACGCAGTCGACTAGTGCGCAGTCAACTAGTGCGCAGTCAACTAGTGCGCAGTCAACTAGTGCGAAAGCCTCACCAAACAATGTTGGAGCCATAGTTGGAGGAGTCCTTGGAGGCCTTGCTCTTATTTTCCTTATCGTTATTGCTCTGATCTTCTTGAAACGATATAAACCATCAAATTCACTGAAAGGCGAGAAAGATATCAATGGGGAATCAATAGCCTTTACAGGACCTGTTGCCGACAATAGCGGATTGCACGAACTTTACGATTATAGAAAAGAGGCTAGGGAGCTTGATTCTACCACCTCGGCAATGAAAGAAAATTCAGATTTGAAGTCCGGAGTCTTGAATGGGAATGAGACAACGAGAAGAAATACTGCTGCGGTAGAATTGGATATAGCGCCTTGATGCGTTCAAATAAATCACATGTGTTATAGATCTGAAACTATTCCTCAAATGACAATCATCTGGCGACATTATCTCTGATTTGGCCATTTCTTATGCAAGTGAGGTATATCGCTCGCAGAACAGTCATCGAACGGATATAGATCGAGGCATGTTGATAATGTTATTGTCCCCTAGAGCTAGAAGCAGCGGAACAAAGCGATGGCGACATACCTGCTTTAAGCAATTTAGGAGTCCGCAGCCAGTAAGTCAAACCATCAAGAATTCTACCTGCTGGAAGAACTATTGGTGATCGATAAACCACATTGAATCCATCCATCGAAATGTTGATAATGTCGACGTTAACGTTGAACTTTTCACAAAATGCTCGGGTTACGCAGAGGTGGACGGACCTCTCGAAGTGCACCATTAATTTGATTGGACAATATGTCAAGATGCACGTGATTTAGCATTCTTTTGTTGCATGTCGTGATTCTGGGAGAAGTTTTGCGAAGGATTCCCAAAACCGCCGAAAGGTTTCCTCCCAAATACCCGGGATTCCCAAGACCGCCAGAAACAATTCTACATCCCCATCAATAAATACTTCACACAATTTGGTCCGCAATGATTCGATTGACATGTTTAATAACTCTTAATCCAACACCTACTAGGTAGGTATTCCTATCAATGTTCATATTTTACTAATTGATTTGATCATGACGAAAATAATCTCTACTACTTGATTGTCAAAGTCTATTCTCGCATTTTATCGTTCACTTCAAGCGATGGGAAATGTTGATTTATGTGAAGTCTAGGCTAGCTTCTTCTTTCTTGCATACCCTTTTCCTTCTCTCGAAAGCAGATGTCACCAATACATCTACGTTTTATTCGAAACTGCCAACCATGGAGATCAGTCAGCCTTACCTGATTCTTTCGCACAAAGCTGATTCCGTGGAAGCAAAAGTTTGACGTAATGCTGAGGCTCTGTACAACTTTCCCCTCATAATGGAAGTCGCGATGCGCAATGTATTTGTGTATCTGTTGTGAACCGGTAGGTAATCTGGAGTACGACTACCAGATTCAGATTTGCTATTTCCCAATCTGGATCTCTACGGGAAATTATGTGTAGGAAGAAAGATTCTTCAATCCAAAAGTCCCTCGAGTTTAAATGCGAGACACACTCACATTTATGGTCTTCTCTTCAATCCCTATCGCCCAATCCTCGAATCATGGCTTCAAGTCTCACAGTATCTCTCGTGGCAGCTTTTCAAGCAAGCATGGCTGTGCTCCTGGTGATATTCTACGGTGCTCTGTCGGTATACATGAAGCTTCTAGATAGCAAATCTGCCAAAATGATGTCCAAAATCTCAGTCAAATTCTTTCTACCCGCATTGGAATTTGTCAAGATCGGCAGAGAATTACATGCTGGAGGAGGTCATCGTTACAACGTCATTTTGGTGTGGGCATGCTTGACACATACGATTTCATTCTTGATTGGTGCAGGTGCTCATTTCATCTTCGGGATGCCAGATTGGATCACCGCAACTATTATGTTCAATAATACGACAAGTTATCCTTTAATGTTGATTCAAGCTTTAGATCAAACTGGTCTTTTAAATCCGTTACTTCTAGAAGATGGAGGAACAGGATACAATCCAGTCGAACAGGCAAAGTCATATTTTCTTGTTTATTCGGTTCTCTCGAGTTGTCTGACATTTGCCATTGGTCCTCGTATGATGGATACAGAATTTGCAATTGATCCGCCCGATGAAGAGGATCTTTTGTCTGCACTCGCACAGGTACAACAGGACAGGGAGGGTGAGAGTGAAGATGATAATGAAAGATTACATTTTCCGACCGAACACACGAATCTTCTTTCGCCTCCGCATCGACCAGCAATTTCTAGCAGATCTACCTCCTTTTTCCCATCGAGACGTGCTTCGGCTACTATGACACCTCCTACACGAGATACAAATCGAGCAATCGCATACGAAAGACGTCCTTCCTCTATTATAAGTAGACGAAGATGGTTTGAACTTAGTGATCGAGTTCGATGGTGGTTACTTTTCTTTTACGACTTCTTGAACGCGCCTCTTCTTGGTGCCATAGCCGGTGCAATTGTGGGACTATCACCGGTTCTCCACCGAGCATTTTTCAACGAAACAGTCGACGGGGGAATTTTCACAGCATGGCTCACTGCATCTCTTGAAAATATTGGAATTCTATTTGTCTCTCTACCCGTCGTAGGTGCAGGAGTATCACTCTACTCAGCCGTTACCAAAACTAGTGAAAAGGGAAAGGGTAAGGAACCTACTAGCACACCCTGGTTTACAACTTTCTACGTTCTTGCAGTACGATTCGCAATTTGGCCTGTTATTTCTACGGGAATCATTTACTATTTGGCGAAAAATACAACTTGGGTGGGAGAGGATCCAATGCTTTGGTTCTCGATGATGTTCATGCCGTTAGGTCCGCCGGCTGTGAAACTTATCACAATGGTAGAGGTCAGTGATGCTAAAGAGGAAGATCAACATAAGGTTGCTAAATTACTCGCGGTAAGTTTCATTGGTCTCTCATGATGAATAGTAACTAATCTCCAGAAAGATTTCGTATGCTATATCTCCAGTCATGTGTTTTGCGGTGGTAGGAAGTTTGAATGCATGCCAGGCGGCAAAAAGTTGATGGTTTTATTTCATGACTTTTTCGCATGCTCATGGATGGTAAAATGCGGAAGAATTTTGAAGCTTTGGAGGAGCATTGTCAATTTGTGCGAAATATGAAGTTGAGATGGTTTTTAAGAGGAACACCGGCATACAAAATACGCTGCTTTGCATCTTTCATCAAGCTATTTGCATTTTATCATTAGATCTTGATTTTCTTCATACTATAGCTTAGATTTTGGTTCGTCAAGAGAATTAGAACTTATGGCGCCTTGTTTTGACTTGTGTGAATGCTTTCGCGAGGGGTTTAAGATATAATATCCCTTTACATGACCTCCGACTATGTGAAGAAACGATATGGAAAACTTTAGTGGAGTATCATTATGATGGTTATTAATACAGCTTCAAATATTTGACATCGATCGGGACAGTAAACAAAATCAAAACAGTATCTCGCCACAGTGGTATTAGTTCCATATCACATTTCCCAGAGTCAACCCTGATGTAAGATTACCTGTTATTTCCTAGTATTGCTACAATATACACACACACATACACACGTACATTTATTTCTCTTTCTCTTCCTCTTTCTCTTACTCTTCTCCTTTCTATAGAAGAAGGAAGCAGTAGAGTCGAATCTAGCGAATGGAGATTATTAAATTCACACACATACACACACACACACACTCTCTCTCTCTCGATAATAGAATATGGAAATGAAATATGAAAATTTGGAATTGTGGAATTGTGGAATTGTGGGTAGATTTTGAATACTAAATACTAAATACTAGGTAGTAAGTGTAAATGTAAGTGTAAGTATAAACGTAAATGTAAATACAATTGTGATTCTTTAAAGTTTGATATATGTATCTAGATAAACTTAAGTGATGTTTTGAATTTTTGGTGATCTTGTTTATTTATTGATGTTGTGTTTTGTATGGAGATTTGGATTGAGATTTGGATTGAGATTTGGATTGAGATTTGGATTGAGATTTGGATTGAGATTTGGATTGGGAGATGGGTTTGTGGATGAGGATGGAATGGGATGGAGGAGATTTGCTCCTCGCGAGATTTATCATATGCATACAAAGTGTATATAGTAGATATATACATACATATATACTGCTCAGCTCTCTAGACCATAATATCAATTTGAGATCTCATATCTATCCAGCCAGTGAAATTTATCTATTCATCCATCTACTCCATATACACTTGCCTACTTCCTATTTATCACATACCACACATACCACACATCTCACTCCAGAGCAAGTAATCAAGCAATCAAGCAAAAAATCCACAAACAAACAAAAAGTAAAAAAAAATGACCCCTAAAACTCCCTCCCCTTCACCCACTTCTACCCCGCGTACTACCAACACGAACTCGAACTCGAACTCGACTCCCCACCTCCATTTTCGACACCCAACTCCTTCCTCTAATCTCGAGCTAGGCTTACCGTGGCATTTGGTTGGGGAATGGGGAGGGGGTTATTGATAAAGGAGGAGAACGGAGGAGAGAGGCAGACATGATATATTCGCTCTGCGGGTACAGGAAAAGACGGTGCTGTGAATGTGCAATTTCTGGATTTCTTTGGTGTTGTATTCGAGATGAAGAGGAGAATTTTAGTTCTCGACGCTGATAATTCATATTCCTGTGGTGTGGTGAGGGGGTCTCTTGGCTAAGAAGAGGAAGATGTAGGTAGTTACTTTTAAAGGTTCCCCGAGTGCGTGAGGAGGGTTCTCGAGTGCGGATTCTATAAGCTTGGAATTTATATGATGTATGTGGAGCACTCCCATTCAGTGCAGTTGATGTATCTTTCGATATGTCGAAGTTTCGCTTGAAGGATATACTATCGCGGAACGTTTACCTTGTATGGTGTACCGAAGAATCAATTCATGAAGTGTCAGGCCATAGATCTGTTGCATCGAGAGCAAAATCTTCTAATGCGATGTGATTTTTTCTTATATGGAGCTTTCCATTTTCTTCTCATGATTGGTCTTATCTCGCGAGTTTCATAGATCACTTTTTCAATATGTGTTGACCAACGATTTTGTGGCGTATGTTGTTTTTCTCTTGGGGGATCGAAGAGGGAGGTCTTCACTCAAATTGAGATTCCTATTTTCCTGATATCACTGGATTATCTCTTTCGATTATTGTCCCAAGTAATTAGATTTCAGATATGATTCGTACAATTTACATGATACTTTCACATCACATCAACCAACTAAAGAATGAAAAGCATGCAGAATAGTCGCAAAACAAAGCCCAGATCTGCTTGTGCTCACTACCTACTTGGAGAAATGATTACTTGATGTATACCATACTTTCTATAGATCCCCGGTCCCAAAAAGGTCGATAACTCATGAATGAATGGCAGTCATGGGCTATGATTATTCAGTCTCCAGTCCAACAGCAGATGGTTCTTGATTCCGGGATCAATCACATACGTGGTTTGCAGTGCATACATCCCAGGTATAGACCAGGAGAGTACTTTTGATTGATCGGTAAATTTCAATATCCCCTGTACCATAATTCCAAAGGTTCAACGGCCAGCGAATAAAGGGAAGGTCTGAAATCAACACCTAAGACTTTGAGCATTGACTGCCTAGTAGTAATGCGGGGTAAGACATGGCATCTCAGGAATTTAGTTGAACATTAAGTTTGGGGAATTTTGTTTGGGATTTGGTTGTCAATGCAGCTTTGTAATTCACTCCCTGGAGCTTGCAAGATGTTGTTCATCGTGATCGTCAGTTCTAACCGGGTAGGTTCGAGATTAGGAATAGTTTGCTTTTGAGGAGTTCGATTGTAAATTACGTGAATTTCACGTAGCTACCTTGAGAAATGATGAATATTTTAGGGAACCGAAACTGGGTTGATATTTGCACTCCGAGGATACCGAAACGTGAAAGAAGAGAGAACCGATTTGCGTTGAAGAAGCTTTGTTATCAAAAACTAAGTAGACAAACCCTTATGACTTGGGCCCCGGGAGTATGTTCTCAAAGGCCATGTTGCCAAGTTGACATTGATGACTTTACACTAGAATCAAGTCAATAGATATTGAAGTAATTTGAAGGAATATTATATGAACATAAGCATGACTCAAACTCTTTTACGCATGAGATAGACCTAACTAAGAAGCCTCATGCTTCGAGAAGTAGTGCTCGATGGGACCCTTGAAACGTAAGGTTTAAGTTCTTTGTACGATAGGTCAAAGTCAATAAAACAAACGATGCTCATATGATTCTAGTAGTCCTATGCTAGACTCTTTATAATGCACTCAACTCCATTTGCTTGGATTCGGATACATGCCCTCGTGCCCACGTACCGATTGTCCGAAGGTTGATACCAGAAATACCTTTCCAGGTCCGCAAGAACTTTCTTTTACGTGGAATACTTGGCATGAAAGTATAACCGATTTCTTTAGGTTCAATCTCGGAAGCAAAAAGATGTGCAGATAAAGAACGTTGCAACTTGGTTGGTGTCAGATCATGCGGATGCTTAATAGGTGTGTCACGTGATTGATTGAACAAGAACAACACATAAAGAAGCCTCCCTTTCGTTTCATATTATATCAACTCGGACAGAAGAATGGATCGCGGAGAATTGTAATTGATCATGCCGTTGTACTTGAGACCGTTCAATTGAGACAAAATTGATGACTTCATCTAAATTCTATTCCCTTTTTGAAAGGATTTGCTACCTTTTTTGGGGGGGCAAGCAACATACTTCAAAGCAATGATTGGATGGCTGTAAAGTGCCTTTGTTGAACCACGAGAAAACGAGGGATTGGGGAATCGAAGCTTGCATCCTAGAAATGGAAGCTTTTATTTATCGATGTGGGATTCCTGCAATCAGAAGCCATAGCACCACTTTAGAGGGTTTCTAACCTCGCATTTCGAACTTCGGGTGGCTTCCAAGTGGACACAATTGATTTGTTACAACATTCAATTGTCGCTTCGCCTCCACTCACAGCTTGCGGTTGTCTCGGAAAATGGCAATCATTGACGAATCCAACATTGATCTTCTTGGGGTCCTTTGATGATCTTGAAGATCGAATGGGTTATATGGCTGACATATGTGAATTAAGGAGTTGATTTCCCTTGTTATTGTTTCAACAAATTGGATAAATGCGATGCCCATACAAATGTTTCCATTCCTTTCTTTCGGCCTTTGCTCTCTATATGAAAAATGACGATCATTCGTCATCATGAACAATACTTTTGATAGCAACGACCCAGAAATTGACAAGAAAGCTTAACACATCATCCAAGGGAAAGTATATGAAGTGCATGTGCATATCTATGAGGAGCTTCATCGATTGGCGCTCCGTGGAAGAAATCCACCAAGTGTATGCAAGATTATCTTGTCCAGGAGTGCGAAAGATTCCCTGAACCACTTAAATCTGGGGAAAGGACCACTAAAGTATGTAGTGATTTTTTAATAGATACCACACGGCAGAAGTAGAAAAGTGGAAAGCTAAGAAAAGGAAGGGAGCGATTCCGGTGAGGAGACGAATGAGAAGACGATATGTTGTGTAAAGCTTGACCTTATCCAACCTTAATGAAAGTTTTGATGGTTCTTTGTAGTAGTTGCTGATCTCCATAGGTAGTTGAGCAATAAGATACAACTCAAGATCAAGCACTGACTGGGGAGTGTATCGACCCCACGGAGGATGGGAAGATCAACGCTGTTGGGGATTATAAAGATGGGAATGGATGTGGATATGCATCAATAATCTATCGCCGTCGTACGTAGATGATCTGATGAAGAGTGAAAGTACGAGTACATAGAAGTCATGAGAATTATAAATTTGATGTTATGATTTTCGGATGATGCCGTCCGTTGTGATAATCATGCTTCGGTAACGATCCTTTGCTTTCTACGATAATGAAAAACATAAGAGACTTGCAGATGAGTTCATGTTCATGGGAAAGTTCATACGATTAATCGTACTGTACTCTGGAGTGTATACGAGCAATCACGCAATGATACGCAATACGACCTAGATGATCTAGTAAATATGTCGGTAGTTAGATTAAACGTATTAATAATTTATTATTTTCTTTTTGTTTTCTTTCTATTTAGATATTATTCGATCTAATGATTCTTAATTACTTTAAAGAATCGTCTATTTAGATAGATCGATAGGTATATTAGTAGATAGATGAGTACTAGGTAGATACTAGTAAATAAATATTAAATAAATTAATAAATAATAATGATAATAATAATAATTACAATTACAAAGATATAAAGTAAAGTATAACTGAGTTGAAATACAAAGAAACATAATTATATATTACAAGCGACTAATAATTAATGAGTTATAACTCTAGTACCTGAGGACATCTACCTACTCATCCTCAGACATCGCACGGAGATGGCTTCCTTGAAGTTCCTTGTCAAAGAACGACGTCAGATCCAAATCAGGTTTAGCCTTCCAGAATTAGCATCCTTTAGTATGATTTTCTTTGCGGGGAAAGCCTTAGCGGATGTGAGCTAGACAGGGATTATGAATGTTAGCTATTGTTGCTGTGAGTGTGAGTGAATCACCTTCACCCCTTCCTCTTCCCTTTCCTTCCCTTCCACTCCCAGATTCATAAAGTCGATCGGATCCTTCTCTCTTACCATATCTTATATATCAATGAACGAATCTTCTTATCTTTTCCCTCCTTCCTATCAATTCAAACTAAATCACAACACTTTCTTCATTCCTCAATAAACAATTTCTACTTCATACCTTCCTTCTTTCTACCTTGCCCCTCTAGAATTCTCTCTCTTTTTCATACCATCAATTCTACTTCATATTGTAGAACCTCAAATAAAACTATACGCTTTCCCAAAATTCCATACGAAAGTTCAAGTTCGTACCCCCCACACACACACACACACACACACACACACACCACACATACCACACACACACACATACACACATACACTATAAAGCCACCAACCATTGGGTAGTAGGTGACTTCAACGAAGAAACGAAAAGAAAGAGAACAAAGAAACTCGTGGGAATAGCTCCGTTGATATCAATTCTAAGTAAACCGAACTTCATTTTATCAACGACAAAGAAATCCTCATCATACACGATCACAGATCGAATATATCAGCATCCCACCCATTACTCCGAAGCTGAGAGAGCAGCTTACGGCTATCTGAAGAATCTCTCATTCGATACTATACTCGACTAGATCCAACAATCAAACCATCAACATCACCGACGTGATATTCGACCAAATAAGTTTCCTACCTCTCAAGTTTCGATCCAAACGCAGATATGTCTTCAAACGGCAATAGCAATAACGGTGGCACTACACCTCCAAACGAATCCTCTAGACCTCGTCGTGGTTCCATCACTGCACAAACATTCACCAATATCTTTCGTTCAAACAGTACATCCGCCGGAGGTCCGGTCGGTCCATTCCCCGGTCCTATTAGCACAGGCGCATCTCAAGATCATAAACGAAGAATGTCAATTTCTACACTTGGTTTATCTGGTGCGGGTGCATCTCCCACACAATCCTCGGCGTTTCCTTTTGGTGGTCGACGTGGTAGTGTATCAACTACAGCTTCTGAATCAATTGACGAAAGTGCCATTGATGATGAAGATGGACCTTCTAGAGGTACACCAACTACACCTTTTGCACGTCGTATGTCATTTGGTGCTCAAGCACTTCGAACAGTTCGTACGGGTAATGGTAGCCCAGGCACAAATGGTAGAACTCCTTCTTATACTACTTCTACATTATCCCCAATTCCAGCAGGTTCACAAGGTGGTGGTAGAGTAACCCCTCCAGGAACTCAGTCTCTACAGGCAAGCACGCAATCAAAACCCAGAACTCCCTCTGACTTTGCTTCTTCTGCTCGTCCAGGTGAAGGCGGTTTCAACTGGTCTGAGCAGCTTAGATCTCGTGCCGAGAGCCAAGTCTCTCAATCCCAACGTCCGATCATGTCAACCTCTCCCCCAAATAGTCAAAGATTCAATGTTCCAATGCATGAGCGAGCCAAGAGTATTGGTGACGCCCCAGCTCCACCCACTTCCGTCATTCCTCCTGTCGCGGCACCAAAGGCAGCTCGAAAGCAACCAGATGCCTTCCAAGAACGTATTTTGAAGGGTGATTTCTACATGGATTGATTACTATGAACACGCACACAAATTTTCTTTTGTCTTTTTCGAGCAAGAGCTTGAAAATGACCAGGAGTGGATCTTTCAAAGTTATGGCGTTTATTGATCAAATCATTAAAGGAACAAAGGAATTTCTTTACAACTATGGGTTACAACCATCTGCAATTGCTTTCGCTACAATATAACATGGATACGGAATGTCGGATCTGCAGAATTGGGATTGAACAGACATAATGAACGATGGAAACAAACAATGAAAATATCCACAGCTCTAGATAGAGCAAGAAATGGAAAGATTATAGGATTGGGTGATCGGATATCGGAGTGTACGCTGGACGTTTCATTTTCGAAATTTATTTTACTTCTTGGTTGAGGTTCAAGATGCTAGCCATAAGGCTTACTCGGCTCAGAATATGCTCAACGGAGCAAACGATACAAGCAAAGAAAGAAATACTGAGCAGACTGGCGCTCTCGGACAGATGTGTGAGATGGAATACATGGATGCCTTAAAAAGATCCAGATTGATGATTGATGAAACTCTTTGTATTGCTGGCGCTTGTGCTTCGCTGGGACTGTAGGCGGATGATTCGACATGGCTTACTTGCTTGCTTACGTGAATGAACTGAAACGAAATGTTGTTGGGATTGGGAATGGGATGGAATGTTTAGTTTATGCGTCTGAGCCTTTTACGCAGCTGGCCTTCTCCTTTTCCAAATTGTACTTTACATGAACAAATTAGCTAGCTGTTCTCGGTTGACTTTCACAATGTCGGCGAGCGGATGGAATTCAAAAAACATGTTAAAATCAAAATTCATCTTGATCTTAATTTCCAGTTGTGACTTTTTATCCCGACTTATTATTGATTGATTGTCCTGGCACATTCGACAATGTACTTGGTGTGTGTGTCCTCATCTTCGCAAGCCCCGAACTGATTAATAACTATGGTTCATGAGAAAATTCTGGGGTTGTATTAATTTTGGTTATTCTGCTGTGACTCTGACTTTGACGCCCTACATACATATGAAGGGTTATTGAATGGAGGTAGGGTGTTTACTCCTTCTCAGTATTGTACGGTATATCTTTACCTGTACCTGTATCTTTTGTCTTTCTTACCACAGGAAAACATCGCTCCAAAAAATTGGTATAGTTATAATATTGTCTTTACTTCCTTTTCTGTTCCTTTCTCTCTCAAATCTGCTCTATATTTTCAGAACCATGAACATTATGTCTACGATTTAATCATGAAAATCTATTGCGCAATTAGCACTCATCCCTAAGAAAGTAGAATATCCTCTGGGAGCAATAAGAATACGAACCTGGTTCAAACTTGCAACATCCATACTAGCCATCCTCTTCTGCGCGATATGTCGAGCTCGTATAGAGCGTATACCCATCGGCGTTGATCTTCCACTACTTTCTGAGACTATTGGTGTGCTCTCCTTGGTGGAGGTTTCGGATGTGGAGGATGATTTATGTTTATCTTTCTTGGATTTCTTGGAGGATTTGGAGGTAGAGGTTGTTTCTTCGGTGTCCACGCCTGCTGCTTCTTTCTCTCTTCGCTTCTTCTCTTTCTTTTCCTTTTTGCGTGCCTTCAATGCGGATTCGTCTAAGGTTTCATTTTCTGATTCGGAGGTAGATTTCGATTTCGACTTGCGATCTTTCTTGGATTTTTTCGATTTCTTGGATTCGGACTTGTCTTTATCATCCTCATCTTCACTCTTCCTCTTCTTGCTTTTCTTTTCCTTTTTCTCCTTCTTCTCCTTCCTGCTCTTCTTGCTGGATGTCTTCTCTTCGTCTTCCTGTTCCTCTCTCTTTCGTTTCGACGACTTCTTCTTCTCGGTCACAGGCTCTGGTGATTTCTCTTCTTCCTCCTCATCTGAACTAGAATCACTTTCCTCACTACTACTCTCTGCTGCCTTCTCTTTGATCTCCAAAGCTTTAAGTCTCTCCTTCTCTCCATCAATCAAATCCTGAATTTTATCACCAATCAAAACCCCTCCCTTGACAAATCTAATGCTCCCCCATTTCCTCTCCGCGTAAATTGCTCTCTTCAAGTCCTCCCTCCCTTTCTGTTCTTTTTCGATTTCCGCTTCTTCCTTTCCATTCAACCTCCCTAACAAGTTCTGGAAAACGTCTAAACCTGTGCACTCCCCATGTCCTACTCCACTCCCTATTTTCGCACCCAATCCTAATGTATTATCTTTAATCACCACACGAATGTGCGACGCATTAGCTTCGGTATGGAATTCTGCATGCGCGGCATCTTTTGCTCCAAGATATTCACCGGGTGTCCAGCCCTGTGACTTCATCATGCGATGACCGAAACTGTCGGTATTTCCAGACCATCTTGTATTATTTGGATCGTGGGAGAGTTTTATTTTGCTGGAGAGATGTTTGTTAGTTTGTGATTTATGATGAACAATTCCTTGAGAGGAAGCGATGAAGGGGGAACACACTTCTTGGGAGCAGCGAGGCCCATCTTTGTGGTGAAATTGAGTGTGGTGGTAAAGAATTGAAAATAAAAGAACGTTTAATGTTTTGGTGTTTGATGGATATCGAGAAATCGGAGAAAAAAGTGGTCGGGAACTTTTTGTAAATTTTAGTGGGGTAGGGATATCAAGATAGTAAGCTAGTGTCTGATTGGCTGTGTTGGGGAGCTTGAATTTCACATGCATCTCATCTCATTATCGACTTTCACGTTTCACTCAAACATTTATTCGTTCAATCATCCTCAAGAACTCTTCTCATCTGATATCGTGATTCTCCAATTTCATCAAGGATTCCTCACCTCATTTTGATACACACAGAATCAACTTCTTCACGCTACGATCCTCACGTTCCCCATACTCTCATTCGCAATGCCAGGTCAATTTATCATGGATGACGATGCAGAATCCCGCATTTCCTCTCAAGATTCTGTTCCAGATATGGATTTTGTCGAAAGAGCCAACCAAATGATGGCCGATGTATTGACACCTTTGATATCTTCCTTATACTTAAACTGACAAGATATCTTCCAGACGAAAAAGCGCCGTGATGCAAAGCGTAACAAGATTGAAAATGAACGTGCTCAGCGCATCAAGGAAGTCAAGAAGAAGCTTGGTGTTTTGTATGAGAATAAGAAAATCCAAAGGTGTGTCTTATTCTCTTGCAATTCATCATTCATCTTCATCCGGTGTCCATGTTTTGCACGGGATATGATCCCCGAATTACAGCTGTCGAACTCGAGCTTTGGCTTACACGAAAACTCATATGGTCTATTGCTAACGACCAGATAGAGGCAAGCTTCAAAAGGCCCAGTGGAAACAACTTCATTCCCTGAACAAGAAACGCCAAGAGCTTGAACGTCGTATATTGGACAGCATGAAAATCATCGAGAGTAATACTTTGAGCATAGCTCGAGAATTCAACGCTGTTGTTATTGCTCGTTTGAGTGCCATGGAGAAACTGGCCGATATTCAAGACGCTGCTTGAAGATATGTTCGTGGTGTGTACTACGTTTCTGTGTCAGCTATTGATATTGTCATGGGAGAAGGATGACATCTAAGATTCAAACATTGCTATTCATTATCGCTATACACATACTCACTCATAGAACACATACTTATTTTAGGGCGTTGAACACACGGAAAGGGCAATCTGGGTTGGGAGTATGGTCGGAAGATACCCCTGAGAGCTTGCTTATTCATATTGCACATTATTAGCACAATATCAAACACTCATCTTTTCACTGACATGCAGAGTCCAAACACTTCCACAGTCCCATTTAACTTTTCTTCCATAAAGCTTACAATTCCTCATGCCGCTACCTTGGTATCCGTAAAACGCTATGTTACAATCAAAAGCCCTCTCCCCGGTCATCAAAACCCCGTATCATCCTTCCAAAACCCAACAATCCTCCCAAATTCCGCAATCCCATTCCTAACCGAATCAATAATAACCTTAGCAATTCCCTCTCTCTTGCCCTTTCCTTTTCCAGCTCCTCCTGGCATATTCGGTTCCTCACTCCCCATAGTGGGTAACACATTATCGCTCGCAGACAAAGACACAAAGAGTGCGAATGGTGTCAACCATACACACAATCCGAAATACGAAGCGATCTGCGTGAAATCCGGATATCCAGACGTATCATATATGGAACTTGGGGTTTGAATAGGACCTGCTGCGAAATGACGGAACCAAAGATAGTGGTTTACTATTACTAGAGCTAATGCCTGTTATTAGTTTTCTGTCTGAATTCGAGATTGGGGAAAGGGCGGAGGAGGAAGGAGGACATACCGCATGAAATGAGGAATAGCGGATTGCTCAAGTGGACTACTGGGAATCGCCTCATGTTCCCCAAATAGACCAGATGAGAGAGGATACTCATGATGCTGAGTTTGAAACTAAATCCATCGACCAGACATAAAAGGGCTTGGATCCCAATAATCGCATATATCATTCGAGTCAAGAAGCGCTTTGCCATCACCGTGTGTTCCTCGACGAGCTCGGAAAGATAGTATAATCCAGAGGCTATATCATATACAAAGTCAGTATTCGCACATACATATACAAAAAAATATAGCATCGCAAATGGATTCAGGAGACGCGACCAAGAAACTCAAGCTCAAGAGGATAGGATAAACTTACCAATGGCAGTAGTCAGGAAACCAAACCCAACCGCCACGCCCAGATATCCGACAATGGGTAAAATCCACATGATGTTTGAAGATTGACAGTGAGATGTTATGAGTGCTGCATAATGTTTGCAGAGGTAAAAAGTGTAAATAGGAGGGGTTCTACGATAGTTAGCTGTTCTTTACCTACCCCAGATATTCGGTTCGGTTGATATTCGGCATACTTTTTCTGGTACTAGAATTTTTATCTTCTTATCGCATTTAATTCGCATCGTGAATTGATAAATTTGTGTGCGACAATTCTATTCATATTATTTCTTAGAAAGTCCTGCGTAAACTTTTGGCATTCACTCTTCCTCGTGTATATTTCCATAAACAATTAAAACCGATACCAATTCTCCAACACAAAAATGTCTCGCCCAGAAGATACACTGTAAGATTTCCCCTCCTCCCCTCCCCTCCATGCGACAATTCCCCATTCCCATCTCTCTAACACACCTCTAGCCCCCCCGACCTCCACTACAATGACACCGAAGCGCGCAAATACACCACCTCCTCCCGAATTCAAAATATCCAAGCGAGCATGACCAACCGGGCCCTCGAGCTCCTTGACCTCACCACTCCCTCCCTCCTCCTCGACATTGGCTGCGGCTCCGGTCTATCAGGCGAAATCCTCTCCGCCGTGCCCGAAGAAGAAGGCGGACCGCATATTTGGGTTGGAATGGATATTAGTGCTTCCATGCTCGACATCGCATTACAGCGAGATGTAGAGGGTGATTTGATGTTAAGTGATATTGGCCAGGGCGTTCCCTTTCGAGCCGGAAGTTTCGATGCTGCGATTAGTATTAGTGCGATTCAATGGTTGTGCAATGCGGAAAGTAGCGAGGTCTCGAGTGCAGGACGACTTTCGAGGTTTTTTGGAGGTTTGTATGCTTCGTTGAAGAGAGGAGGAAGAGCTGTGTGTCAATTTTATCCGAAGAATGACCAGCAAAGAACGATGATTACTGGTGCCGCTATCAAGGCTGGTTTCGGAGCGGGTATTTTGGAGGATGATCCGGGAACGAAAAATGCGAAGTTGTACTTGGTTTTGACAGTTGGTGGAGGAGATGTGGAAACTAGTAATGGAGATATTACGGGAATAGTGAAGGGAATGGATGGAGTTGATGTGTTGGATGCTAGGAAGAAGCATAGAGAGAAGGGTAGAAAGGATGTTAAGAAAGGTAGCAAGGCATGGATTTTGGGAAAGAAGGAACAAATGGAAAGAAAAGGAAAGGTGGTTAAGAATTCGAGTAAATATACAGGACGGAAGAGAAACATTGCTTTTTAAAAGGCTTGGTTTGGAAAAGTTCACGTATGTATTTTTGCATGCAATGGCGTTGGGGAGACTGGGGTACGGAGTGTCTATGATATCAGTTATTTTAACAACAACGAAAGACATATTTTGTGGAACAGGGCCTGAATGATGATGATGCTATGCTCATATTTCTAACAATTGAACCCCGTAAGAATCTTGCTATCTATAAGTCTTCCTACCTGGCCTAGTGTACCACTGTCGAGATAGCAAGATAGTCCAAGAGGGATGTACAGGTAGATGAGATCTTCTCTGTACGTACTCTAGTCTACCTTCACGGTAGTGGTCACCGAAGGGCCAACGGAGCGTCATATACCATTGATGGGGGCAAGCCCCCAAACCCCCATTGCTCGCTACGCTCGAAAGCTTTTATCGTTGGCCCATCCTCCATGACGTTGAAACTGGAGACAGAAGCGATTGGGCTCCCAATGAAATGATGGGGAGAGATGCGGTAGGAATGGGAGAAGGTTCGAGATGAAGAACTAAATCTTTGAAGCTACATGCCAGTCTTTCTGACTCTTTTCATAATAACAAACGTAGACAACTCTGTTCTCTGTAATCGAAATCATCCCGAACACCTTGATAGCCATGTTGCTAAAATTAGAAACGACAAATATCACTTCAAAGTCAACAAAATATGCGGATATAATGATTTTTTTATGCACTTCAACCCCTTAATGTACACTCCGATCCATATCCAGGGTATTCTTTATACAGTCTATCCACCAATCTATGCAGCTAACTCCATCTTATCCAAAATAGCGCGAGTGAATTGGTTAGTTGAGTTGTTTCCTCCCATATCACGAGTTCTAACGGCTCTGTAGTAATATTAGTAATTTGTAAACATATAACTCCTGTTCGGGATCACTTACCCTTCAGCAATAACATCATAAACAGCCTTGGAGATTCTGTTGGCGTGGTCATCGAGACCAAGATGTCTCAAAAGCATAGAACCAGAAAGAATCATAGCAGTTGGGTTAGCTTGATCCTTGCCCTTGATATCTAAACCAACATGACGGCACCCAGGTTCGAAAACAGCAACTTCACGTCCCATGTTGCATCCAGGAACAAGACCTGGACCACCAACCAAAGCAGCACCAACGTTGGACAAAATTCCTCCGTACAAGTTAGGCATGACCATAACGTCGAATTGTTGTGGTCTGGATACACATTGCATAGATGCGTTGTCGACAATCATATCGTTGGTCTCCAAAGTGGGGTAGTCCTTAGCAACATCGTTGAAGGTTTTGCGGAAAAGACCATCTGCAAGCTTCATGATGTTGGCCTTGTGAATACAGGTAACCTTCTTACGGTTGTTGGCAAGAGCAAAACTGAATGCGAATTTGGCAATTCTCTCAGACTTGGCGCGGGTAATGATCTTGAGAGATTCAACAACACCTGGAACAGATTGATGTTCCAATCCAGAGTATTCTCCCTCAGTGTTCTCACGAATAATGCAAAGATCGACATCCTTGTGGCGAGTGTTGTAACCTGGGATGTTCTTGATGAGAACAATGGATGCGTAGATATCGAGTTCTTGTCTGAGTGCGACGTTGAAAGATTGGTGACCAGATCTCTCGACAGGTGTGTGCAAGATACCCTTCAGACCAAGCTTATTTCTCTTCAAGGATGCTATTGACTCCCGGAACAAGTCCTCGGAGTGTTTGTCTCCAGTTTCAACACCAGATACATCAACTTGTTCCCACTCGACCGGCACATTGTCTGCTTTGAAAATTGTCTTTACAGACTCAGCAACCTCGGCTCCAATACCGTCACCAGGAATTAAAGTAACGGTATATTTTCCACCATACTTTGTAGGCTTGAAGATATCGGATTGAACAGTTGCGAAAGTTCTAGTGGGAGCGACGTGGGCGGTTCGCAAAAGGCTCTGATAAGAAGTTGGTATTAGCTTGTGACAAACTAAGAGAGAGACATAGACATGATCTGCAAATTAAGAATATGCAATTGAGAATTCTGGATTGATTTACATACTTGCGCCGACCTGACAGAGTTTCTTGCCAGCATCTTGAAAATGAGGGAATATTAAGGATTTTTGGTAGGTTGATTGTGTTAAAGAAAGCCGTAAATATTCAGTTGGTCGGAATACCCGTGAAAAGGTAGAGTTTAACCCGGCTGGAGATAATCAGCCTTTACCTAATTGGGAAACGGCATGTGGAATCGGTTTGTCACGGAGCGGAATTTCACGCTTCACTTGATTTTTTCACATTAATTAATCTTCGGAAATTCTAACCAAGTATCAACATACGCACATCTACGAAGTACAATGTAGATTGATATAATCCGTATATATTGTTTCTTGAATGTCTGTTTTGGTATTATCATGAAATAGTAGAGTAGAGATTAGAACCTTTTTTCTAATTCCTTATATAAATTGACATACTAGGTAGGTACCGTCGTTTCAGTATTTGATGGGAAATTATAAATGCCATTACGTTTACTACCTATCTAGGTATCTAGCACGTGTCTATGGAGAGTGGGTGCTTCATCGATATTCAATATGACGCTTCTCTGGGTCACTGCCGTGGAGGCGGGGGTTGTTTTGCTTTGCTCTAGTTCTAGAAGAGTATATGTATACACGTTAGAACTTCAATTAATCATACTCTTATTCTTGTTATACGCTACTGTCTGTATCATCGAGGGGTAGTCTCGCCTTGCGGGGAAAGCTCGGGCTCTATTCTCCTGAACGCTCATTATTTCTATGCATGACAAAATTGAAAGGAGACGAAGTAGTCTCTCTCTCATTCAACTTCAGTGAAATATTCGATATTCTCAAGTATTAGTTGATATATTAGAATACTTGGGTACCAGGTGATGGCCATTCGGGTGAGGTAACAATACAGGCTTGCAATGACTTGCCCTTGTCTCTGCACAAAGCCTAAAAATACTCTTATAGACAGACATATTAAATTTCAGGTCTCGAAAGATTTAGAGAGTTTTGAGTCTATAAGGAAGTCAGGAGGTTAGTCCTCTGGGCAATTCAATCCCGGCTTCTAGAATGTTGTGGAGAAAAGTAGTAGAGTCAAGTTCACAAAGCCATTGTTCTCATGATTCATGGAGCCGTTCCCAGCATATCCCGAAACGGGGCATAATCAATTCTTTGACAACCTAGATATGTTTTCGATTGTTAACGACATAACTTACTCCCTGAAAATCTATGACAGAGCCCAAGATGCCAATCACCCAAACATGACAGCTGAACGCAAGTCAATACCCTGCGAGTTAATCAACACCTACTATCAAATATGTAACCATGTTACGACATCTCTTCATCACTCTACTCGCACCATACCATCCAAATCTTCCAATCCTAAGTCGTCCACTTCCTCTGAAAAAGTCATAACAACCTGTCCACAAGCGATCCATAACCTATCACTCCCTCCTCCACTAGATCAACGGCAAAAGTCTGAAAGAACACTTTGTCCCTCGATCCTGAAACGTACACTCATAAATTCAGGATATGGATGTCCAGATTGCGAGCCAGAGTATCATCAATCAATCGATTATATTACGACGGGACAAGGTCGCCGGGATGAGGAAGTAGTGGACGAAGAGAAAATAAAAAAGAAGAGGCTCGAGTGGTGTATGCTTGCTATTACGGAATGGGAGGCTAGGAAAAAGAAAAGGCAGCATGCGGCGGGCTCATCGGGAAGGGATGATTGATTGATTCAAAAGAATAGAAGATGATGGACTGAAGTTATTACTTTATAATATAACCAAATTTCATCTGCTATGATCGCAGATTTGAGAAGTTACAAGACTCTTGGATAGTGCTGTCTCTTTATACGTAGATATTGCTATTTTTAACAATGGAGTGTGCTAGCCCTTCAAATACTCAAAATGTTATGTTTCTGAGTTGGCATAATTGTGATAACTTCCAAGCAATCTTGACCTTCTATCCGCATGAACCCTCAGTTCTCTCTCTTGCTTTTCAATATTGTAGTGTTTAGACAACGATTTATTATAAGCCTTTGATCGCCCTTTCCATAGCTTTATATGATTGGTAGGATCGTAGTGGGAAAATTGAAGGGTCTGGTAGGCTTGATGACCGGGAAAGGCGGCTGACATTGAAAATAGAGTAGTAGGATGAGGTCGATAATCGAGAAAATTAGTGGGTATTACCATTTGAGGTGCTGTGCTTAGGTTTGCATCGATGGAGAGATTATTCGGAGGAGGAATAGTATCAAGATATGTGACATTCTCATCCACCGTCCCCACTCAGATCCAACTACAGCAACAATCAGACTATTTATATCAACTCAACTCGAACATTTGATGCTATCTTACGCTCAGCGGGAGAACGCGAGGCAAAGACAATTGGGATCCTCTGTAGATATAATTCCACAAACCAATGACAGCTATCTCAAAATCGGAGGGATTCCGAAGCAAATATACGGCTTAGCCACACCACAAGTTGTGGAGATGGAATTTTGCACGAGCCCGTTATCAAATTACAGCGATCTAGAAATTGAGGAGAACCTTGAGCAAACATATGGCTCAACCTTGGCACCGGTTGGAGTCAACTCTTTGCGAGCCCATCGTCAAATGACAGTGATCTGGAAAGCGAGGAAGCCGGAAACAGATAGACGGTTCAACTTAGCCATGGGTTTAAGTTGGGTTTTCTGGCGGGCTCATCATCAAACCCACTAGTCCCTCTGTCCAATACGAGGGACTTGGGCCTTCCGATGGATATGGTAAGGGGGGAGGCTTGAGGCGGACAAACGAGTTCCAGCAACCACGTAAAGTGCCTACAACCTCTCCCAAACATTCTGGAAACCTGCAATTAATATTATAAAGTTCCACATGTGATTCGCCCATCCTAAATGATGAACAAATTTATCTCTCTGATCATGAAATAAACCCAGGGCTTGGAATGCTGCCGGCGAAACAATTCAAATATATTCCTCATTGTTTTCTGAAAGTGCGTGCCACATAGTTTCATCTACAGACTCCAGAGATGATTCCGGAGAAAGGGTTCCTTGCAGCTGACCCATCATCTCAACACGAACTTTCTCGATTAAGCCATAGAACTCAACAGTGGGAACTTGCTTCGACCTTTTTTTAATTTCATGAAGATTGAGGATGTAGCGAAGTACGAAATTGCTGAAGCTTTGGCTTAGAAGCAAAGAATGAGACGCTAACATGTAGTATCCTTGAAGAGAATAGTGGTTTGACGGTGTTCGTATGTAAAGTGTAGTAGTCGTGAGCGAGGAGAAAACGGTGCCCAATCATTGAATATTTCCCACTCTGCCTTCTCATCATCAAATAAACGACAGGTTAACGAAATCTTGGATATCGTTCTTTCCATGCTCAACGGCTGGAAACACTGCCGTGAAATTTCGAAAAACATGTTCGAATTCAGAGGAAATCAATTGAGATCGTTTTCGCGCGAATGAGAATGACATTAGCATCCCCAGCACTGATTCATATGATGATCTTTCAGTCATGTACTAGGATGCCTCAAAAATATAGCAAACATTCGAAAAGAATGACTTGTTCCCTCAAACTAGGTGTGATATAGGAAATCCTCCTCGGTTTGCATCTATAGAGTTGGTAGTTATCTAGCTCCAACCGGAGCATGCCCTTGCTGCGTATCCCCAAGTCCAACGTTTAAGCCCTTCCTCTTGTCAACAACTTTTCTCACCGCTGCCCAACCAAGCAAGCCTAAAGTACCAGCAATGAAAGTCAGTACCACAATCTGATCCTTTCTGCTATCTCGTTGAAAGCACGTTGTGAAAACATCTTTCTCCTCGGCCTCTTTGCATATTGGTAGTCGCTGAGCGAGACAGAATGCTCGATTACACATAGTACATGTTGCAGCTGGGGCACGAGAGTCGTGCTTCGACTCTGATTTATCGGATGAAGAGCTCGAATGTGAAGACAAGGGGATGATGGTGCTATTCGTAAAGCAAGTACATTTGCAAAAAGACGGCGGTGCTTTTATAAGAATTAGCAAATAGGGATCAACAATCTTGAACAGGTACCTACAGTCCGCTATTGTTGCAACAATCAATGTACACAATAAAAGCAAGAAGTATATGCCCTTCATCTTTGTTATTTAGGGATGTGTCAAGCACTTTCAATTCTGGGTATCTTAGATTACTCAAATATTGGTGAGATTCCTGTTGATGGATGAGAGAGCTTCCAATTAATTTGCTCCAACAAAAAGACCTTTTGATGTCACAATTGATTTTCTGGTGAAGTTGTTACTGTCATCTTATTGCGATGCGATGATGCGCTTCCCCGGTTGTAAGTCCAAGGGTCTGCACATAATAATTCAATTGGGCTAGTACTTTTAAGGACTAGCTCGTTTGATCCAAAAAGTTCAAGCTCAAAGAGATATCCCAATAACATCATTGCACTTCAAACTACCAATTCACACACAATGCGTCGCATAACGAGAATAGATAGGTCTGTTGACCTCTTACGTACCCGGTCTATATCACAAAATCCGTTCGCATATCGTTGCTCAGCATGCAGAAACCAGACTTCTTCATTCTCAACTTCTTTAAGAGGGGCAGACAAAGAATCCCTTGGCCAGCGAGTGCGACGAAGTTTATTCAAACAATCCACCGCCACATCTTCAGATCCTTACACCGGGCCTAGTCAACTGTTGGCGAAAGAAGCGGAACCAAAATTTGAACGGAAAGAGATAAGAGCACCTGAGGATGCTGAAGATTATCAGCCGGCAGACAATGGAAAGGAATTGGAAGTTATTGGTGGCTACGAGGCTTCCTGGGGCGAGGAGTTGGATGCCCAGTATCCATACAAACTGTTCTTTCCAGAAGAAAAGATCAAAAGTCCTGCAAAAGCGACCGCGGCATTACATCGTGCTTTAGTCGAAGTTTTCGCCTTGAGACAAGCTGGAAGGCCACTGTCGGAAATTTCTCAGACTCAGCCCGGTACTGATTTTACTGAGAATGTACAGATCAATCCTTCGGACTCGGGTGCTATTTTACAGTTTTTAGAAAATGGTTCTCTAGAACAGATAATTCAATCATTGGCACCCCCCATGAAGCCTTCCAAAAAAAGCAAGCAAAAACGTAAAGCTCGTCTCGCTGCAACCTCTTCCATCGATGAGACCTCAGAGAAGACTGCGCCTACGGAGTCTGAAGAAGATGTAGCTGCCGATAGGTCGCCCATAGATCCTTTACACCCGGAACCTACACCCAAGATTGACGAGACTGTGAAGAGAGAAAATCCCACAGAATCGGAAGAAGATGTCGCTGCGGATCGTTCAACCGTGGACCCATTGAAGGATAGCGCTGAAGCGCTGGTCGCATCTTGGGGAAATTCGTGGCTCCAGATTTCTCTCGCTGACCCAGCCATCAAATTTGCTGTAGGTTACATCACAAAAATATTTGATGAAGCATTTTACTGATGATTTACAGGTTGTTAAACGCACAATGCAATTAACAGGTCAAAGAATACCCGATCATGCCATCAATCATTCAAATACGGCAGAAAAGCTCTTACAACATCTCATCGCTCCACCCAAACCTCCAACCCTTAATAAAGCCTTGGAAGAGGAACAGATACTGTCATTACCAAATGTCAGTGTTATTGGAAAACGTGTTACACCAATTGACAAGGAACGAAACATTGGCAGGTTGAAGGTCATCAGGCAAGAGTTCAAATCTCGAGGATTATCACAATCCCAAGATAGTGGATGGACTGGTCGCCAGCGTAATAAGGAAATATGATCTGTTTAATTTGTACAGTACTCTATCATGACAAAATGTATTCTGCCACAAGATTATTAAAGACAATCAGGCACATGCACAATTCCTTGACTTTGCACTGATTAGTCTATTCAGACTTTTGCTTCTGGCTCCCTTTAAGACATTCGTGGTCTCCTTCAGTCGAGTTTGTAACTTTGTGATCTTTCAACCTCGTCATTATTTACAGACGTGAATTGAATTAGTGAGATTGTAATATCTAAACAGTAAAAAACCAAGGTGGGGGACGGCAAGTGCTCCTACTGCCACCTTCATGTACATTACATACCCTAAGCTTCAATAAGTATTGTTGTTTATACCTGGCCGGTCATGATCACATCCTCACACGTTTTTTACTTCACTCTGCACCCCCCACAGAGTCGTTCTGCAGTAGTCGTATCCTTCTCATTGTTTCATGCAGTGTCATTCTAAACTTCTTAATTTGCAGCGGAAATTCCATTCAGTCCAATTCCCCTTTGCAGGTTCAATTGTCAATGACTCTTCTTGCGCCACTTATTGAGACTCACAAGCTGACTCCGTCAAGAGCACAACTTTGATCCAGTGACATGATACAGAAACGTTTCTTCTTTTTAGGTTGTTGAACTATATTTCTATAACACCCTTCTCTGTTTGTTTCCGTCGCTTATATCACATATCTTTCGAATTCCCCTCACAAGCTGGCTACCATTCTACTATCAAAATAGAAATGTACATAAAATGTCCCAAAATATCCATCCGTTAGTCGAGACTACTCCGAAATCTAGATGTGCTGAATGCTGAACCGTATCTCTCCAAGAAATGTCCATATCATTCCCTGCCCCTTTATACTTATCCGACTTCCCTACACAGCCGTCTCATATTATTCTTGTTCGATATTTGTCAGCAGTAGCTGAGTTTTAGATTTTCAGCTCTTCGAAACGCTTTTGATTATTCAATTTTTATAATACTCTTCAAGAGCCTGAAAAAATTCGTTATATACTGTAATATATGAGCCTCCAGTGAGTACAATCGCCTCTTCATAGAGGCGATTGAGAAGCACTTCTTAACACAATTCATCTGAATGGACAACGAAAAGTTTGATCATTTCCAAGATTTTAGAACGAGTACCTACCAAATCCAGTTCGAAGACTCTCATCCCAACCCAGAAGAAAATACTGTGCTAATCTCTTGAGAAAGAAGACCAATGAGTATGCTAGCCTGTCAAACAAGATGGGAGGCGTGTAATATTTGCGAGTTGGTTTCTAGAAGATGAATTGGATACCCATGCAGAAGTTCGAAGGAAAGTGAACATGCATGCAAGTTGTCGTATAGATAATATATATACAAGAATTGCCAACACATGAAGTGAATGTGTCATGACAAAAGGATCTAGTTAGCTATTGGCTTGTTGGGGATCCAGGTATCGAAGATGTCAGTAAAGAATAATACAAGTTACATCACATCACATCACACACATCACACACATCACACACACACACACATCACATATCTCACAAAAATCCTCATCCCCCCAAAAACGGAACTCAGTTCGGGGAAAATAATAAAATGACATTTTCGAAGCCCCAGCGGAAATCTCCCACCTTCAAAAAAGACAGAGACTCCCACCTAAACCTTATCTAAACCATGCCATCCCCCTAAAAGAATCGAACCATCATTGTCCCCCGTCCTAGCCACCAAAATCTCCCCGAGGAGAAAATCCCAGCAAACTATTCCCAAGCTCCAACAATATTCGACATCTGTGGTGAAAATAAGTTGAGGAAAATCTCGGCATAGCCGAGAGTCCAAAATCTTGTATTTTGTGTTCGGTATCCCAAAATGTGTCTGCCGATCAGATATCGATATCTATGATATGATATGATATGACGACGACGTAGAAGTGAAAAATATATGGTTTTTTATGTATACTTATTGAAAAATAAGAATGAATCGAAGTTTCCAACGGCGCAAAAGTCTAGCGCAATCTGTGTACTGCAAAAAGTCTAGTCTAAGAGACGAGTATAAATGCAACAAGAAGAGTCTAAGAAATATAGAGAGGTATCGCTACAGTCAGTCAAGCAGAATGTTACGAGACGAAATTCTTCGTAAGCAGCGTGTCATCCTGTTCTCGGCGCGATATCGTAGGCAATGGTATGGAGCCACTTACAATTGCGCAAGCGCAATATCGGCAGCATAAGCCAAAGCGAACGCATCTCTCTTAGCCTTGCGGCAAGGTTGTCCTGGAAGTCCGCACCATGCCTCAGCATTGGCCTCAGCCTCCGCAAGAGCTTCGCGCTTGCATGGTTGACCGGGGTGTCCGCACCAGGCCTCAGCAGTGGGCTCAGCAAGCGCCTCAGCAATAGCTTCGGCAGCACGCTTGACGGCACGGCAAGGTTGTCCGGGACGTCCGCACCAGGCCTCGGCTTCGGGATCGGCCTCACGCTTCTCCTTGCATGGTTGTCCGGGGCGTCCGCACCATGGCTCAGCAGTACGCTTACATGGTTGTCCGGGACGTCCGCACCAAGCCTCAGCTTCGGCGAGAGCCTCACGTTTACATGGTTGTCCGGGGCGTCCGCACCAAGCTTCGGCCTCGGCAAGAGCCTCTCTCTTGCATGGTTGTCCTGGGCGTCCGCACCAGGCCTCAGCATCGCGCTTGCACGGTTCTCCGGGACGTCCACACCAGGCCTCAGCCTCGCGGGCAACGACTTCGGAAACCTCACGGGTCTCGATGTTGAGGGATTCGAGGAATGCATCGGCATCCTCGACGGTCTCGGCAGTAGCCTCGGCAAGATCTCTTGCGAGTCTCTTGGCCTCGAAGCAAGCTCCTCCAACCATGTTGCATCTCTTGATGGCAGCCTCGGAAATATCGGCTTCAGCATCACGTTTGCAGGGTTGTCCTGGGTGTCCACACCATGGCTCAGCGAAAGCCTCAGCGACGGCCTCAGCGGCGCGCTTGTTCTTGCGGCAAGGTTGTCCAGGGCGTCCGCACCAAGCTTCGGCCTCGGCCTCGGCGAGAGGAGTACGTTTGCATGGTTGTCCGGGACGTCCGCACCAGGCTTCTGGGAGAGCCTCGCGCTTACATGGCTGTCCTGGGTGTCCGCACCATGGCTCAGCATCACGCTTACATGGTTCTCCGGGACGTCCACACCAAGCTTCGGCTTCTGGGGTTCGCTTGCATGGTTGTCCTGGGCGTCCGCACCATGCCTCAGCGACAGGGGCAGCGACAGCGACGGCCTCACGCTTGCATGGTTGACCGGGTCTAGAAAAGTAAGTTAGTAACGAATTCTGTTAAGAGATAGATATAAGGGAAAGGAAAATAATCTTACCTTCCGCACTCTGGGACCGCAACAGCGGTGGCAGTAGCAGCCAAGATAGCGAGAGCGATTGCGTTTGTGAACTTCATAATGAATGTAGTTTGAAAGTAATTGATTTTTAGAGTGAGTGTGGGTGTGAAATCTTAAAGATTGAATATGGGTAAGGAGAAAAGAAGAATCGTATCAAAAGCAACGAAGTTGACGTGATTTATAGATGATTGGATTTTGCGCTGTTCAGGGTAAACAAGAGGATGAACCGGGAACTCCGTACCTGCGAGCCCAAAGAATCTTTGAAGAGATGTCTTTCTATTGAAGATTGAAGAGGAAAATTTCCTATAATGGGTCTCAATAAGTTCTGGGCGAGAGAAAAGGTACTGTGACGACAAAGGCTTTGGAAACAATTCTTTGGGGGGCGAACACTTTATATCCACGTAGTGGGTTCGACATGATGGCCAGAAACTTTGCTGTTCACTTCATGAACAGTTTTTTACAGAGTTTGAAGAAGCAATCTCCAAATCGATTGCGGAATCGATTATCATCTCAACTTATGGCGCATTGAGCCGATTTCAACTTCATTTCATCTCATGTGTATACACCCACACCCCTTCGACTAAGGGCAACTTTTCCTAAATTTCCCGCATGATTCACTCACTTTGCAGAAAATTTCTTCTGCATCAGAAGACTTTTCTGACACAAACAGAGAATCAAATCAGAATTTCAAAGAAGATTGTTTCAGATTCTATGGGGATGTACAAAGAGTGAACGTCTCGTGACTTTCATGGAAAAAAGAAGTACTCTATTGAGTACTCTATTAAGATTTTATTGAGCACCCCTTTTGTACTCGCTTAAAAATAAGAAGAGCACAACACACGTTTTTTCCTCATTCATCCCCTCGTCTCACCCAATGAATTGACATACATCAACAGAAAGCGAGTACGAAGTGAAGGAAAGTTCCTGACTAAAGATGAATCTAGAAGGCATCAAGAAAATTCTAGAACGGGCTTATCACTAGAGCCGCAGGAGCTTGTTTGTTGCATTGTAGACTGACTACTTTCTTTGGTTAATTACATGGAGGCCAAAAGAGGCAAACATGAACACAAACATGAGGAAACACGCGATATTCTTTGATGAGTTGTGATGGACAAGTAGAAGCATAACAATAGCCCCGGAAGTAGCGAGCAAATAGCCACAAAATCAAGGGGCCTAGACGTGTTGAGAGTTTTGATCGGGACGAGAAGATGAGATATCAAGATTCAGGATTGGACTTGGTCTGATCCATGAGCTTTTACGAAGCGCGTGGGGATTATTTTGGGGTGAAAGCATTATGGCAGAATTGGTACAATGCTTTAAACAGACCAAACAAACTGAACCTAGGTAACCATTAATTTACTTGGCGTCTACTTACTGCAATGTTAAGATGTTCAAGTGCCAAGGATCCCTAGGGAATTATGTGCAATATGAACACAGGAATAACATACATCCGAACCAAGAACTATGTGATGAAATCTTCAGAACCACCTGTAGCCATTGACTTCAGGGCTGTGGAGCTAATTGCCTCTTGAATTGAAATGTAATCGAACTTTTTTCTAAGCTACATATATTTTGTTACAACATCTACCCAGAATTTTACTATGCTCATCGACCATTCTTCTTATTTCTCCTTGTTGCTTTGCCATTGCCGTTAATTGCAGTGGTCTTAACCTTCTCAAGAACTTCAAAATCATCAGCACCGGAACTGCTGGATGCTTCTTCAAACTCTTCATATTCTTCCTCGACTGGAGTTTTGTTCAAGACACGACCAATAGTTTTATTGAAAGCGAAGATTGGTAAGCGGAAAAGTGCAGTTTCTCTCATGGAAGGGGCAGGCAGCTCGTCAAGCTAAATTGTAAGTTAGTGTTATGTTTTGAAATGAGTTAAGGAGCAACTTACATCAAGCAAAAATTCTTGGGTTTTGCCATCCTCGTCAGCTTGTTCCAAGTAAACATTGTTTGCAGAGTCAACCACGAGAATTTTGCCATTTTCAGCAACGACTCTCTTCTTTGGCCCAGTAATGGAGGTAGGAGTTCCGGGTGCTGATGCCTTAGCCTTCTTGACTTTCTTTTCAGTCTTGTCAGTCTTGGTAAACTTCTCTTGCTTGCGTCGCGCTTTGCGGTTCATTGGTTGCATAGGATCGGCATCACCATCGGTATCGGTTCCAGGTGTAGCGACTCCATCGAGGCCAGGAATATTGAGATTGGGATTCCCACCCCATGCAGCGTTTCTTGCAAATGTGATGTATCTTTCAACAAACTCGCGCTGTCTTTTCCAACTCAAATAGAGCGCGAGATAATGACCTCCACCTCCAACGAAGATGAAGAGGCCTACAAGCACTGAGCCAAAGCCAGGACGGAATCGAGCATAGTAGTATCCAGTGCCCTTCCACTTTGGAAATCCATTTCTCAAGAAGTGATCATAACGTGCGCGACCCTCTCCCAAAAGAATTTTATTTATGAGACCCAAACGTGTGAATCGATCGCTAGCTTGTTGGTAATGTGCCTTGATTTCAGCTTGCGAAGGACCCTTTGAGACATTGGCACCAGACTTCTTGTTCTTAGACTTTTCGCCCTTTCCTGTAGATTTATTCGCGACGAATTGAGCCTTGACCTTATCAGGATGTTGAGTACGGGACTTCTTCTTGTATGCAGCTCTTATTTCCTCTTGGTTGGCAGATGGTTTAATGTCGAGGAGATCGTAAAATGTAACCTCAGGGCCGTCATGGGTAGCGACTTCGTTCTGCAGACGAAAGATTTCCTGGTCTATAATTTGCTATGAGCTAATTGATCCATTCGAAGGTGTGCAAGACGTAATCAAGGTGAGGAATTGGGCCGAAATTGTCAAATATTAATGGGATGGACTATATGAGCCAACTCACCTTCTTTACTCCATGCCGCAACAAAGGCCAAAAGGCAGGCCAATATGGCGAAGGTATAGAAAGAACCTCTCATCTTGGTAGAATGAAGAAGAAGTTACGAGTATCGATGAGAAGAAGCACACCGATGATGTGTCCCTTCTGTTATCAATACTTTCCTACTTTCTTATTAAATTCTAGGACCTTTCTTCTGGTGAACGGAATTATATAAAGATGACAGCGAGATTTTTAGGAACCAGACAAGGATGACCGCTTAGTGAAATTCTGGACTTGAGTGGATTTTTAGCTCATTGGGTAGACTCGGAGACTCGGTATATAGGTAGTAGGTACGAAGGTATATGGAATAAATTATGTTACACCGCCTTCGCCAACCGGGATCAGTTTGTGTGGGCAGAATGATTCTATTGATGGCAAAACAAAAGCGGTGTAAGACAATTTACTCCATGTACCTCTGTAGGTACGAGTAGGTGTCACGGTGTACAGGTCGGTGTTCTTTGTTAGACTCAATGAGTTGAGAACAATCCACCGTAGCTATTTGCTTAATCATCCATTTGCTTAATCATCCATTTGGTAACAATTCCATAGGTTGAGCGATGGGGGAATCTCATCGTAGTACAAAATTATGTATTTTATGTACTTTATGTACTGAATGTATAATTACAATACGGTCTCCAAGGTTCCATGCCTTGCTGTCTCCAATGATGAACAGGAACGAGTGGATAGTCTCGAGATAGCTTCATGCATGATGCAAGTACACGCTTTTCCAATCTGCACGCTTCTTTCTCATCCTCCCATCTCTCGTCCTTACTCATCCATCGCCCTTCCAAGTTCTAAATCGGTATTTCTAACCCAAAGCTTCACCGCAACCCATATTAAAATCTGTACTACTGATCCCACTTGGAACTTTTCACTCGTCTTCTTCCCTTCCCCCTTCCCCCTTCCACCTTCCCCTTCCCCTTCTCAACTCTTGATCTTCTTCTCTTCCAGAAGATCTTTTATCAGAAGTTTGACGAGGGAACTTCTCGAATCTGCATGTGTTTCAGGTCCCTTATTTAACCCCCCTGGCTGAACGCCCGGACTCTTCCTCTATTGAGGCTTTTTTTAAATTCCTAATCTTCCTCCCCGGCAGCTCTTGCTGGGGATCTGATCTTTTCCAGAAGGTGTAAGGGGCCAATCGTTCGTTTGTTTCCTCGAGGGATAAATTTATCACGAAAGTTACTCTACGCAGAGACAATTTAAGTGCATCCCCATCTATTAAAGATTTATCTCTGGAATCTTCATTCACTCCTACACTCACGTACGCAATTCATTCGTAAGTCTTTTCTATCATGACCAATTGATGATATTCATTCATTCGTGATTTCTATCCAGCTTGCATCCATTATCTCCTGCCTATTTGATGACGAGTGCTGACCAGAGCTTTTTTTATTTTGACAGATCTCTCAAACAAAGGCACTTCAAGGGGTTTTAAAAGACTTATCTTCGGACTTCTTACCCAACCTTCTTCCTTCTCTACAACCCCATTGAAAATACAAGCATCTTGAACAATTCTTCAGCGATTCACAAGGTAGTCCTCTATATTCATCAAAGTTTCTTCAAACATTTGGATTCTTCTCACCAACAGACACGATGTCTCGGATCAACATCCCCTTCGACATGATTTCGTCCAGATTTAATCTGTCCGACAGATTTTCCGGTGTGCGGGCACAATCTCTATCTACCAGATTTGCCAATCTCAAGCCTGTCAATGAATTCTTCGATTTCAAACGCCTCTCCAAGCCGGCAAACTTTGGTGAAGTTCAGTCCAGAGTCAACTATAACCTTGGACACTTCGCCAGCAACTACTTTGCTTTATTCATTATGCTTAGTATTTATAGCTTGCTCACCAATCTCCTACTCTTATTCGATATCATCCTCGCCGTAGGAGGAATGTGGGCTATTGGAAAGCTCGAGGGCCAAGATTTGAACTTTGCTGGTTTCCAAGCTACATCCTCGCAACTTTACACTGGTCTCTTAATTGTCGCAGTTCCTCTTGGAATCATTGCGTCACCATTCACAACACTTCTCTGGCTCATTGGAGCAAGTGGAGTTAGCATCATAGGACATGCCTCATTCATGGACAAACCAATCGATGAGGCTTTTTCCGGGGAGGCGGTCTAGACGGTCGGCCGCAATCTCCCAAATCTATGCCCCAATGGGGAAGACCATCAGGGGCGAAGGGGAGCAGGAGGAGGAGGCAGTGGGAGCAGGATCAAGGGCATTGGCAACAGTCGCGTGTCGAGGAGCTTGATAGCGAGGGTGATACAGATACACAAGGCGTTGGGTTACATTTGGGCGAGAAACGATTTGCAAGCGATCCACTTCATTTCACGGGTATAGATATTTCTTCAAACACAAGGCCTAGGAGAGGTTATTCTTATGATGAGGCCGAGCGATCTTCCGAGTCCGATTCCGATTATTCAGACTACCATGAAGGTGGTGACAAACAATTAGCTTTACGAGGGGATAACGAGGAAGCAATAGTACAAGGTGCTCTAGCTCGTATTCGACGCGCTCAAGACAAGGGAAGACAAGATGTGAAGCTCACGCAAGAAGAGCTTGATGCCTTGGAACGCCGACGAATTCGTATGCAAGCCGCCGCTGCCGCGAAAGCTGCCAGAAAAGGAAGCAGTGGAGGTGGGGCTGAAAAGAAACGACGAAGCGATCGAAAAACTGTTGATATTGCGTCTCTTATGGACCCCAAGCCAGCCAGCGATCCAAAGAAAAGAAAGTCAAAAAGAAAATCTGGTAGTTCTTCACACAGTGCTGCCGCGGGACCTGGAATCATTGTCGATGGACCAGATGGACCCTCGTATACTCCAATAGGTGGTTACCTTCCTTCGGACAGAGGCACATCTCGTTCTCGTTCATCAGCACGTCATGGCCATTCACCCCCAGGTACGATTCGACATTTCTCTGACGGCATGCGTCCTACTTCCCATAACAACAGTCCTCGTCGTTCCTTACCCGAAGAAGAAAGCTGGCATTCCACCAATAACAAACGGACTTCTCTTTCTTCTCAATATCATGTTGCTGATCCCTTTGATTACCAGGTTACCGCTGATCAGCCACCACCCGTTCCGCAACAGTACACACAGTCATCTTCAGGTCGTCATAATTATTCCGGTCCTGCCGATATTTCTTATACTTCCGTTCGACGCAGTCCACCACAGGGCCATGCTACCACCGATAGGATTCCTTCTGATTCATCCCTCAGACATCGGACTTCTCCGAGGGGAGAAAGAGAAGTCATAACTATTCCTGATAGTAGTGAAGAATCAGATTCAAGCGATGAGCTAGCAAGAGGAGTACAAGCCTTTCCGGAGGAACGAGAACGGGTAGTTTCTAGAAGACCTGCACCTGTGATTGGGAGTGGGAGTGGAAGTGGAAGAAGAAAAGGCAAAGGAAGATAAATTTATGGAATCTCGTTTATGAAGCTTTGCAATAAATAGACTTTAACTCTTTGCTTTTCAATGAATAACTTGCCTCAATTCTGTCTTTATGACTATCTGAGCGATGACTTGTGAGATGTAGTATATTGGTATGAATACAATACATTTCGTTGGTGATGAAGTTATAGATGTAATATCTACATCTACCTACCTACCTGGGTGATACCCGGGCCTTCGGAGTTGATTGATGACGGTAGAGATGCGTGAATCTACAACTATGTGTACCTGAGCATAAATTATAAAGAGCAGAAAATTTTGAGTAGGGTAGTTTGTTATGCATTGTATTATGATTGTAATTATAGTTTTATTGATCGGGGTGAGTTAGTGTCGAGAATTGAGAATCATTGTGCCTATTACCTATTACCTATCCCTATTCCTTAAATGTCCCCTATTCATTTCTCTCTCCTGCCTCTCCATCATATTACTCCCTCTGCCTCCCCCCTCAAACAAACACCCTACTGAAAACTCATACCCAACACCGCACCCACATCTCCACCCCTCCTATTCAAATCCAAAATCATCTGACCAAACAAACCATTCGCCCAACTAAACCATTGACGACTCCACTGATGCTGATCAAACGAATTGATCGATTCGTGGATGAGACCTAGTCCGTCGGTGCTGCTGACGATTTCCTTGAGGGTGCTGTAGATTTCGGTTGGGGAGGAGGAGGTCAGGATGCGGATTATGCTGGCCATGGGCCAGGCGCGGCCGGGACCGACGTGTGGACCGCCGACGCTGGTGGGGGTGTTAGTGAGGGGGACAAGGGGAGGGAGGGGGGAGTGAAGAGAGAGGAAATAGACTCACGCGTTAATAACGGGACCGCGCATGAAATAGGGATTGTCTTTCGAGAGGATAAACTTGCGGGTGTTTTGATAAATCGTATCATTTACGCTTAGATAGCCTAGGAAAGGAGCTGCAAGGAGAGAGGGAATATTGGCGTCATCCATACGGTTTGCTGATATTTGGTTAGATGATGGCTTTTATTTTAATTTGCGAGTTTGAGAGATGAGTGACTTACCAGAACCGAATCCATCGACTTCGTAGGCGTATACTTTTCCGTAAACGGGATCATTTACAATACCGTGTTTGGTGATGGAGGCTCGGATGCTACTTGCAAAGGTGTGCATGTGGTCTGAGAGATCTTGCTGCCCGTAGATTTTGGCCATGATTTTACTGCATGATTCGAGGTAGCGGGAGAACATCATGTTTGCTGGGATGAAGAGTTGGTAGATGGTTCTATTGTGATGGGATATTGTAAGCTTTGCATAACGTCTTTGGTTTTTGAGGGTAATACTCACGCATCGTCACTGGGTCTGAATGCGGATCGTATCAGTCCAGTGCCTTCTTGGACGGGGTTTCCAGCTCCAGTGTTACCTAGTGTCTCTGTTGAGCTGGTTGTCTCTCGTTGCCATGTATATGGACTTGTGTTAACACTGCCATTGGCAGAATAAGTTCCGATCAAGAGTCCCTCCGTTGTGGAAATGATGGTCTTAATAGCATTGACCCAGTTGAATTTTTGGAAAAACGTGATATCCCCCGTAGCATCGTAATAGTCGCTTGAGATTTCCAAGAATGCAGCCAAAGAGTCTAATTCATATTTGCATTCAAAGACAATGCTGGTGGGTTCGGCGGGAGTAAAGTTATCAGGGTTTGCTTGGTTTTGTTGTGGTGGAATTCCACTTTCGGTGGGTGCTTGGAAGGAATTGCAGTATGGTGCTTCGAGAATATATCGAGCTTGAAGATTGATGACTCCTCGATAGAGACTTGCAAGGGAATCGTGAGACGAATCATTCGTTAACAATGGCAAGTAACTTTGCATCTGGTTTGCTGAATCTCGTAGCCACATAGCATCGATATCTCCCGTGATCAAGAATGTCAATTCTTCTTCCGCGTTATCTGCTGCATAGCCTCTCCATTTCACAGCTGTATCGAGAGAATTGGGAAATGAGTTCTGGAATATGCGGTAGAGATCAGGGTCTGCAATCACCGACTCCATATCGCTAATGGTTTTCTCTACAATTGAGGAGTTGAAGGTCCGACATGCCGGTTCTGGTCTCATCCATGATAATGCATATTTCCCACTGCTCAGAGGTGGATGTTGTGTGAGGGAATATTGTAAGTAATCTGGACATTGTGCTTGAGCTGTAGAGAGCAAGAATGTAGCCGTAACGGCGACATTATTAGAGGAGACTCTCATGATAGTTTGGAATACTCTAGAACCTCTGATTTGAACGGATGGTCTAGACTTGAAATAATTGAAAAGAGGAGAATTGGTGTACTTATTCCCTACAGTAAGTGCATACAAATCCTAACCCAAGCAACCTCTGAAGGGATATGATCGTATATACATGTAAGTCTGGCCAATATCGGTTAATCAGGTACGAGTTGTATTGAGTTGTTTACCCCGCGATCTCCTCCCCATTCACCACACAAACATGCCGGTTTAAAAACTATTCAATGGCGCGTGAGATCATTATGCTTTTGCAAAGCTCCACGCGTGACTCAAAAGAGGAAGGCGTAAAGTCTACGACCGGACGATTCGTTGCAATTTCATCGATTCGTCCATACCCATGTCAGGGCAGATGCAGACCAAAAGGTCATTTGCTATCCATCGGATGGATAATGGCACAAGAGATGGACTACTGAACAGTGAACACCTTGTTTGCACAACTGCACTTGCTTGTTGTCATTGTGGTGCTCTTGGTCAAAAGGTTGTGATCTGCGAGAGTTTGCGGGGTTGTGCTTCCTTGGCATACGAGCATACTTCGCGGTAACATCTGCCCGAGCCGAGATATTGGTGAATGGTTGTGGTTTAATTCCCGAGAAAGTCCCGGTTGATACTTTCGTTTTTGTTGTTAATTTGCATCTACGAGCTCACCTACCTACCTTGGTTGAAAGTAATAAGAGAGGGACCTCTTGTGATATCTAATAGTCGGCTTCTTCAAGCGGCCGACTATCAGTATTTAGAGTGTGAGGTGTTGTCTCAGAACCGTAATATCTACTGCACATGTAGTTAAGCTTTCACGACAGTGGTTGTACACTGAGAGAAGTATTGATGGCTGCAAAAAGAGACAGCCGTGTTTTTGTGTGGTGTGAGAATAGGAATGTACCAGATCATGATCATGATCATCTCTTCTGTATATGGAAATGGTGGCAGATGAGTTTCCAGCTGCCCTAGTTGTATACTAATAGGTTGCACGACTTTGTAGGAATAGTTCAATTTGTATGTGGAACTTCGTATGAGCGTGTTCATTGTCATTGCCATTGGCATTAGAGATAGAGTAGGAGCTGGTGTTGTCTGTATCGTCGCATGGGTGCACAATGGTGGTTCGAGATTCGAGGCATTCTAGCAGGAGACGGCTTCTGTTGAGTACCTAGGTAGGTAGCACTAGCTTATCGTCAAGAGCAGGGCAGGGATTATTTGAATCAAACACACAATCATACCTACTCTGTACAATACTGCACATCTTTTAAACCTATCTAGTAGCTACCTAGCATCTATTGATTCTCTATCGTCACAGAAAGGCATCTCTCACACATTGTCATTTCCAATTACCTCTCATTACTTATTGTACATCTCAATGAAATGATTGACTAAACTGGAAATTTACGCTTCGCGACTTTTTATATGCGCACGCGTAGTGGGGTTGATATAAAAAAGATCTCGAGCTTATTGACATATGATTCCAACTAACATCGAACATGCGGGCAAGATACAGCATTCGCAATTGCAGTTTCCACCTCGGGCATCGCTTGGTGCCCTTGCGTGTACCACTGCGAATGGTTTCTACACAGGCGGAACCCGTCAGCGGAAACCAGCGATTGAAGCATGAGAGACTCGCCAACAAAATCGAGCAAAATCTGAAGCGTAAGAAGTTCGTCCAATCGAACGATTGGGTCGATGAGACACCAGCTGGACAGAGAAAGATTCTAAAGCCATTCGATGAGGAATTCCACAACACTTATTTACCCAATGTCGTCGAGTCCTCCTGGTATAGCTTTTGGGAGAAGCAGGGACTTTTTAAACCACAAACAGAGAACGATGGCAGCCTTAAAACGAAAGGGAAATACGTCATTGCTATGCCACCACCCAATGTGTGAGCTGATATATGTATTGGTAACATGGCTGTCTGCTAACACCAGTCGCAGGTTACAGGCAGATTACATATTGGACATGCCCTAGCAGTTTCATTACAAGATACCCTTACTAGATTACATCGTATGCAAGGTCACTCAACACTCTACATCCCCGGCTGCGACCATGCAGGCATTGCAACCCAAGCTGTTGTCGAGAAGCAGCTTGCCAAACATCCGAAAGATGGAAAGTCTAAAAAGCAGGATTTTACAAGGGATGAGTTTGTACAGCTATGCGAGGACTGGAAGGAGGTATATCAAGAAGCGATTATCAAAACGATACGCAGACTAGGTATCTCTCCAGACTGGGACCGCATTGCCTACACAAGGAGTGAGCCATTTTCCAAAGCGGTCAATGAGAGTTTCGTGCGGTTTTTCGAAGAGGGTCTCATCTACCGAGCTAATAAGCTTGTACATTGGTCATGTAGCCTCTCTACGTCTATATCTACGCTTGAAGTTGACCAAAAGGAGCTTCAAGGAAGTACCAAACTTAGTGTCCCAGGTTATGATAAAAAGATCGAATTTGGAACATTGACATATTTCAAGTATCCAATTGAAGGGTCTGATCAGACCATTGAAGTTGCAACAACAAGGCCAGAGACAATGCTGGGTGATACTGGCATTGCCGTGCATCCTCAGGACGATCGATACAAGGATTTCATTGGCAAGACTGCGCAACATCCGTTTATTCCCGATAGAAAGCTAAAGATCGTTGCCGACGAATATGTTGACAAAGAATTTGGAACTGGCGCTGTCAAACTGACACCTGCTCATGATCATAATGATTTCGATTTGGGCAAGAAACATAACCTGCCATTCATCAACATTTTGAACAAAGACGGTACTCTCAACAGCAATGCTGGTCCTTTTGCTGGAGAGAAGAGATTCAATGCGAGGTATGGTGTTATCAACGAACTCAAGAAACTCGGCCTCTATACGAAACAAGAGCCGAATAAGATGGTTGTACCCATATGCAGCCGATCGGGGGATATTATTGAGCCATTCCTGATACCCCAATGGTGGATGAGAACGAAATCATTGTCGAAAGCTGCAATGGAAGTAGTTGAAAATGGCGAGATCATTATCCAACCGAAGACACAAAAGGACCTATTCTTAGAAAGATTGCAAGATCCCGAGGACTGGTGCCTGTCGAGACAACTATGGTGGGGTCATCGAATACCGGTCTGGGCAATCAGTATCGAGGGTGAGGACTGTGGGAACGATGCTGATGAGGAGCACTGGGTATGTGGCCGGACAGAAAGCGAAGCTTGGGAAAAGGCAGAGCAAAAGTTCCCTGGCAAGAAAGTGACACTCAGGCAAGATGATGATGTATTAGATACCTGGTTCAGCTCAGCACTTTGGCCGTTTGCCACCCTTGGATGGCCAGAAAAGACATCAGATCTCGAAAATTACTTTCCGACTACAACTTTGGAGACAGGTTGGGATATCATGCCAGTCTGGGTCAGTCGTATGATCATGTTCTCTTTGAAATTGACTGGAAAGGTGCCGTTTACTGAAGTCTTCTGTCATGGTTTGGTACGCGATAATGAAGGTCGGAAAATGTCAAAGTCTCTTGGCAACGTTATCGACCCGATAGATATTCTTGATGGGATCAGCCTAGATGATTTGCATCAAAAGTTGCTCCATGGAAACTTGCCTCAAAATGAAGTCAAGAATGCCATCAAATACCAAAAAAAGGCCTTTCCACAAGGTATTCCGAGATTTGGAGCTGACGTCTTGCGGTTCTCGCTCATAAGCCAAACTCAATTATCTGGTAGCGACATGAAAATCGATATGAGAACGATGACTGGCTCCTCTAGATTCTGTAACAAGATCTATCAGGCCACGAAATATGTCCTTGGAAAGCTTGGTAGTGATTTCGTTCCTCGAGAGAGCAGTGCTTTGACAGGAAATGAGAGTCTACCAGAGCGATGGATCTTAACAAAGATGAACACAGCTGTTAAACAAATTAACCAGGCACTAGAAGAGCGTAGGTTCGGTCTGTCGACCAAGATTAGTCAACGGTACCTGTACGATGAATTGTTTGATATCTATATCGAGAACTCGAAATCGATCATCTCAAATGGTACACCGGAAGAAGCTCGTTCAGCTATGGATACATTGTATACCACAATCGAACATGGCTTGCGACTTTTGTCTCCCTTTATGCCCTTCTTGACTGAAGAGCTCTGGCAGCGGCTACCACGCAGACCAAATGACAACACACCTTCAATCACAATTGCTGAATATCCACAGTATGAGCCATCCTTTAATGACACGAAATCTGAGGTGGCTTACGAGCTCGTACTGGGCTGCTCTAAAGGTATACGTTCACTGTTAGAAGACTACGCTGTTAAGGACGAAGGTGTGGTTCATATCTCCTGCCTTAATCAAATGTCGTACGATACTGTGTCAGCACAACTCCCTACGATTCAATCACTCTGCGCAATCCGACGCAAGACACCAGTGAAGATTAGTGTTGCGAAAGCTGGAGAAACCAAACCTACTGACTGTGCAGTTTTCCCTGTTTCAGCTGATGCAAACGTTTATCTTGAAGTCAAGAATCGCATACAAGATGCTGCGAAGGAGGCTGACAAGTTCAGAGTGAAGATAGATGAAGCAAGAAAAGAACAGGTTGATGTGCATACCATCAAAGCAGAGCTAAGCAAAGGTTCCGATACTATTCAATTTTACGAGAGCCGGGAGCGAGATATCGATGCAAGATTACAAGCATTACAAGAGGCCGTAGAGATGTTCGAGAAGATGAAGGTTTAGGCTGTGTGGCCCTGCTGGCTGACAGCATGACCAAAAAGTACCACCTCATAGCAGCATCTTACCAAGCTAGAATGCATAAAGGATTCTGATGAAGGGGTGTGGGATGATGGGGAATTACAGTCAACAAATGGCCGTCTTTCACTAACTAGAGCATAGAATGAGGCGCTAATGCTCGGTGCATATTAGAGAAATAGAGTCCTTCGAACTCTCTACTCATAATCAATAGTGTAACCAATAACTCACTTCTTGATATGCGATGTGATTTGTAATAAATGCAATAGATTAATTGATTTTATCATAATCTTTCATAACATGCGTGCCAAATAGGCTCTAACATTCACGTGCCCCTTCCAATATTCTATTTACCATCTACTAATGACTTGAAGGCTTGCAACAGATCATCTCTCAAATCCTCCCATCCCTCAATTCCTACACTGACCCGCAACAATTTCTGATCAACAGTAGCATCTGACATTGCCCTCCACTCAATCAAACTCTCTACACCGCCCAAACTCGTAGCATGATGAAACAATTCCAACTTGCTGGGTAACTTCTTCGCGAACCCTACTTCTTTCATGACAATGGAAAACACCGGTCCAAATCCATTTGGCATCTGCTTCAGTAGCCACCCATCCTTAATATCCTCTTCTTGCAAACTTGCATGCTCAACTTTAAGCACCGCTTTCCTCACCACCTCTGTTTCGGGATCATTAGATTTCAAAGCATTATCTAACCACGAAACAAGATTCTGAGCTGAGGCCGATTGTTGCTTGACACGAATTTCCAGCGTTCGAACGCTGCGGATACCGAGCCATCCTTCCATCGAACCCATCACATTCCCCAGCACCACTCGCTCTATCTGTAGCCCCTGAAACCAACCATCTGCAACGTGTTTGGGATTCACAGTGAGAACACCACAGAGCATATCGGAATGTCCACCGATATACTTGGTGCCGCTATGCATGACGATATCTGCACCCCAGAGAAACGGATCCTGCAGAGGCGGCGGCGCAAACGTCGCATCGACGGATAGAAACGCACCGCGGGAATGCGCCTTCTCGGCAAAGAGAGCGAGGTTGTAGGCGGTGCCTTGGGGATTTAGCGGGGTTTCCACGTGGATGATATCGCCGGGGTGGAGATCCTCGGCGGGACAATCGAGAGGGAGTTTTTGGAGCCCGGTAAGTTTGGTGTGTACGTCTATGACGCCGTGGCAGCCGTGGTAACCTTCGCCGATGGAAATGCGTTTGGGATTGAGGTAGACGAGAGCGGCGTGGAAGGCAGAGAGACCGGATGTATATGTGAGAGTGGGGCCTTTGAGAATGTTGCTCAGGATTGCTTCGAAGCGGGTGGTGTTGGGAGCGCTTATGCGGGAATAGATGTGGCTGTCGTGTGGTGCGTGGGACTATCAAGTAGTATTAGTGATAAGATTTGGGGAATAGGAGGGAGATAGTATGCTGAGCAGGTAGATCATGTGATAAAAGTGTTTGAATGGACGGCGGGGTACTCACATCTAGCTCACTTATTGCAACGAGGTCGTCTGGATTGTTACTGTAGCGGAAAGTGGTGGATACGTGTAGAGGTGGTGCAACATCTTGACCTTTGTTGAGGAAATCGTCGGCGTGTACGGTTTGGGAAGAGAGTGATAACGTAGAAAGTCCTTGATCGGGGGTGTGATCTTGGAGATCTTGTTGACCATTTAGACCGGGCTGAGAAGTTGCCATGGTTTTCTTGTTCTGTAGATTACTTTACACTCTTGATATGCTTGTGTAGGTATGTAGTTGGATTTGAATAAATGTATTGAAATTAGTTCAAGGGACTTGAACGATTATTTGTATCGATAAAGATTCGTTGCTGGGTATCCTAGTCTCAAGTCGATGGAGTAAAAAAACTGGAGCTTTGAGATGAAATAACCGCCACCAATTGCAGACTCGTACATACTATCAATTATCAGATTCGAGAATGAATATTTTGAACGGAATATTTATGGATTGAGAAACGATTACATACCTATATCTATCCACATCTCTAATACTCAATAAAGTTACAAAGGCGTGAATCATCGTTTTTTGCAGGTAAAAAACACAATCATTTCTCCGCACGCCCTTTTGTATCAACGATCACAATGGCGCAATTCACACGCCTTTGACGGTGACAATCATAACCGATTCTCCACAATTCGTTGCCCCAGCCCAGTCCAGTCCTAGGTATCGCTAAGACTAAGTTCCCCTTTCGATTCTAATGCTACATACCTTGTACAAATGCTAAGAAACGATGAGCTTGTAGAAAGGGTCGAGAAGCTTGGAATTTAACTTTTAGATATTTGAGATACAGTAGTTAAATGCTCATCTGGAATTTAAATGATACATTTGCTGAGATAGACGGATAAAATGCTCAATTCGAATTTGTCACAGTCGCAGCTTGCAGTTTCTCTTCAAGCAGCTCCATTTCTTTCTTCATTATCTTTTTGTCCTTACACCGTTCTGCAGTGTCGAAACTTACCAAAACCGCTTTATTTTGCGATATCAAGAACTTGTTCTCATCTAAGGAACCATGTATAATCCCCAATTTGTGTAATTGTCTGATGACGGTCTGGCAAAGAGATAGGTCGGCGATAGTAGCTCTCCTACCTTCAACATTTTCCGTTAGCAGACCTATCACGCGTCCACCTTCAGTTATATATCCAAGAAACTTGGGGATAGGGATATTGCGATTATGTAGCCAAGAATATACTTGGATTTCGGCGATATAGTCTGTTTCCCAGTAGAAGTTGGCAAATTTAGCACAGACTGGTTTATCGAAGGCTGGGGATGATACCAGATGCACATTGGGGTCTAATTTTCGAATAAATTTGAGTGAGAGATAGTCAATATGACTTATTGGCTTATGAAACCATGAGCTATCAGTTGTAGGGAGGGCAGCTTTGAAGGCTTCGACCACAGTTGGAATTCCATCTACTAAAGAGATTCGGGCCAGGTTCCAACTTTCGGCATCTCCTTCGGATGGCAATGGAGGTAATTTCTTTGAGAGAAGAGAAGGGGAGCAGAGATCTCTTGCGAGATAGGTTCCAGGATCAATTGTAATGTATTTGAAACGCTTTCCATCTACTAGAATCCGGAAGTAACTAGGTAGGATGTTCTCGATATTGGTATCTTGGTTCAGTATTTCGATTCGAGGATTGGACATCGGTAACGGCCAATTTCCATGGTGTGATGAAACAATGATGTCTCGTACTGCAATGGATTCGATCATAATCTTGTTTGCCAACAACTGATGTTGTTTAACATTGAGTCTTCGGCCAATGTTTCTTTCTGATGCCTTCATATATTTCGGCTTCAATGCTTACCTAGGCCGTAGAAGAATCCTACGATTCATCAACCTGTTAATTGACACAGAAGGAATTGCCTTGCCACAAAACCACGAGTTGGTATGTTGGTGGCATCGTACCTACTGCCTTGTGCTGGGGCAACCATATGAGGAATGCAAGATAGGTCATATACTTGCATATGTATGATGCTCAAGACAAATTGTCATCATTGTAGATGATCAGTCTGATGTTTGAAGTCTCGATATCATGTATTGTCAAATTGTGGAGACGGCGCTAGTCCCCGATTGATGTAGAAGTTATGATTTGTAAGCACTACACACCAACCTCAACATGTAATAATTTACTATGATACCAACAACATCTAAACAAACTCAAACACAATCAAAATTCATATTCTGAGACCGTCAATGACGTTCTCAGCAGTGTTGAGTTCGTTTCATGATAGTGTTGGTTTGATTCTATTCCTGTACAACTACCTCGCCACGTCGGTTTGTTGGCCCCCGACCGGCGACCACCACAAGGCCAAGGTCAATGAGGACAACGACTATCTCTCAGGCTATCATACCATACTCGCGCGGTTATTATTGCTCACAAGAAACTACACGCGATATATTCACAATAAGGTAGGCAGATGACTTGAAGAATGAACTCAGCGAGGCCGCGTCCATATATTATGGAGATCTCCAGCTGGCTTTCTTTCTGGTCTGATTTTTCTCTTTCAGTAATTATCTTATCAACTATCCAATCTTCAGTAGCCAACATGGTCTTTGGATGGTCTTCCGGAACTGCTTTACCACCCACAGTTGGGTCAACAGATGGAAGGAATGGACATGATTATACCTCTCCACTGTGTTTGTATGGCCCGGTTTCTTTCTCTTCCAACCCGTGCTCGATAAACATGTGAGTCAACTGCGCCCTTATACAAAGCCGTACATTAGGTGGCTGTTTCTCGGATTTGAATGTAGTTTTCATATCTATTTTTGAATCTCATACTCCTGGATTTGATTCAAGATTAAGTTTTCTGTGGTTAAGAACAATTCTCTTTAACCTTCAAAATGGCTTCCGAAGATTCAACACTCAAATCATCAAGACTTCACCACATAGACACATCATCTAATGGCGGTGTCTCTGGACCTTTCTGGGACTCAAACGAACGTTGCTTTTGGCTGATGAATAATCGTCAAGTCTACACGCATCCTGAAAATTATAGCGGAAGTTCCGCTTGCGCAACCATCGCATCCGCAAACCCTGATTCTGCTTACCCATCCGGCTGGTCTCGAGGTCAACGCACACGATCACTATCAGGTTCTGACAATTCGCCAGATTCAGCATCACATGAATCTAAACGCATTCGCCCGGAGTCCCTTGGCAGTGCACCCTCAAAGAATACACAATCCAAGCAGCCTTTGCGCCAGGGTACTCCGGAACAACAGCGCAAGTTTCCACAATACGATCTATCTAATCTTCCACCTCCACCCCCCTTTCCTCCTCAAAGATCCCAATCAGTTCGTTTTTCCCCAAATATATCTTATTCGGATGACCCTGTGAAAAAACATAACCCAGGACCATCCCTACCTAGCTTCCCTCAACGCTCTCAATCTGTACGTGTCTCAAACGAGAACGATCAAGCCTTCACTCGCTCCAGAAATCCATCCCCCTCCTCTCCCCCATCTTCCTCTTCACGTCCCCAACATAAACCCCTTCCCACCCGCCCCCAATCATTCCCAGCCCCAACCTCAACACCACCATCATCATCATCAAACCCACCCTCAAAATCCACCTCTCCCTTCCCCACCCCCTACAGCACCCATCCCCCCACCACCCGCTACACCCCTCCCAAATATCTCCGCGACCCCGAACACGAAGACGAAGATTTTTCCTCCCCCTCCTCCGCCTCCTCCGCCTACTCCTACTCCAAATCCCCCTCTTCCTCCTCCTCCTACCCACACCATCGCGTCCCCTCTTCCCGCGACCGCCACGAATCCCAACGTCAACGCACGCACCACCGTCACATCGAATACGACTACGACACCGATACCGATCTCTCCGATCAGAAAGAAAAGAAACTCAGAAGACAGAAACGCTCGCGTGAACGTACCCCGGATGAACAGAAGAAACACGAGAAAACTCTGAAAGGTATTGGGGAGACGGGAAGAGGAGATATGGGACGAGCGGCTTTGATGGGAGCCCTTCCTTTCGTGTGCTTGCTGGCGAGATTGGCGGCTTAATGTTTTTCCTTCTTCTCTTTCTCTTTCTAGCTTTGTAGCTTTTTCACACTCTTTTACGCATTATTGGTTGGGTCTTGGGATTGGTTATTAGGAGGATAGATTTGATTTGGGATTCATGAATAAATTGTGGATTGACTGGTGAAGTGTTGGAGTTTGGGTGTGTCTACCTACATAGCCGTCATGCGGCAGCCACTCTTTCAGCGATTCATAAAAACAATAGGAGACAAACATTTATTTCGAAGAACTTAGAATCCTATCTTGTAAAAATCTTCCTTATATATTATCACGTTGATTCCTTCATTCAACATTCCAGATGTGCTCTATCTTCGCTACGTAACCAAATCTATGTAACCAATGTAAAAATCCACGAAGAGAAATAATTAAGAAAACCTAGTGATCATCCAGTGTCATAATGTCATTATACCTATGTGCATATCTCCCATTCCATCACATCCCGAAAATACCCCTTTGGCTCGGATCAAGAATGTAAATGTAACTCCACTCACGCCTCCTTCAATCTTCAATGAATTCGTCACATGACTACGCATTTTGCGGTATTCTTCTTCTGCTGCGGCTGCACCTCTGCATCTTCTACTACAATCGCTGGCGAAGTAGCAGGTCGCGAATCCCATGTTACGTCTGTCCAATCTGCACTACTTGCCGCATCACTTTTGTGCTTAGTTCTCTTTGCCATCATACTCTTTCTCCAGCCGTTTTTCTTAGCATTTTTGACATTTCGTGACGCACTGCGCTCTGCTCTGCTTGGTTGTCTGGTAATAGGTATCGGCGGTATATTGTAAGGTGAGGTGACTCGAGTAGAAGTTGCACTATGGATTGTCTCGAGACGTTGGAGAGGTGGACGTAAGCTGTTTGGCGATGCAGAATATCTTTGCGAACCAAGGCTGGTTCGTCGAGAAGGAGAGCCATGACCAGAAGGAGGACGAAGGCCTGTGTTCGGGCGAGTAGGGCTTGCTCCGTAAGTCCCACCAGTTGCACGGGGTGGTGTAGACAGGCGATTGGATTGCTCAGGAGCAGTATGAGAAGCTTGTTGAGATCGGTTGCTAAAACCTTGCAGTGGTACAGAATCTCGGGGGTTAGAGCCGGAACGACGTCGAGATGGATCTCTTAGAATATCTGGACGTCCACTTCGACTATTGAATCGCGCCAAAAGATCGGCACTTGGCATCACTAATCCAGAGACTCCATCTACAGGAACCTCCACAGGTGCAGAATTGACTCTTCTCCAAATAGTGATAGGTTCATCGGTAGAGTCTGAGAGAGCTGAGCTGGAAGGAGTGTCCCCCACCCGTGAAAATCTTGAGCTTTGCTGTACAGCCCGTACATCGGGCGATCCTTGTGCTGGTACTATGGGTAAAGTAGAATTTAGTTGTCGAAGATCAGAGTCGTCTCTTTGTTCTCCGGCTATAGCGGTTGTAGGTCTGCTATTTTGCATAAGAGAGACTTGATCATCAACTGTTGTAGTTTCCCAATCTAGCAAGCGCCTGTCAAGCGTTGCATTCATAGGCTGAGGAATGGGGGAGACAGGCGATTGCAACGTGGCTCTCATAGACGAGTTTGTATTATAATCGAGCGTGCTATTCTCATCGTCGTTGAGTTCTACAGGAAGTCGGGAGCTCTGCTGGGGCAAGGGCCTTGTAAGGCTTGGCTGTGGAGTACCGATTGGGGAAACATCATAAAGGCTGTCAAAATCAGAGGTCGTAGGACGTTCATCAAAGTTT